AGACAAAATTTGGCAAACGACATACTCTTTAAGAAAATGGAGGGTGAGTGGGTGGGCGGGGCTAGTATTTCATAAGGTAAATTTGCGATTAGTATTCTATAAAACTAGAAACTCAATGTTTTTCTCTGAAATAAAGCCATTTGGAACGGTTTCAAATTTTTTGAAAATTTTGGAGATTTTTGGAGTCCTTTCCTCGCATTTCTCAGTTATTTGAAGATAAATCGTCAAAAAATATTTTATCTATAAGTCAACTACATATTTTCCGGTGGGTCAGATCGTCTTTTAACTGTTTCAGACAAAAAATTTCTGGAAATTACGAAAAATTGTTGTCACTTTTTTCGCTAATTTTCGAAAATAAATGAAAAATAGTTGAAAATGTCAAAAGTGCGAAAATCAGTTTTATCTTATCAAATACTGCTAGCACCGGTTTTCGTGGTTTCACTCAAGAGACTGCACATGCTTTAAAATTTATTGCCAGAAGTACATATTTGTGTGTTAAGTTTTTATTAGAACAAGCAGGCTTTTACTATGTTCTTACGCGTTCCTTTAGCTCCGATGCGGTGGAAGCAATGTTCTCACACGTGAGATTAAAAGGAGGCTCCAATGATGCAACGGATGCCAGAGCGGCAGAATATGCAATGCAGAATTGTTAAATATGTTCCAAATGTTCCAAATCATCTAATGTTTCCAATATAGACTTTGTCAGTACTGCAAAAATCTCGGTTTTGGATCATGATACAAAACAAGACAAAGAAAATTTTGATGTACCTTTGGAATTAAGAACAAAGATTCAAAACCTAAGTAAATTAATTGAACGCTGTGCAAACATTTCATCGGCATCTGTGGCCTTTTTGGCTGGCTACATTTTAAAGAAATTAGACGACAAATTTCATTGCGACAGCTGCCTTGCGCCGCTGTTGTCCAAAGAGGTTCCTGGTCCGCTATTAAGACTCATCCTGTTACAGGATCGAGGTGGATTAACCTATCCCAATGCATATTTCGTAGGCATTGTGAAGGTAGTGGCTGACGTCACTCAAAAAATGTTGCCGTTTTTAAATTCCAAAAAGACATGTCAACAAATGTGTAATCTGCTCCATCCTTCTTTGGACCAAAATCCATTATTTTGTTGCTTGGAACATAAATCAAGAGTTTGTGATATAATTATTCGAGCAACAGTGAAACCAGTTATTGATAATATTTGTTTGGAACAAACAGACTGGTTGAAGAAAATAACGATCTGTAACAAACCTACCAGCAGAAAAGTTTTAAAATTATGAATATGTACCTTCCTTTTTGTTAAATAATTTTCGTTTTTTAAAAATATATCTATCTTATTTCAAAACTAAATAATATGAGTAATATCATTAATGTTCTTGTGCCATTATCTACACTTTCAGAAAAACGTGATATTTTAAAACGTCATTTTGACAATTATTTGCCAACCAAGTTCATAATTGTACTCAACAGATGTCGTTGCCTGATTAACGATTTTGGAAACGTCAAAGAATCAACTTTTTATACGAATTGGGATGGCCATATGTATTAATACAGTTGGCCGTGGTCGTGCTGTAGAGCAGCTAAGTAAACGAAGAAGTCAGCTGTTATACCGACAAGTTTTATTTATAATTTTAAGCAACTTGCTACTAGAGGGTGCTAAAAATTTACTAAGGTTGGTAAAGCAGTGGGTTACATGCTGGAATGCCAAAAACAGCATACAGTTATCTTCAAGTTATAATAAAAAAAAATAAAAACTGCGTCCACTACAGTGGGCACAGTGACCGAAAGGGTTAAACCTCGCGTAACTTTTTATCCACACAAGTTTTATTTCACACCAGATCTTTTTTTGTTTTTATAAATCTTTGCTAGTTTTTTTATGTAAATATTTTGTTGCTTAATGCTTCCATCATATAAATTATCTGCTGTCCAATCTTAATCTCAGATAAGACTTCTTTGCTGTTTCAAATTTCACAAGAGTGTATGGCGAATTTAAATGTTGTTTATTGCTCTTTTTGAAACTTCAACACTTGTTCAGTTGTCGTTAATATCAGAGTTATAAGAAAGGGAACATTTAAATGGAATTGAGGTTAAATAACACCGAAATACGTGGCAGAAGCGGGGGGCGCGGTTTCTATTCGAGCTGGCGGGATTTATCACACTATCTGCACAAAGGATGCAGGCTTTGTATAGAAGTCAAGGGCGGTCGAGATGACGTGACGCTGTCGGCTTCGTGATAGCCGGGACCCAACCGCGAGCGTAACGGCCTGCTCGTACAGCATGTCCGTAATAGCTGTGCGGCAGTGCTTGCGATAGATAGAATCACCGTCGTGGGTAGGAGAACAGCCACGACCAGGAACCCCAAACTCCGCTCGTGCTACAACGCCCCCTATGGCTCTTTTTTTGCTGTGCTCTAGAATGAAATTGACAAAGTTCGATCGCCACCCTCTTATAGCGCTCTGGTGCCTCTGCCGCATACGGTTTTTATTAAAATTTTGTTCTCTTATTGACTGCCATACTTTTAAATTTGTCGCCACACGGTCGTAATAACTTGTGTATTTGCATCGAGATATTTTAATTCAGATTTTTCTTTGTTTTTATTAAATTTGTGATATTCAAATATTTACATTGATTCAGAACGTTTAATTTGATTTCATTCAAAGTTTTTTTTATATATGTAGCTGAGCATTAAGCGGTGCCTTCAACGGGCACAACTTAGTCCCAGCTTTTTTTTTGTCAGTGGAGGAATAAATGATTTTATGTCCTCCATAAATTTGGTGTTTTATTTAGCGGTACTTTTCCAACCTTGGAGTTCTACCACTTGCATCTGAACATTCCGCCACAAAAAAAACGCAACGTAGGTTCCATTTTGTTAAACACTCACAGCATAAATTTTGAATTTTTCGCGGGCCTTTCAAACTTTTTCAAGTGTCAATTTAAGGCGGGATGTTTGGGTTATCACAACACTATATCTTTCGTCGAACTTTACTCACACAGTTTTCTTTACAGGTTGTGACGAAGTCGTAAATTACCGCAAGTTGAATTAAAAACCGTAATCGTACTAAAGCTTCCGACGAACTTTATACAGTTTTATTAACCACAAAACATTCAGATCACTATTACTATTTATTAACACCAGTTAACACTAGTAAAGATAAGTATGCATAAAAATTCAAATTCTGGAGTTTATTTGTTAAATTGTAGAGACTGTTCCCTGGTGAATGCAAGTAAATGGAAGGTTTTCATTATGTGTACGACCATGGTATAAACCTATAAACTTGCAAAGTAAATATTCAGCTGAATCAGTAGCAACCCAGATGAAGAAATAAACGCAGAAAAGATTCCACAAAACTGCAATACCACATAGTAATAATTATTTCTTGGTACAAGATGTTAAACTATAAATATTTTTGCATTGACAAGCTTTTGGGTACAGATTTTTGGTTCAAGTTTTACCTGCTTTACGTGCATCCTTTGGCACATATATGTGTAACGTAATTTTATAATTTAAAAAAATTATATGTCAATATTATATTATTTTCACCATCATGATGTGTTGCAAATAAATGACCATATTTTATTTTAAGCACGAATTTCATTTGACTGCATTTTTAATTAAAAAACTCATGAAAAGTTGATATAACGAATACGATGCGATCTTCATATCTGAATATACCGTTATCATTGGTAATTCAAGCGGTAAAATTATCACGTTTGGGTTTGGGTATATTATATCAATTATATGTACATATTAATTTAGGTGTTAATGTAGAGACGTCTGTGTAAACATATTGTGATAATAATTTATCAAGTGTTTATGAACATTTATTTTATCACTGTAGGAGATATTGTGTTACTGTATTCTATTGTTGTAACAGTGTATCGACTGTTTAAGAAAACTATATCGTTGAATAACATACTGCTAGTGGTATGACTGTTTTGTGGCGTGGCTCAACCGCTTATCCGTTCATTCACGAATGTGTACGAATACGATACCAGAGAACACGATACGAACAGAGGAAAGGGTTTGTATGTATACAGCCTGTTATTAAAAGGTACGTACAAAATAAAACCGGCTGTTGGTCTCGAAGTATGGGTGCTAAAATTTAAAAAAAGTTCATTTAAATTTTAATAATTTTTATCTCCTTTTAGAGATAAAAATTATTAAAATTTATGTCCAAATTCGTTGTACGCCTCTGATAAAAAGATCATCTTTCGTTTCTATAGCAACATTTAGTCTTGACAAAAGTTTTATTGTTACAGTTGCTATGATTTACTAATAGTATATTATTAGCCAAGGTTGCAAAGCCAAGCATTCTAGACCGAGCGCAAATTAGAACCCGAGACGCGCAGCGTCGAGGGCTCTGAAGCGCGAGGTCTAGAAGTGGCTTTGCAACCGTGGTTAATATACTATTTTTTTCACTAGTAGAAACTATAAGACAATAAACTGAAAAAATAAACCTTCAATTTTTTGACGCAACATCATTTTGTTTTGATTTCTAATCAAACTTAATCTAAATCTTCAACACAAAGAAAACCGTTTATGCTTGTCGCTGAATTAATCATTTTATCTTCTACCGTCTACCAACTACCATGCGTATACTCAAGTAATGTTTGTAGCACACATTTGTTCATTTCTTAAGAAATAATCACATCAAACATTGCGTACATAACCTCAATTTTTCTTTTTGAACCGGTGGTCGCAAAAGTTGAATTTGCTACCTCTAAATGAGTCGACATTTGCATGCGTCATGGCTGCTAGTGGAAAAAATAAATTAATTTTACCTATGTATCCTTCAGTAGCGTCTAAAAAGATTGGATAAGGGTTAATTTTCCCCTTAAAATTTTGATAAGACAAAATAAGTTTTTCCGACTTCTTAGACTTCGCGAAAAACTGTCCATTTTGTTGTACGTACCTTTCAATAACATCCTGTATGTGTGATACAAAATTCCATCTATATGTATAAAACCTCTTTGGTTTTTGTTGACACTATTGATGTTTTGACAGATGACATAACATTCGTTAATTCGTTTTAGGTTAGAAAAGAACTTGAGTAATTTTATGAATATTATTAATATATTGTTGTGTGAAAGTAGTTAAAGGCACGGGTACCATGAACTCGTTAAAATTAATTTCAAATCTACTGTCCCATAATTTAAATACTTTTCGCACTGTTAATGTAAGTTTTACAAAATACACGGCTTTTGTTAATAACACTAATAATTATACGTTGTAGTTACAACAAATTCGCACGAAATGGGTTAACCGGTGGATGATTCGAGACGTAAAGCGGCGTCAGTTAGCCACAGAATTGGCTCCTGCTAGATTGCGAGTAAATTCTCTACGAAGAAATGATATTCTCCCAGCGGAACTTCGAGAAATAGCTGATAAGGAAATCGCCGCGTTTCCACTGAATTCAACACCTCTAAGAATTAATAAACGTTGTGTAGTAACTTCAAGACCGAGAGGAGTCGTGAACAGGTGGAGGGTTAGCAGAATTGTATTTAGACATTTAGCTGATTACAATAAATTGTCTGGTGTACAAAGAGCAATGTGGTAGTCAATATTGTATATATGTAGTCGTTAATAAAATTTGCAAATTGGAATTTTAATTTTTAAAATTTTACCATCCAGTTGACGCATAAAGTATAATGCAACAGTGTTACTTTTTAACTTCTGATAAGCAATATACTCAATATTTATAAATGCACTACTTGATTTTGTTTTACGAATGCGCGAAAATTAGTTTTAAATCGCAGTACTATCAAGAGGTCTGTTTCAATAGAAATACAACAATATACAAACAAAAGTTTAAAAAAGAGTTTATTATCTTAAATTATAACTCTAATCAAAAAGTCCAAGACCCATGTCATCATCAGATTCCTCGGGTTCTGATTCCTTCTTCTTTTCTTCTTTTGCTGGTGCGGCTGCTGCAGCAGCAGCAGCAGGAGCAGCCGAAGCTGCAGCAGCTGCCGGTGCTGCTCCAACTCCTGAACCTATTTTGGTGATCAATTCTTTGATATTGACTCCTTCCAAAGATTTTGCAAAAAGTCCTGGCCAGTAAGGTTCGACGTCCACACCAGCTGCTTTCAGGATGGTTTGTATCTTCTCCCCCTATAAAAAAAAATGCATCACAATGAACAAAAATATCATCGCAGACTTATTTAATATTAATCAATTAAAGCTGTTGTTTAAGCAACATTATTTGATTTTTAATAGAATTGCGGATAATTGTAGAAATATACGGCGGCAATGCAGTAACATAACCTACAAACATGAAAAGTAACGATATTAAGATTACTTACAGTAATAGCGATATCATCATCCGCTAAAATTAGGGCGGAGTAAACACAGGCCAATTCAGCAGTTGAAGTCATTTTTGTTTATTGTAAATAGTCGTGCAAGTCGCCAAATGGCCTTAGCTCAACGAGAACAAGCACAGCAAACGAACTTCCACAAAGTCGAAAACCAAAAGAGATTTCAGTTTGACAAGTGACAATAGACCGGCGTACCAACATTGTTTTTGTATTACCAACGCTAGTGCTATTTTAGTTACCAATTCATTAATTTTACAAGCATTATTTTTTTGATGATTAATAAAATAAGCATTACAAGTAGTTATTCTTTAGTTGAAATGCCGATCAACCTTATTATCAGACAACAAACTCCAAATAAAATTTTTTTGCCGCAAAAGATTAGTTTGCTTAGGGATTTTAGTATTCTTAAGTTTAGTGATGTGAAGTACGAAGGAGAACTGTTTAATAACATTAATAACAATCAAATTTGCCAATTTGCGCAATTGAAAGAAGTAAATTTACGGAAATTTGTGACGTATTTAAAGTCAGATCCTGTGGTCAGATCGTTAGTGCCTCCAATCTGAATATTAAGGAACATCAAGTAATAAAACTCCAGTTACCTTTAATGAACCACTATTGTTGCTTGTTTGTTTTTTGGTATTCTCCGTAATATCAATTTAGTGCATACTCATAAGATGGGCCGTAAATGTGGAGTTGAAGGCTGCCTATCGGAATCCAGCCGACCAGAAGATACTGGGGTAACATTTCACAAAGTTCCTATGCACAGTGACATTCGTCCGAAATGGATATCACTATGTCGAATACCTGAAGATAAACAGACCATGAAGGTTATATACATTTGTTCAAGACATTTTCTACGAATGGATTTCTGTAACTTTAAAGGAAAAAAGTATATGTTAAGACAGGGAGTACTTCCAAGTGTTTTTCCATGGGATAAATCAAAATTGGAAGCTATTAAAAGCACTAGCAAAAGTGAAACTGAAAAACCGCTGATTAAACCAGAGATTGACATTGAAGATAAAGGAAATATTAAGAGTGCAGTTCTTGTTAAAGAAGATTCAGTGGAGATTAAGGAAGAGGTTTTAGATGCATCAGCTATGAAAGATGAACATGAAGAAGTAAAAGAAAAAATCAAAACAAATGCAAATGGTCCTATAAATTTTGCCATAAATTCGCGAATAGAAGCTTTAGATAATAACAATACATGGTATCCAGCTCGAATAGTTGAGGAAGATTATGAAGAAAACGAGGTTCTAATTCACTTCGAGAAGTCGTCTAGTAAACATGATGAGTGGATCTGTATGGATAGTCCAAGACTAAGACCACTTCAGTCAGCAAGTACAACAGCATCAACTAATGCAGCAGGCACACAATGTTCTTCTAAAAAAAATCAGATCGTAGAAGAATACACAGTTGGTGAGAGGTGTCTGGCGTCATGGAGCGACGCTAGAAAATTTCCAGCCACAGTAACAAAAGTTCTAGACAATGGTAATAAATTGTTCATTGTACATATGTCAAAATAACAGATAAGATAAATTTAGTTGTCTGTTGTTATAGATACATATGAAGTTTTATTTGATGATGGATTTGTTAAAAATTTGAAAGCCCATCGAATGTGTAAAGCTGAAGGTCGCCCAATGCAGTCATCACCGTTGTTTGATCCTATCCAAAGCACTAAACAAGAACGAAGAGAGAAAAAGAGAAAAATCAACATTGCAGCATTGTTTGGTAAACGACAACGTTTGGACAATCCAGATGAGAAGCCAAAAGCGCAGAGTTCCTCAACTCATCATCAGCCGCCACCAGTAGCAATAGTTAATACAAATGAAGTCTTTGAACCTTGGGTACCACAGTAAGTGTGATATAAAATAGTTATTGTTAAAATTGTTTTCTTTTTCCTGTGAATCTAATTGTATTACTTTGATTTATAGGTGGGATGGAGGGAAACCAGTTGGAGTAGAATCATCAATAGATGCTCATGATGGAACAAGAAAATCAATTATTGTTCCAGATCCCAGGTTGCCTGAAGGCTGGACGAAACATTTAGCTCAAAGAACACATGGTGCTTCTGCAGGAAAGTGGGATACCATTATTGTCAGGTTTGCTCATTGTATTTGTTTTATTTATTAACGACCTTGTTATTTTATGAACAAAGTGAATAAAGTTGACGAAGATTACTTTAAAACTAAGGTACTGTGAATGTCAATACATTCAAAATGATAATGAGTTAACTCAAAAAACTAAATGAAAGTTTTAGACAATTCAGAAGCATTTTAGGGAGTATAATTTAAGGTCAAGTGAACGAACAGGGTGACAATGAAAGCTTAATATTGTACTTTTATAATAAATTAATTCGTGTTATGTAATATAAGTGTCTACTGAATTTAATTATTGTGAAAACCCAGCGTTGTCAGTAAAATGAGTGATGAGTGATTTGTTTTCATCTATGTAAATCGGACTTGACTTTAATGATAGACTTATTTGCATATGTTGTAACTTAATCAACACATAGAGTTAATTATGTTTATGTATGAACAGTAATTTTATAATTGATGACGTTATCACGCCTCCACTATAATTCAGACAAACTCATTGATTAATATTTTAATTCTTATATTTGAAGGTTAAATACTTTGACAAGTCATAAACTGTAACTGCTGTGCAAATTGATGGTATTGAATAAAAAGCGATGTAAGTAAAACTTAGTAGCTTCTAAAGAAGTTGCCTAAAGCTTCAGGAAAAATCAGAAAATGGTTAGTTACAAACTGACTTAGAATGAACGCCGAAAAATTTTACAAGCATTAACGTGGGAACATCCTTGATTTTTAAAACTTTAAGGGGAATTTTACAAAACCTAATAGATATTCTCTTTCTTCCTAGACCAAATTTGTCTGTTCAAGTTTTCAAAGACGTTAGTTTTTGACATTTAGAAAAGTAAATTTTACATTGAATGTCAGACGCTAAGTACGATAAGAACTTAAGAAAATTACTTTTAAGTTGTGCAAAGTCTAGCAAAAGTTAAAATAGTTGCAGTATAATAGTTTTCGGAATTTTTCACCAGTTCTATAACATGGATATTTCTGTCTTTTTTTAATTAAACTAAAAATATGTGTCAGTCTACACATTTTAGTTGTAAGTTATTCAACAAAATATTAAAACCAGGGAATGAAACATTTTGTTAATGTTAGTCACTATACTAAAAATTTAAATAAGTTTTTATGTAGATTTTTAGATATACATATGTATGACACATTTTAATTCTGCTGACTATTTTTTTCGATGACCCCTAAAAAATATGATCAGAAATCGCTTTATTTAGACAGAACTGAAGTAGAGGCCAACAAATCTAGCTCCTTCGAAAAATTATAAAATTTGATTTTGCCAATTTTTGTTTATTCTATGAACCCATATAAGTTAAAAAAATATAGATAGTAACAATCACAGTGTAAGAAAAAAAAAACACATTCGAACTGGCGATCTCCCCATTGCTAGTTGAAAATCAATGGACTTACACTTGTAGTGGTGTAAAAGATTTTTGTATAATTTGGATTTGTTTTGGGAGGAAATCTGGATGCCCATGGTTAAAACTTAAGGCAGATTCATATATTACAAGTGTAGAGAATGTAATTTAAAAAAAAAGCAAATTACACTGATGTATAAAATATTGCGATGATATTGGTGGGAATAACCAGACGAATTTTGGTTAATATCATCTAGATAATATTTTTAACGTGAATTTTGGCCGAAGTTTCGAAGATTATCTGTCTAATACAAATTGACACAGACATGCAGACGGAAACGGGAGATCTACATTTTTAGTATTCTAAAGGTTATGAAACATTGACAAAATATGAAAGTACCAATTCGCCGGATGGACCCTATTAGAATACTTCCGTAGCTTACACTCGGGAAGTAAAAATAACAATACATTATCAATACAGAAAGTATCTGATCTCAGGACATATTTTTAATAAATAAGATTGGATTGACCTTTGTAATTATTTGTTGTTATACGTAATTTTGCTCGACAGTGAAACCCAGTCTGTTCTGTAGTTCAAATCACTCTTGTGTAAGCTGAAATAATTAACCTTAGTATACTTATGTTTTTTCAACTACCTGTTTGATAAACGTGTTATAAATTATTAGATAAGAAAACACGCAATACATATTCTAAAGTAATGATACATTTACAATAAATAATAATATAGACTTGTTAGTCAATAACAAAATTGCCGTGGTGTGGAGTTAAATTTGGTAATAAATAAGATAGTTTTACTAACCAATATTTGTAAAAATAACCTACAACATTTAGATATTTAGTACATGTACATTGCATTATTATTTGATTAGTTGAAATTTTTCCACTCCACATTTCAGTCCAGATAATCGAAGATTTCGGTCCCGAGCAGAAGTTAAATCATATTTAGAAGAAACAAAATTGATGAAGTATAATTGGTCAATGTTTGACTTCAGTATACATAGACACCGAAACAGGAAAAAGGAATTTGAAGTAGAACCACCACGTGTTTTACCAGAAACTTCCGCAGAAACATTTGAACCAGAAGAAAACTTGGAAATAGCAACTGAAGAGGAAGGTAAGCGTTATAAGATTATATTTTGCCAAATGTTAATATTATTTTTTGACGTTTAAAGAAAACAAGAATTGCCTTAAAATACCGATTGTTGACGATGCCTATCGTTGTCCCATCGAAGGGTGTGGGAAAACGTATCGCAAGGAAAATTTAGCACAAATGCATGTTAAACATTACCATCCCGAGTACACGAAATTTTTAGATTCCACACCGAATGTTGCTGATTTAGCTTACGCGAGAACTGTTGGTGAATCACTCGATAAATCGCCCGGTGCCAAACCACCGGTAGCCAAACCTGCGCAGAAAACCACAACTTTGAGATCGTCAACAAAACTAGCTCACTCACCTCAACTAGAACCTGAAACCAAACCGCAGTCGCCGTTACCGCTGAAAAACAAAGATTCTGAAATAATTAAATTGTTGAATACCAAACCATTTGATGGCAAGAAGGAGGCTGATCCAATTACGCCTCTGCCTGCAGGTTTGCCATCTAACATGTACCCTGATATTAAACTGAAAGATCTTCTTAATAAATCCGAAGGAATTCCCAATCGCGATGATCTTAATTTGAGGGCTTTAAGTAGCACTAGACCTCCAACAGGCATAAAGACTCTTCTACCTGTTGTAAGACCGGAAAAGAAAGAAAACCAGCCGTTGCCAGAAATTGATGGAGTTGGTAGTAGAATAAGAACAAGTTTGAAGCGTAAGCGGGGATTGATCGACTCTGTCGACAGTCCTAAAGGTAATGAACCACGCGAAAACACGTACATTCCACCGGAAACACCACCACTTTCTGAACCTAATAATATTATTATTGAAGGTGGTCAGGTGATCAAAATTGTGAGAATGAAACAAGAAGAGATTATTAACTGCACTTGCGGTTATACTGAAGAAGATGGTCTTATGATTCAGTGCGACTTATGTTTATGTTGGCAGCATGCATTCTGCAATAACATCGAACGCGAAAGCCAGGTCCCCGAGAAATACGTCTGCTACATTTGTCAAAATCCGGCTAGGCAGAGAATGTCAAAGAAATACTTCCACGACCAAGACTGGTTGAAACATGGTATTCTAGCTACTACTAATTTTCATAGTAAAGATGAAGAATCGCTGGCTAGAAGATTCGAAAAGTTGAAGAAATCTCATGACATTTCTGGGGGGCTGCTGGAAATAAGAGAATTCGTAAACTCGTTAAAGGTTAAATTAAAAATTGCCGAGTAAGTAATCGTTGTTTTTGTAGTATTTTTAAATATTGATATTTTAATTTCGTGATTATATTTTAGGACCAAGAACCACCCTAAGCTGTACTTGTGGTCTAAACCTTGGGAAAAATTGCCGCTGCCGGAAAAAATGAGTTTACAAGATGAAGAAACCAAGTCAAATATTGAACAGTGTGAAGAAGACGTAAAAAATGAGAACCCGGTGAAGGCAGAAAATCCTGATTCCATGTTGATGATGATTTTGAAAAGTACCAAAGAAGACGTAGATGATAATTTCAATGGCTTGCAGGCTCCTATTGTCCCACAACCAGAAGCAGCAATTGACTCTGCCGATTGTCGGTTAAATTTGTTGGAACATATCGCTCATTCGCAGTCTTTAGTGGAGGAAAGGCTTGATGATTTTGAAAAACAAATTGAAGATCTTGAAGATGCTTCCTTTTATGAAGACGATAAAGACTATCCACGTACTAGGCAAACATTAAATATGTTACTTAGAGATTTAAACACGTTGCAAGAACTAAGTCAACTAACTACGTTGTGATTATTTTTAAAGTTATTTATTGTTAGGTTCGTTCTTAAAGTACATGCTTGTCATGGTGCATAAATGTTACACATTATAAAACTATGTACAGTTAACATATTAAAGTGTTAATTCCTTGATAGTTTTTGTTTCATAATTCATCTAAAATTTTCCTGCTGCGCCCTAACCTTTTAATTTCATTACTGGAAGAAGTTTCTGGGAGTTCACATATGTATCCGTAACGAACCGAGCAGTCGGTTCCTTTGTACGTGTACGAACGTAACGCAGGGTCGTAAGCTAGTCGCAGGCAGCGTCCTTCGCCTTTTATGTTGAACGATGGATTCTTGTTATTATTGTTACCTGGCGATGCAACTGGACGAGCACTGTTGCTCCAGATCCACAAAAGACCTGGATTTAAGCCACCAGTCCAGAAATCTTTTCCTCTCAAAAATGCATTGCTTTGTATATAAGCAATAACATCTTGATTTTCTTCAATTGTTTCGAGTTCGGCCAATACGGCACCAACACGTTTACACTGCGTACTTGCAGCTTTCCAGTCATATTCCCTTCCAGCTGAACCGTAGAAAAAGTAACAGGTGGAGGCCACTCTTGTGAAATTAGCAGGACAGGGTTCTGGAAAATAAATTTTACTGTCATGTTTCGTAAAATCATGAAGATACTTACCGTGGTCAACCCGGTTACCGGCCATAACGAAATACAACATTTCTTCCACTCTTCGTAGTCGTTTTTCCATGAAGTCTACTCGGTATACCAACTTTTCTATTGCTCCCAATAAATATAAGTCGGTTTCGGATACTTGTCGACCGGGTGGTTTTTGGGGACCGTTCGACACGATTTTGCCTGGAGTTATTTTACTCTGTCTGTCGTCCCCATTGGCATTATCAGTTGCTTCATCCACAACAAAAGCATCTTTTGCTGGAGGTAGTTGCATTACCCTCTTTTCTCTATAACTCGTTTATAAATACTTTTATTTTATTTTTTGTTTAACTTACCTGCGATTTCCGCTTAAAGCCCATTCTTCCAACAAACTTCCCCACACACCTTGTTCAGTCCAAATTGCAGGATTATTTTGAATTGTTCGTTCAATTGTCTCATTTTTTAAAAATACACCAGTACAGTGGTAATAAAATATTGTACTAATAGCACAAATGAGAAGGAACTTCATGGCACACTTTATCGCGAACCGGTAGATAATCGTTGTTCTTGATATCGCAAACACGAATGAAGCGTAAACTTCTGTGAATCATAATATGTAAATGAAACTCTCTCTTTTACTTTTTTATAAAACGTTTTCCCTTTGAATTCGTGGTTGTCAACTAATGAAGAAAATAAGGGGGCTATTATGTCTTGCTTCATTAGGTGTAATTATATATCTTTGTTGTTTTTGAGTAACAGTTCGATGGTCATTAACCGATTCAAAATTATTGCATTCAAAAGTATTGTTTGAAGTTAATGACCCCTTGACCTACATTTTGAATGATACACCACTGGAAAGTCCGACTACCCGAGTGGAAGTTCCCCTGATCTGGTAATACCGGGAACCTGTTTTATGTAGCAAAAAATTGCACTATTTGTTTCCGCTTTGTAAGTACATATTGTATAGGTACTGATTGATTTTTGAGGAGACGGTCTGAACGCAAGGCAAGTAAGTAATTACATTCTTTATTCAGTCTAATAAATAATAAATCAAAACGACAGTAGTAAACCGGTATCTTTTGAGATCTCCAAATGATCCTTAGCTACATTAAATATGTATTAAAATTTGTGTGGCATTCAATTAATAAAGGACATCTTCACCAATGTACTCTCGCCCGCAAAAAATTTGATCCTATAGGATGGATCCAGCCGTCAGCCCGGGTTGGTTTTTCATAGGGAAGGGTTGTTTGTAAGTAGACTTAATCTAAAATACAAGTAAATTTGTACTTCAACTAAATTCTTATATAATATGAATTAATTTTAACTAGGAACGTAGCATTAGTAACAGTAAAATAACTTATAACAAAGCCTCGTCTACCTACAGAATAATGAATGCCCATTTTAGCACTTGATACGGGCTGGAATAAGCAGCCCCAAATTTACAAAGAATTTTTGCATTCCTGGCGGGGGTTTGGTAACGGAATTTTATTCTGGCATTTAGACTTAAGGTACTTATTCACCATGACAGTTTATTTTTAACTATATTTAATTTTGAACACTAATAGTACTCATTCGGCGAAGGCGAATTTCATGTTTTTTTTATGTTTGACCTTCGGGTATAAAAAAATAGGTTTCTTGTTTCCGTCTGGGTGTCATCCGTCGGCTGTCGGTTCTTGGCGCTTTTATTAGACAGATAAATACTGAAAGTACTGGACTGATTACATAATTGATCGCATCATCCACTTCCTCGCGGCCTACCAACCCAAGGAGCAAGAGCATCCCACGAAGAAATAGGTACCCCAGTCGGAACAGAACCAAAAAAAAAAAAAACGACACAACTTGCACTAAAATCTCCCCTGGTAGTATTGTTGCAATTGACCGATGAACTTTATAACTCGTTCATTTTGTTATTATTGATTAAAAACGTGCCAAGTTGAGAACAAATCAGGAAACTGTGCACTTCGACATCCCTTTTATGTAGCTGATCGCAATAATCTGAAATTTGAACTTAAAAATGATTAAACGAATTATTGAAACAAGAAATTGCGCAGACGTTCAAAACGTAAATAAATGGCCATCTTTTGAATGTCTGCGCAATTTCGTGCAAATTTTACTATCACATCACTGTTATCACTATATAGAATATTTTTCTTGCAAAATTTCTATCAATAATTTTCGTAGCAAATTCGGTGAACTATTTTAAATCTCGAGGGAAAATTTATGATAATCTATAGTAACTTTGGTAAAAACACCCAGAATTTTTAGATATCATTGTTATAAAAAATGAGTGAAATCTGAATCGGTATAACTTCCGGCTACGTGCTTTTTTACGAACATTTACAAAATTCGTTCTAATACAATTTACGAGGGTGGGGTGACAAGTACCGGGCCTCACATAGATGTGGGAGTAATAAGATCAGTATAATGATGACATTCCATAATTTCATCTTCCATCAGCTTCCCTTAAAAATTTCATGTCAATATGTCGTTTAGTAGTTGGATGGCAGTCCTTCAGATTAGATGCTTCAAACAATTCTAACAAAATGGAAAAAGTGGAAATTCGGCCAATGATTAAATTTTTTTTTTTTGAAACGCCTAAAAGCAAGTGAGATCAACAAAGTGTTGGATACAACATTGGGAGACTCCTCTCCATCGTATACAACAATTAAGTGATGGGTTGCTAAATTTAAAATGGGCCGAATCAGCACAAATAATGAACCATGCAGTGGGCACCCTGTTGAGGTGACCCCTCCAGAAACTACAGAAAAAAATCATAAAATCATCTTGGCTGACCGGAGAGTGAAAGTGAGGGAGGTAGCAGAATCAATAAAGATCACAACAGAACGTATTCGAAATATTTTACATGAACACTTAACAATGAAAAAGCTTTGCGCCAGGTGGGTGCCGCGTTTGCTCGCTCCAAACCAAAAACAGCGTCGTAAGGATGTTTCGGCTGATTGTTTAGCACACTACAGGCGTAACCCAACTGAGTTTTTGCGTCCATTCATTACAGTCGATGAAACATGGTTCCATCTTTACACCCCCGAGACAAAACAGCAGTCGAGACAGTGGATCAAAAAAAGAGAACCTCCAAAGAAAGCGAAGACAGTTGCATCGGCCAGTAAGGTTATGGCCACCATCTTTTGGGATGCGAGGGGAATAATTTTTATTGACTACCTCCAAAAGGGAAAAACAGTTAGTGGGGAATATTATGCCACTCTACTACAACGTTTACAACAGGAAATTAAAGCAAAACGACCAGATTTGCCGAAAAAAAAAGGTGCAGTTTCGTCAGGACAATGCACCAGTCCATACTTCAGTCATTGCGATGGCTACAATTCATGAATTAAAATTTGAATTGGTTCTACACCCTCCCTACAGACCCCATTTAGCCCCATGTCACTTCCACCTTTTCCCAAACCTCAAAAAGTGGTTGGGTGGTAAGAGGTTTATGACAACATCAAAGCAGCAAATAGTTATTTTGAAGATCTCTACAAATCGTTGTATTACTCCGGTGTAACCGCTCTAGAAGATTGCTGGGTTAAGTGTATCGAGCTAAATGGAGATTATGTTGAGAAATAAATAAAAATTAACCGAAAAAAACAATGCATTCCTGTTGAGGCCCGGCATTAATCACCCCACCCTCGTACATACATACAATAAACAATTTTAACATGAACTGCAAATTTACAAACAAAAAAAAAATGTACGTGTTTATAGAATAGTTACAGTTTTACACATTTCAGATTAGAAATTCACTAATAAATTGGTATTACACTAGCTTACACTCGTTGAGGCGGACTGTGGCGTCAATGCGATTCATTTTTTTTAACAATGATTGCTTTTTTAGTGAAATTGCAAATTAAATTAGACGTACAAACACGTAAAGCACGTGTTTTCACACTCACTAAGCAAAAAGTGATCAAGAGGGCCTTCTTATTACCTGCGTTGCCCTGCATTCTTCTAAACCGAAGTCTTAGTTGCCTACGTTAAGGAATTAATTTTTCTTATTTTTCAAATTTAATGCGGTTTCAAGGCGTTTTATTTTTCAGGGCGAATTTTAAATTTCAAATTCTAGACACCACAGTATGTTACTACAAAAAAAAAAAAAAAAAAACGTGTAAATATAAAAAACGTTGATTCAAATTTGTCTGATCCTCATCAATTTGATGACGTTATACCTCAAAATTTTGCAAAGTAGATTCTGTTTCAATTTTATAAAATAACAAAATACATACCTGGATTACGGGAATCTTTTTTGATCACTCGTGAGCTTAGTTTTCTCTAGATAATGCCAATGTAGTTTGCGAAATACGTCGAAAAAAAGATTTGTGTAGTTTCAGTATTTGGGGAATTAAGTGAGGGTAACAAAATAGCTGTGGCTTATGAATCCATCTTTTTTTATACCTTGGATATTCAGATTTTTAGAAAAAGAAAAGAAAAATTGGATAGCAACATTTTACAAATAAATAATAATTTGTTCTCCATATTTTGTGTTTTTATTTAGGGGCACCTTTGCAATCGTAGGGTTCTTCACTCTGAATTTGAACGTATTGCGCCATCAGAAAAACCACACACAGTGTAGGGCGTATTTGAGTCGTTATTACAAGACGATTGCAAAAGCTATGTAGAAACTTTATTTTTTGTTTACGCCGCGTTAAAATTATAAGTAATTTATGAAACTGGAAAGCGGAATTCTGAGTTTTTGTGAAACTAACTCGTTAAAATAGTTGAATTGACTATTTGGAATAGAAAGAACCCCCATTAATATTTTTTCAGACATCACATTTTAGAAACTTACTTCGCAATCGTGTTACTCTGTTACTGCAGATGAAATTTTTCTTCGTGACCGTGACGCCCCACGATCGAACTTATTTTTATATCATATATGTATCTCTTGTTAGACATATGTATGATATCTACATGTACTTAGATATGAGCATTCCTTGATCTATGTAAAGATATTCTAGATGTTTCAATTTTTTTTTTTTTTGGTAACATATTTATTAATACATTAGTTATTACAGCTTTTATTAAAAATAAACTGTTAAATTTGTATTATCTATAAGTTTTGGCGTGGTGTCGATGTTATTTATGTTGTCTGTACTATCCGAGTCAGTCTGCAAAGAAGAAATAACAATATATTTAAAACTGCATTGGTCCAAAAAATTACCTTGTCATCTCCCCAGCTTAACTTTTTTGTTCTGCTGGATGAAGCGGAAGATGGCCAACCCGGCGGCTGTGGCGCTGGATGCACCTTAGGGCTTGGTATTCTAGATTTAACTAAATCACTTGGGATACCACCCATTGCAGAGGCTGTATGTGTTTTAACTCGATCTCCGAACATGGGATTGCTCATTCTTTCGGTCATCGCAGGAGTAGCTTGTGACTTTTCAGGTTGCAGCGATGGAAGCTCTTGTCTAGGCGACCTTTTCCTGTTTCAGAATAGCAATAAATACATTACAAATTTTCTCAGAGGACGTTGGCAATAGCCTTAACACCTGTGCACAGCATAGATATCAATATTGATATCTATGCTGTGACCTGTGCTTAATACTTACGCTTTACAAATGTAGGCAACCAGCAATGCTATAACAAATGCTAAGAGTAGAAGTATTGCACCAAGTCCGGCCAGAAGAAGCGGGGCTCCATTATTTCCTCTAGAAGATATAATACCGGCAGCATCGCCAGATTCGGGAAAGTGGACTGTTACGGGAACGCTGGCTCTCCGAGGCGGATTACCACTATCTGTAGCTACGACGCCCAAATTAGCTATTCCTTTATGTCCTCCTGTTTCGCGAAGTCTTAGTTCTCCACTCGGAGTGATAAAAAATATAGATGCGTTAACTCCATTTAGTGTTAACGTTAATTTATCATTCTTGTCACCGTCAGCAGCTTCTATTCGACCTATTAATTCATTTGGTTGGCCGGTAACGAAAAATTCGTAGTGGGGATAGCGAAAACGAGGTTCCCATTCGTTGATGTCCTGTACGCTTACATTTACCACACTTGAGTCATTCTGAAAAATGGAAGCAGTAGGTGATTGTGTTAATCTAATAAAAGTGTTAAGTTTAAATTTTTGCCACTATTTGAAAACAGCTAACTTCGCCAATATTTTTTGTCACCTTATGAATAAGACATGTTAGATCAGATATAGGTATATGAATTTTCACAAACCAAGTTAAATTATTTGAAAATCTAAGTTTACTTTCAAGGAAAAAATATCTGTTTATGAGATCTCAGATTTTTTCAAGTCTGAATTTGATTTGGATTGGGTGCGGATAAAATTTGTAACATGGATCCGGGTCTACATTCAGATCCTAGCTCCGAATCCCAATTTATATCCGGATAACTGATAATGTCTGAGTGCCGATCACTACCCGGATATAACAACATTCATTTTTATGGATTATTATTTGAAAATATATACAGATTCCATATTGATTTTGATTTTTACAAAAATCATACTAACTCCTATTACTATGTCCGAATACAAATCATTCTTAATTTTTAATTTTTTACAATCTACATTCCTTTAATGAGTCTGTTCTGTGTACTTTTAAATGGTTTATATGCAGGAAAAAAAATATTTGCATGTTAAAGTGTACTATTTCTATACTTTAAAATAATTTAACTGCATATTTTTGGTCAAAAACTTTTGTGCACAGGGAGCATGGGACCTACTGAACCAACCTGGGAAAAATTTAGACCGACGCTCCTGAAAGGCCGAATGAGCCATTTTTTACAAATTCTATTTCATTTAAAACTACTTATATAAAATTTGGATTCGGGCACCGGCGCTGTGGTGTACAACCACGGTCACTGGCGCCTCTGGAAAATCCCCGATTTACAGATTGTTCCATCCACCCTTGTTATGACATCCAACATTAAATTAAGTTAAAATGCTACACTAAATTACTACATCCGCTAATCTTGGGCGTACAACAGAATCAGTTTTTTGCTGTGAATAAACTTATAGAAAAGAATCATAACCATAAAGTGAACAATTTTTTAAATCACAGATAAATAAATAAAAATAAATATGTATAGTTTTTAAGAGCATTAAAACTGACTATGAACATTACTTTTTATATTATATAACAATTTTTTATTCAAAGATCTGATTTTAGAAATCTAAAAATTAACGAAATCATTGGCATATTTAACCGATTAATAATAATTAAGATATAAATGAAATAATAAAAAAACAAGAAATTGTTAGCAATGAAGGTGGACAATAAAGCATTAATTCTTTTATTTGCCAAATTAATTGATAACGCTTCTGACCTTCTTCTAACTCAACAGAATTTCTTTATATCCAGAAATAATAAGTATTTCCATCTTTTTTACTACCCACGGACTACCTTTAGGGTTTTATGTCTTGATCCGGATATTCAATTTTGAAAGATTTGTCTTACAAATGCACACATATTTGGTTATATGTGGTCATGATTCACTTTTAGATGCACTGATATCATCCGGATAGTGGAAAAAAATTGGATTCGGATCCGCAAAAACTGCGAATCCATACACCATTAATTTAGGCATGAACATTATAGTATATTATTAAACGATAGAAAGTCATATTGTGTAAGATCTGGAGAAATTGAAAAATGGAGTAAAATAAATATGCCAGCATTTCAATCAAGCTATTTTTTAACCACGAGTATTCAAAGGTGGGAGTGGGTACATACATATACATTTACAATTATATATTTTTTTCAACTTACAAAACACAACATGAAAAGACGTTTTAATTATGACATTTCTCCTTTGTGGAAAGTCCACTAGAATGGATACGATAGCAGCATTTGTTGAGAGAGATGTGGACGATGAAGGAAATTCATTTCATGAAGGTACATGGAAAGTGTTTTGTTTTCCTACACTTTTTTCTGTTTGTCTACGACATCCTACTATTTTTTAATGACACTTTATATATTTTTTTTGCGATTCTTGTAGAGGTTACATTAATCATTAACCATACCCGCCACCGCTACTGATTCCAAAGCATTATGCACAGACCACACACAAGTGTGTGGTCTGTGGCATTATGCTACGAAAACACACTTGTTTATATTTGGTCTAACGCATGTGCATTGCAGCAGGCCAGCAGTGTGTGCAGTTTAGTATTTGTATTTGTAAAAATCATAAAATTATTTCTCCAAATTAACTGCTAGGCGATTTGTTTCACTTCATTTATTAAATGTACAACGTACGTCATTCTGAAGCTCGAGACAATCGTTAGTTGTTGAAATACGTCGGAAGATTTTTAGGTCGTCAGTATACATTAGAATATGGTTATTTTATTAATAACGTCGCGTCGTTTACGTAAATGGCAAAGAACAGTAGACCCACCACCGAGCCCTGTCGGACCCTAAGGTGCAATACTTTGCTCGGATATCATGATATTTCACAAACCGATATGTTCCAGATAAATAAGGACTAAATAATTTAACTAAGTGTTCAGAAAAACCGATAGAATGCCATGGTTTAATTTGTTAAAGGCCGTTGAGTAGTTGGTATCCACAACGTCCAGCTGTTGTTTCATATCGAAACTGTCTGATACAAATTGAGTAAAGGAGCACAAATTGGTTACCGTCGATTGTAAATTAGTGAAACCATGCTGCGAGTCGCTTACGCTATTATGGATGTAAAATATTACATATTTATGAATACGAGTAATTATATCAAAGATTTTTGAAAAACTACATAGCAAAGAGAAATTTTCCATGTATTTGGATCTGGAACGCATGAATGCTTTAAGGTTAGATTAAACATGCGACACAAAATGTATACGAAAATATTGAAGCACAGTATGATAGTAAAAAGCTGGGAATATTATCATAACCGCAAGTGAAATTGGCTTCGGACTTTTTAGGGCTTGGTGGGCATCAGATTCATCAAACTGCGGAAGATAAATAGGAGTACAACAGAACTCATCAATAAAAGAAATGTTTGACAAATGCGTTAACGATGGCATTAAATCAGGACTGCACAAGTAAGATATTGTTTAAATAATTTATTTGGCGAGGTATGCCAGAACATTTTTTAATATTGTTGATATGTGCCCAGAATTTCTTGGGATCAGATTTTATATTGGTTTCCAAGTCAAGAATTTAATAATGATATGCCTTTCTATTTAATATCTCGTTTTAAGTCAGCACGGACTCTTTTAAAGTTAACAAGGATTGCTACACACTTGTTGGTTTTAAGTTTAAGTCCTAGGTTACATTTAACTTTTATTTATTATTGTTTATTAAAATTACCATCACGGGTCCGGTGTCTGGTCATCAAGGAAATATCTATCACCTTGCCAAAAAACTCGTTTAAGTCTTACAAGATTGATTATTGGCATCTGTCCATGACTTAGTAAGACTGAGATTTAAGAAGTATTTCGAAATTATGTCTCAGTGCGTGTTTTTAGATGAATACCAGTTTTGCGCAACCGACTGACCAGAAAAATAAACCCAGTTAGTCCACTTAGCTAAATCTTTGTTAGCAGATTTGTAGGGGAGTAATTTATAACAATTTTTGAAATGAAAATGAAATCTCACATCAGTTTGAATTATTAAACGGTAGGAGTTATAGGCGAAGCGAGCGCGGTCAAAAAACCCGCATTCACTCACTTCACACCGGTGAAAGAACTTTATCAGTAAATTAAACAAAAAGAATCGATAATTCTACATACTAGAAATGATTAGAAACTGAAATAAACTGCAAACCTTTTGTGCGAAGATGAAAAATCGATTCCTTAATACAAGGTCTATCAATTGATATAAAAATTGCTATCAAAAATCCGAAGGAATTCAAGATAAAAAGCATACAGCGACCAAACGCACGTGTGATCTCACCTAGTTCATGCGGCGACACTTTTTGTGTTATCTATAAATGATGTATGTTATTGTCTACCATACATCATGTTAAAAATTGCTTCTTGTGGACGATTTAACACTTTTCCTTTAAATAAAGTGCAAAAAAACTGCAAAAAGACTGAAATGCAGCAGTTGTTTGGAGCGATACTAAACTAGTAAATTTTTTAACAAAGATAAATGCTATCTTGCCACATTTATTTAAGAAATTAATAACATTTCTATAGCTCCTACATAGAGGAAAAAATAAATCGTCAGGAAATGTACGAAGATATGGGAGTTATTTTCGATTTCACTAACCACAGATTTATTGTTCGCAGCTGTAAAGACATTAACTGTATCTTTTAAATGTATTTCACTTCGTTCGTAAGATCTAAATAATTGTAGTATTAATTTGATCATCCATTTGAGAAATTGATATATCAATACCAAAAATCAGGCAAAGACTTTTTTTGAAATTTGTCTTGTTTAAATTTGATGGTAACTATCTTTCAAAAGGACATGGTCATTCGATTTTATTAGCTAGATTTGGACACACTTCTTTAAATACCAGACATGTAATTCTAGCTACAAAATTCCGACATGCTGTTGTAAATAATATTTAACATCCTTTATTCGTATCTAGGTACATACATTGATAGCAGCAGTTGTATTAATGTCCGTTTGATTTAACAAAGCATTTTCTAAAGTTATTAAGAAAGTTTTAGATTACTTATGTTGTATTATTTCGGTGTTCGCATAATATAATTTTAGGTTTTCCGGTTAATATATTTTTTCTCGTTGAAAAATTATTATTAGTAATAAAGATTGTAAACTACTTATTATGTTCTAGTGAAGTTGAACTTACCGTAATTCCGTCAGTAGCAAAAACTTTAAAGACGTAATCTGGTTTATCTTCGTAATCCAATTTTTTTCGTAATGACAGCTCTCCCTTGGTATTGATCGCAAAAAGTTTAAGAATATTTTGGTCTGATACAAAATAACGTAAATGTTGATTCGGCCTATTATTGCTAAACGTTCCAACAGTTACTCCAACTGGCGATGATTCTGACACTTTAAAGTGAAATGTTCTATGCAAAAATCTAATGCCGTTATCTAAATTTCTAGAAACTGTTAAAGTTGCTAAAGCATAACGATCAGGATTATCTTGTTGAGTAGCCCTGATAACAAGAGTTGCAGGATGGTGTAAATCACTGTCCGTTAAATCACGAGACAAACTCACTGTCCCTGAATTTCTGTGGATTTTAAAATATGTGTAATCAGTCCCCAGACCATTGAAAGTGTAGAAAACTGGGGCATTAATTCCCAAATCTTGATCGAAAGCTTTGATATCTCTCGGTTTGACTATTAACACGCTGCCTCGCTTTGGTGGTTCTGGTACACTTGCCGTGTAACGGTCGTCCAAAAATCGTGGGTTTTGGTCATCAGCATCAACTACGTGGACTGTTAGCACTGTGTCCGTTTTTTTAGGGGGTTCTCCATGGTCCTGAGCACGAATATTCACGTCAAAACTCTTCAGGGTTTCATAGTCCAGAGGTTTTCTTAACACTAAAGTTCCTTCCAGTTCATTTTCAAATTCGAAATAGTCAGAATGTGGCCCTGGTAACACTGAATATTTTACACTAGAGAAAGGACCTTGCTGGTCGTTGTCTATCGCATGTACACCTTGTAACACTCTTGTGCCCACAACAGTTACTTCTGAAATATTTAACACGTAGGGAGAGTTTATAAACACTGGCGAATTATCATTAGCATCAGTCACTCTAATGTTAATGGGGATAACAAATCCAGGATCTAAAGTATGAAGTCTTTCACATATCAAATTGATGAAAACGGAAGATGGTCCCTCGACTCCTTCCTTGTCCAATTTTCGACGAAGAGTTAAGTTCTTTGTTCCGGGTGATATGGCTATAGGGCTGTCGATTTCTTTGAGGCGAAGTGCGATCGTCCCTCCAGGTCGAGGGTCTCCATGAACTCTTACTTGACCGATGGTAGAACCGACTGAATTATTTTCTGACACGAAAAAATTTTCGGATGATGCTCCATTTTCTAAATAACAGCGATTGTCATTTAAACCTGTAAAATAAACATATTTTTTAAGAATTTAACATTATGGTGCAGATGTTGCTTGCTTCAGTGGGTTTATCATGAATCCGTACAGTAACGGTAATTAAAATGACTATTATTTTGATTTAGAGTGACGAAGTTTACATGTATTTACTTCACACGTATGTTTTCAACAATTACCTGGGTTTTGAGTTTAACGTCGCTAAATTAATGTTTCATTTCAGGATTTAAATGAAGCTTTCTAGTTGCCGCGTAGCGAAAATAGCATCATTATTTACAGTGGCCATTCCAACGAAATTATGCATTCGTTCAAGTTTCACTTGAATAACTATGGTTAGTCCAAATCAAATGCAAATGACCAGAGCGGAAAGATAATAAGATACTCAGACTGATTTGATTCGTTAATTACTGAGGTTTCTTTGACACCTGCTGGTTATGTTCTTTTAATTGTTCGTGAGAAAGTGGCACAACGCGAAATGTTTCATGTCTGACAATGAGATGTAAGAAATTAATACATGCCTACATGCATTAGCACGTAGATACTCTATTTTAGATATTGGATGTTTGATAATTGAGTTTGTCAACCTATATACAAAGTGTTTTAGTGCTTTATTTTAATTTTACGATCTTTACGATTGAATTACAAGTGTGAAAATAATATAAATGCTGAAAACTCATAAAGATTGATTATTTTGTTATTCTAAAATTAGTCGTAATACTTCCAATTTACCTCAGAAATTATGTTTTTAATCAAACAAAAGTTCAGTCCTTTTTCATGGCGTAATTAATTGTGCAAAGACTCCAAAGACGTATAAACAAACAAAAATCGGTGGCAATAATAATCGATAAACAACACAACTCTAGTGCGCGTTCGATTTTCTCATGGGTCTTTTTGTTTCTTAGACTGTTAATAAATAAAATTTCTCAAAATCAAATTTTGCAATTTGTCAAAGAAACAGGATTTGTTCGGGCGAGGGAAGTTCTGCCGAAATAACCTTCGACAAATTTTTTTATAATTCTGTATTTTATTTCGCACCAAATTTACATTTACGGTTATTTAGACAGAACTTCTCTCGCCTCTGAAATACAATCCAACAAATACCGCTCCTTTAAAAGTCATAAAATTAAATTTTTTGTAATCTCTATAAATTAAAAAAATAAAGATAAGACTTACACTTAAAAAAACCCACTGCATGAGCGCTCCGAATGCGCGATCTTCGAGTTACAAGTCTGTGTTATTAAGACATGTGATGATTTTCTTGTCTGGGGTAAAAACTCAAGGCGGATTCATAAATCAAAGTACATGTGTATGTTTTCTCATAAAATTTAAATGGCGCATACTCTAAAAAATTGATTTAAAGTTATTTAGGCAGAACTTTTCTCACCCCTAAAGCTCGTTTTTTTTGAAAAATTACAAAAATTTGATTTTACCAATTTCATGTTTTTTTTTCTTCTCTTCAAATTTAAATAAAGATATATGTGTAGTGTTAAAGTAAAGGTAAAGATGCATGCTATACGTAAGTTTCAAGTGAGCTTTTTCATTGCAAAATTTTACGATGACGTCATCAACATTGTAGCAAGCCCTATAACAACTTGGACAAGTGCAGTGCAATATTAATAATAACAGTATTCCCAAATTTTCTGGAAAATGGGGTGAGCTATTCTCGATTTAATCCATGATCAATAAATATTTTTTTTGAGTCACTATAGGTTTAGTATAAGCAATTCTAAAAAAATATGAACCAAAATGATAATACTTTGTACATTCTAGACAGGATTGATTCGGCAACATTTTGAGATGACTTCTCAATTTGGGGGCACGAGGGAGGATAAACAGATTAACTTTGATTAACCGTTTACCTTACTTACCGTTTTAAGTTTGCGAGATTTCAGAACATTCGGATTTGCAATTTCAAAGTTATATTATAAAATGTTGTTATAAAATTTTGTTTATTTTTCAAAAATCTGGATGTGTTTTTAAACTCAACACGGATTCATGATCCAAAAGCGCGGGAATATCTTATTTTATAAGATTTAAGTAATATTTGCTATCGTAAATTTGAAGATGACGTCATCCCATTGTTGGTAGGGATTATCACATTTTGGTTAGCGTTTTACTACCTAAAATTGACAACAATCGGTGCAATAGTTTCGGAAATCATCTGTCTAACAGACGGAAACGCAACATCTACTTTTTCGTATCATAGCAGTCATGAAACGTCGAGAAAATATGAAAGCAGCTATTCATCGGATGAATCCTATATAATAAATACTTCTTTAGCTTACGGTTGGTAAGTAAAACAACTAAATCATAATAATAATAAAGTAAGTTCCACAAGAACAAAGAAATATGAGTATAAAAATATATAACCATAAGAAAGTCTATATCTAACTACTTTTAAGTGTTATCGAACATTAGAAGAGATATAATAATACGAACTCTTCGATGATCAACTTTTTATTTCTCTGTGTAATTTTAATTAAGCGAGTGCGTTTATTCTGGTATGTACGGTGGTGATGACTCATCGGCCGGGCGACGCGGGTTCGCTGACGAAAAGTCTGGAAGCGGAAGTCGTGATGGATATTCGTGATGGAAAGACCTTGATCGCAGAAGTATCGGTTTGAATAGAACGGGAACGAGGAGGATTCAGTCAATCGAATCCACGAGAGTACAGTTAAGTTGCGCCGGAATTATTTTGTATATAATCGCTATGTAATAATCAGTCGTGTAATTCGAGTTATTAAGAAATAAATTATTGAGTTTTACCCACGCAGATTTTATTCACCGATCAAACGTAATAATATAAATAAATAGAATTATAAAAAATATTTCTATTATGGTATTATTATTAGGTACGCTTCTTATAATCTAAAGTGATAACACTAGCACGTTAAAAGCACATTTTTGTGCCCTAATCTAATACGTTTAACGTCAAATATTTTTTGTCTCAAAAATTGTACTTTTCGTTAAGATTTTTTCCGCAATTAGAAATTATATTTCAGAACAATAACCTGTAGCTATCTATATTAAAAAACATCGTTATGAAATAAGAACAAAATGCGTTCTCTAATTACGTAAAGCAATTAGATAATCTTAGTAACAATCAGTTCAAACGCGTTGAGCACTCGAAAAAAATTTTAAGTACGTTAATAAGTTGACTCATGATCCTCAAACAATAAATTGTAAGTTAAAAGACAGGAAGGAATCACGCTGGTGGATATCCTTCGCTCGGTTGATTTTTAACATCACCAGGTGCTGTCGTAGAAACTTCAGACAGTAACAAAATAACTTTGAACCAACGACATTAATGTTTGCTCTTTTATTCTTGCGATTCGTTTAGTTATAGCCTACTTGCTCGAGCATTAATATCGATCTCGCATAATAATGAGCAACAAACTGAAACAGAAAAGCAACTACCGGCAAGTGGGTTAAAAAATTACGCTATATTTTAATTATTCACTTGTTATCATAACAGTTATCTATAAATTATGTACTTGCCTTGGCTTGCAGACAGATGGAGAACCAGCGTAAATGCCCAAAGGGCATTAACATACGCGTTGTACCACTTGATGGCCATTGTCTCGACATCTAAAAAAAAAAATACATTTGAAGAAGTTTTCACAACAATGCTAAAATTTATCCGTTTTGCTTATGAAGGAAAAGATAGTATCACGTTTGTATTAAATGAAGATAGATCTTTTTTTGACTTTTAAGAAAGCTGAAAACATGTCAGCGTTTGTAATGATTCTGAGTTTTAATTACACATAAATCTAACAATTTCAACTTTCTTCTGTTATTAACTATAAGGATCTGTAACATAATTTATACCTATGAGAAAAGGAGATGTAATTAGGTTGATTTGTTGCTATAATACTGATATATTATTTCCTAAAAGTGCTTTCACTTATATGTAATCAGTGAGATAAAATTATTTAATAAAAAGTTAGAATATGAATATGATTAATGAACATAAAAGTTACACAAAAAAGGTGATCAGTTTCATGCATTTAATTTTCACTTTTGTATTTTTTTTTTTGTGCAACGGATGCATGTGAATGTCTTCCACTACACGAACATTGAACTTAGCCTGAGTTTCAACTGGTATTTTTAAGTTTTCAGATTTTGTTGCTTAAATGAACATAATAAACATAACTAATTTTAACAAATTAAACTTTTACTAGTTAAATCTGTCAATTACAACTTGAAGATAACATCAGATTATAATAAGATAGTAAGGCCCGAAGAAGAGCGTGTGAAAAATTGTGTTAATTATACATTTACTGACCTCTTAAGTTTAGAGTTCATTGTTATCTAATGAAATTTGGTTCATTTTAGTATTATAGGTAAGTAAGTAGGTACATGTTTTCACTTTAATCACTGTGAGTGTCTTCGCATTAAACTTTTTGCATTGTCTACACGATCTTGCTTTATCTTAAAAAAATGTTAGTTAGATGTTTTGTTTTTTATTTGTTTGTCTAATTATATTGTCATGTTTTATAACAGCGTGTGTTTTGTAAAATAACTACTAATGACCGATTTCCTGTGCAATCTAATTTAAATTGTTTTTAACGTTTTTTGTGAAAGCAAAGAAAGTGGATTAAGAACATTTTATTCGCCGCAGTTAATGGTATAATGGATTAGGTGCTAAATGATTATTTAAGGTCTTGATAAAAGAAACTTGTAGCAGCGAGCCGGTGCATGCTTGAGTACGCAAATGTACCTATGTGATTAACAAAAAGCAAATACAACGACAGTTGAGAGATTTAATGCAGCAAATCAGAGCAAGTAAGTCAATTCATGCCTTACTTTCGGAATTTTAATCACGGTAACATAATTTGGGCTTCATTTGAATAAAAGATAATATTGCCGGTTAAATCTATAAAAAATATTTTTTGCCACGAAGTTTTCCTAATATAATTAAAAAACATGAAACAGAAAAAAATATCTCAACAACATAGGTACTATATATTCACAGCTTTTCACTGAACTACTTCTACATATACAATATTTCATTCATGCCTTTCGGCGTTTATATCTCTCTATATTAATATAATAATATTTAATGCAAGTAGATCATCAACTTTTTCTTTTTTTGTTATTAAGTGAATTTTGCTCTAAATTATGAATTCCAAAAGTTGTTTACAGTTTTTTTTTATACAAATAAAAACAACATAAAAACAACCACACAGCGAAAAAAAAAAAAAAGTTATATTGCTGTTTGAGATACCTATTTTGTTCTTTGGACTTATTATTAACTGACTTGTTACATGTAATCGTAGTATTTATCTTTCCCCAGAAAAGATGATGGATAAAGAAAAACCAGTGTTATACACAGGGTCTTAATAACTAATTTGCATCTAGTGGGCTATCAAATTAATTTATTAATGTGCCGCTTCATCTGACTTTTTACAAAATTATTTAATCTGTCAATTAGTTGACAATTATTAACCCCTGTACTTTGTTTGCACTGTATGTAAAGATAAATGAAATATTTTGTATTAGTGGCGAACATTTTTAGAACTGTGAGATTTAAAAGATATTTTTCAGGAAAATTCTGCAATTAATTCGGTTAATATGCCAATAAAATTTTCTTTTTATAGAGACATAATAATTAAGAAGTAGCTGCAATCTTTTGATTAAATTTATTGAGACAAAGAGTTAAATTTTGAGAAATAATTTGTTTTTGATTACTTATGCTGTGGAACAAAAAATGTTATCTACCTATACTAGACTTCTTAAGTTGTAATTATTTTTACAACGTTTAAATTTTAACAACAATATTTGCGAATATGTAGTGAATTTTACAATAAAAACATAATTATTCCATAAACTACGAATGATTACCTTTGTGCAATGGTTATTCTTTAAAACATGCAACATGTATCTCAAAATTTTATTTTACAATATTTTAGTTGTTAAGCAGGCATGTTAGTATGATAAAGTTATGGTTTAATGACATATTATGACAATAACATTGTTTCAATTACCTTTTGCATACGTGTACGTAAACACAACATAATAAAATTAGTCAGACACTTTACTACAACACAGATAGGTACATAACGGCGCATAAAATGATTCTTTTATTTTATGTAACTAAAACTTCATTAAAACAAGACATTGTTTTATTGTATTTAGATTTAAAACATATTTATATGTCCGTAGTAGTGCAAATTACCAGCTAAAATAAAAAAAAGCATCATGATTTTTATATAGTGATAAATGACTCAACAGCAGTCGTCTGTTATGCAGTTTGTATAAATATGCAAAATATTTTTATATATAAAACTTTAATATCATATCAAATAAATAAGGGCTAAACAATGCCTGAAAAATTTTAAAAATAATTTTCTTTAGAACAGAATTTAGAAATAAATCTGAGTTCACCTGATTACAAATTGTTTGTTTTAAAATATTTGACTTTTTAAACATTTCGAAAACTAGTTGTAAAAGTTGGCTACAATGAACAGTTTCGATAGTGGCATATTTTTTATAATATCTATAGTATAATATTTATTTTTGTTAACAACGTCACTTAAAATTTAAATTGATAATATATTCAACTATTGCATTTGTTAAGCAATAAATTTAACTCAATTATTAGAATTTGACTAAACGCAAGTTTCACTACAAAACAACACTACTCTTTTTTTCGAAAAAGCAGTTTTTAGTATATATAAAAAAGATTATTTTACACATATACTTTCACAAAAAAAGTTTAAAAATAATAAATGAATACTGAATGAAGTAAGAAAAATAAAAAATTTGTACACACAACTACCTACTAAAAATTATTGTAACCTACCTACAACGTTGTTGTTACCTGTAACTAACACCTCAAAATTAAGTCTATAATTTGTATATCCAGTGTGATTTCATGTATGAATATTTTTTTCTTTTCCTTAACACACACGTAGAAAGGTGTGTGTATCACGATATAAAAAATACGCATTGTTCGTTAATAATTTGTTAGCTGCATCTAATTGATTTTTAAAGTGAAAAAAATGTGTCAATCTAAAGCTCCTGTCTAAAGATTTAGCAACATTGTTGATAAAAATCTCCATTTTCACCTATTGTGTCTACCGGTATAGCACCAGTGCGCAAAAATTTCGAAACAACTGAAAATTACGGAAGTTACTTACCACGCCACTTTGATTCGCTGGTTTCCTTGACAACTAGAGCACATTTATGTTGTTTATTGCAAAAATTTACATCACTAATATCACTAATATTAAACACTTAATGGGAATATTTGAAAATAGTTGTTAAAAGTTTATAGCACAACTTCATTTTACATTTGAAAAGAATTTAAAAAACTGCAGTTTAATTGACTTTTTTTTTAATTTTGAAGATGAACGAGATGTGTTGAAACTAACACTCCACCAAGGTTTCAATATTTTTCAAAACTTTAAAATCACTTATTCAAAACACAGCACAGCACTTCTTCGATGTCCAATGGTTGATACACCGAAGTTACCGTAGAAATGAAGTAATTGGCTGCGTGCACCTGTTCCGTGTGCATTCACCGTATACACAGAAAGCTTCGCTAGGAAGGAATATGTACGTTTTCTTATGTAAAATATTCTTCAGACTAGTAGCTGCTTTTGATATGGATTACACCCATTAATATTTATGAAAATAATTGCAAGAAAAAATCATCATTAAAGAATAAAATATCTTTAATGATATGTGGCTGCTTGATTACGTGATAAAGCAGGTTGAATCATACGAATGGACTACCCGCTTTATTACAATCGTTATTAGGGAGAAATACATTTGGTATTACCCCTACTATTTTCAGGGTATTTCAATATTTGATGAGACGATAAGAGCAAAGTTTCAAATCAGCTATCTATTTTGATAAACACAAATTTTATCGTATCTTAAATATGTAAAAATCGCCACTCCTTAGAATTCTCTTTTTTTTTTGTTAAGAGTACCTATAATTTGTAAATGACATTAGTTTCACTGTTTCAGATGTTCTACTAAATAACAAATATGCGTGAAGAAAGTATTAGCACAGACATTTTTTGGAAAGCGTAAATTATGCGGCTTTTCATTTTTACTCTTCAAAACAAATGGATTTAAACTGAACGCACAATCAAGCATCAATCTCTTGACACAATTGTTACGCTTTTTTTGAGAAATTATTTTGCGTTCCATTAAGACATGTAACAAATCTATTATAAATGTCCATCATAAGGTGAATGGTCACTTTATCAAGAAAAATAGGAAATTTTAGAAAAAAATTACTATTGTAAAATTGCTACGAGGTTAGATGTGTATATAACAGTTAAATACACATACCTTTTCTTTAGCTTTTGCAATTTTTTTTTTGTGCAGCACAATGGACAACAATAATTATTATTTAAACGTGTAGTTGTAAAATTTAAATATTTAGCTATACACTATCTATGGATATGTAAGTAGTATAGAGTTTAAAGAATAAGTGTAACATAGATTATTATTATAAAAAATTGGTCTAAAGAGTTTCGACAGTACTTCCCTCGCTGTCGGAAACGTGACGACTGCATGCCTATTATGTTTTTTTTTTCGCAGTGGATTTCAAAGAATTCGGTTTTGTTGTTTCTGAGTAAATCAGTAAAATAAATTTACGCATTCATTAATTTTTTTGAGTCACCCTGTATATGCAAATCCAAAAAATATGAATGGAGTGATAGATCACAAGTACAGACTCATCATATTTTGTACATTTTAGATATGATTTATTCGGCAAACTTTCGAGCTGACGTCATCAATTTTTTGGAGGGGATAAGCAAATGTATTTTGACTAAACATTTATTATGCTCTTTATAACCTTAAAACATCTGCAAGATTTCAAAGCATTCGGTTTTGCAGTTCATGATTAAATCGAAAAAATAAATTTACGCATTCATTAATTTTTTTGAGTCACCCTGTATATGCAAATCCAAAAAATATGAATGGAGTGATAAATTACAAGTACAGACTCATCATATTTTGTACAGTTTAGATAAGATTTATTCGGCAAACTTTCGAGCTGACGTCATCAAGTTTTTGGAGGGGATAAGCAAATATATTTTGACTAAACATTTATTATGCTCTTTATGACCTTAAAACATCTGCAAGATTTCAGAGCATTCGGTTTTGTAGTTCCTGATTAAATCAATAAAATATATTTACGCATTCATTAATTTTTTTGAGTCACCCTGTATATGCAAATCCAAAAAATATGAATGGAGTGATAGATCACAAGTACAGACTCATCATATTTTGTACATTTTAGATATGATTTATTCCACAAACTTTTGAGCTGACGTCATCAAGTTTTTGGAGGGGGTAAGCAAATATTTTTTGACTAAAGATTTATGATGCTCTTTATAGCCTTAAAACATCTGCAACATTTCAAAGCATTCTGGTTAGCAGATTAAAAATTAAATTTCAAAATGTTGTTTTATAATTTTGATTTTTTTTCCAAAAATCTGGACGTTTCGGGTGAAAAGTCGATTCGGAGTTGTAAACTACATGTGTAGGACTATGTTATTTTATACAATTGAAAACCCATTTACTATGTACAATTTTGAAGTGACGTCATCGCATTAGTGGTGGGGATGATTAGACAAATTTTGGTTAGCGTTTTACCATCTACATGATATTCTTAATATAAGTACAAAATTTCACAACAATCGGTCGAGTACTTTCGGAGATTATCTGTCTAATAAAAATCCGGGACAACAGACGGACAGACGGACGGACAGACGGACAGACGGACGGACAGACGGACAGACGGACGGACAGACGGACAGACGGACAGACAGACGGACAGACGGACAGACGGACGGACAGACGGACAGACGGACAGACAGACGGAAATGGGAGACCTATTTCTTCGTCTTCTAGGGGTCATGAAAGATCGAGAAAACGTAAAAGTAGAGAGTCGGCCGACGGACTCGATTACAATACTTCCTTTGCTTACGCTCGGGAAGTAAAAAAATTGGTCGAAAGTTGTTTCGACACAATTTCTCTTGCTTCTGAAATACAATGATAATTTTTTTAGTTGCCCTGTATACGCAAATCCAAAAAATATTAATGCAGTGATAAATCACAAGTATAGAGTCATAATCTTTATACATTTAAGATAGCATTTTTTCAGCAAAATTTTGGGGCGGCGTCATCAATTTTTTAGGAGGGATGAGCAAATACATTTTGATCAAAAATTTACCATGCTTATGATAACTTTAAAACATCTCCAAGATTTCAAAGGATTCGCTTTTGTAGTTCCTGATTAAATCAATAAAATAAATTTACGCATTCATTAATTTTTTGAGTCACCCTGTATAAGCAAATAATCCAAAATATATGAATGGAATGATAAATTACAAGTCCAGACTCATCATATTTTGTACATTTTAGATAGGATTTATTCGGCAAACTTTTGAACTGACGTCATCAATTTTTTGGAGGGGACAAGCTAATATATTTTGACTAAAAATTCATTATGCTCTTTATAATCTTAAAACATCTGTAAGATTTCAAAGCATTCGGTTCAGCAGATTCCAAATTAAATTGCAAAATGTTGTTCTTTAATTTTGATTTTTTTCCAAAAATCTGGACATTTCTGGTAAAACTCTATTCGGAGTCGTAAACTACATGTTTAGGACTATGTTATTTTATACAATTTAAAACCCATTTGCTATGTACAATTTTGAAGTGACGTCATAGCATCAGTGGTGGGAATGATTAAACAAATTTTGGTTAGCGTTTACCATCTACATGGTATTTCTAATATAAATACAAAATTTCACAATCGGTCCAGTACTTTCGGAGATTATCTGTCTAATAAAAATCCGTGACGGCAGACAGACGGACAGACGGAAACGGGAGACCTATTTCTTCGTCCTGTAGGGGTCACGAAAGGTCGAGAAAACGTAAAAGTAGAGAGTCGGCCGACGGAGTCGATTACAATACTTCCTTTGCTTATGCTCAGGAAGTAAAAACAATAGGTACATAATCAAAAAGGGGGTAGTTATTTTCTACAAATGTAATACAATCTTTTATTCTTTAAAAATTTAGCTTTTTTCCAATGACGGTTCCTGTCCCAGCGTATAATAAACTAGTGTCTGCCAATTAAATGCACGGTCGGTCATTAATATTTATGCACGATAGATTTGATAAATGGCATTTAAAAATAACAATCGATGATTTTTCTTATTCAGCGTATATATTTTTAACATTTTAAATAGGTTAACTTAGGTATTTATTTTATTTTCAACCTATAAGAAAAATAAATTAACAAATATAAAAAGTACAGTTCAGAGAAATAAAGTTTACACTTTATTTTACAAATAATAGTTAGTAATTTCTATTTCAGGAGCTCTCATTTAAGTTAAAGCCACAAACAATTTAATACATTTTTTTTTATTTTATTCTATAAATCACACAAGGGTGGCAAATACTAACAGTGATAAATTTGGGTTGCGGGCTGGCCATGGAGTGGAACTTACATTACCGATCCAATTTTTATAATAAAGTTTTTTTAGAATTAAAAAAGAAATATTGTTATACTTTAATTTTTCTGATGTGACAACAGTAGTAGTGTCTGTGTTTGGACTTAGGTTTCCATGACAATATAATATGGGAACTAGATATAGAATTTAAGTGTGATAAAATATACGCAGCCGTTAAAAAAAATAAACAAAAGTTTGCGTAACGACACCGACGTCATATGTATCATATTCGCAATGTACTAAATAAACTTCCCTCTTCAAGCTAAAAACAGTGGCTTTTACAGAAATATTATCTCTATCCGTTATCAGGATATTGGGCCGTGGAATTTTAGTGGCTACTCAAGCTAAGTAATAAAAAATGAATCTAAAGTTATTTCGGCAGAACTTCCCTCGCCTCTGAGGCAAGAAGTCCAGTTTCTTAGTCACAAAAGATGGTTCCGTAAATTTAATTTTTGTATGGAAACATCTCTATATTTAAATAAAAAATAGTACTGTTTTCTCAGAATGTTCGGAAAATTAAATAAAGCTTTTTATACTAAATTTATAAAATCCAGTGAGTGATTCTATAATTTTTTTAAACATCTTCTATAAATAATTCTAAAGAATAAAAATATATGTATTACTAGTGTGCAAATAACGTTGCGTCTCGAAGCACATAACTTATCAATTAATTAGTTCTTTCTTCTGTTTTAAAGAGACAAAATCAATAATAAAATTTCATTTTGTTTTAACACAAATGTATGCCGCCGCTGATACTTATTATCTGAACGTGCTAATAGTCGAGTTCATTCGAAGTACAAAAAAATTCGCAACTATGAAAACCCAAATTTACCTGCAGAGTCCATCTGATTCCAAGAAGATGGAGCACCTCCTCACTTCGAACGTCAAATACGGAATTACTTTAATGAAACTTTTCCTGGAAGGTAGATAGGACGAAGGGGAGCAGTTAAGTAGCCAGCGAGGTCACCTGATTTAACCCCACTTGACTTTTACTTCCCGAGCGTAAGCAAAGGAAGTATTGTAATCGAGTCCGTCGGCCGACTCTCTACTTTTACGTTTTCTCGATCTTTCATGACCCCTAGAAGACGAAGAAATAGGTCTCCCATTTCCGTCTGTCTGTCCGTCTGTCCGTCCGTCTGTCCGTCTGTCCGTCTGTCCGTCTGTCCGTCTGTCCGTCTGCCGTCCCGGATTTTTATTAGACAGATAATCTCCGAAAGTACTAGACCGATTGTTGTGAAATTTTGTACTTATATTAAGAATATCATGTAGATGGTAAAACGCTAACCAAAATTTGTCTAATCATCCCCACCACTAATGCGATGACGTCACTTCAAAATTGTACATAGTAAATGGGTTTTCAATTGTATAAAATAACATAGTCCTACACATGTAGTTTACAACTCTGAATCGACTTTTCACCCGAAACGTCCAGATTTTTGGAAAAAAAATCAAAATTATAAAACAACATTTTGAAATTTAATTTTTAATCTGCTAACCAGAATGCTTTGAAATGTTGCAGATGTTTTAAGGCTATAAAGAGCATCATAAATCTTTAGTCAAAAAATATTTGTTTATCCCCTCCAAAAACTTGATGACGTCAGCTCAAAAGTTTGTGGAATAAATCATATCTAAAATGTACAAAATATGATGATTCTGTACTTGTGATCTATCACTCCATTCATATTTTTTGGATTTGCATATACAGGGTGACTCAAAAAAATTAATGAATGCGTAAATTTATTTTACTGATTTACTCAGAAACTACAAAACCGAATGCTTTGAAATCTTGCAGATGTTTTAAGGTTATAAAGAGCATAATAAATGTTTAGTCAAAATATATTTGCTTATCCTCTCCAAAAAATTGATGACGTCAGCTCGAAAGTTTGCCGAATAAATCCTATCTAAACTGTAAAAATATGATGAGTCTGTACTTGTAATTTATCACTCCATTCATATTTTTTGGATTTGCATATACAGGGTGACTCAAAAAAATTAATGTATGCGTAAATATATTTTATTGATTTAATCAGGAACTACAAAACCGAATGCTCTGAAATCTTGCAGATGTTTTAAGGTCATAAAGAGCATAATAAATGTTTAGTCAAAATATATTTGCTTATCCCCTCCAAAAACTTGATGACGTCAGCTCGAAAGTTTGCCGAATAAATCATATCTAAAATGTACAAAATATGATGAGTCTGTACTTGTCATTTATCACTCCATTCATATTTTTTGGATTTGCATATACAGAGTGACTCAAAAAAATTAATGAATGCGTAAATATATTTTATTGATTTAATCAGGAATTACAAAACCGAATGCTTTGAAATCTTGGGAATATTTTAAAGTTATTATAAGCATGGTAAACTTTTGTTCAAAATGTATTTGTTCATCCCTCCTAAAAAAATTGATGACGTCACCCTTAAATTTTGCTGAATAAATCCTATCTAAAATGCAAAAAATATGATGAGTTTGTACTTGTGATTTATCATTCCATTCATATTTTTAAGATTTTCTTAAGAGGTGGTTCAAAAAAATTAATGAAGTCAATTTATTTTATTGATTAAATTAAAGGCAACACTTATTATTAGTATTACACCCCAACCAACCCAATTTGGTAGACACAAAATTTGTTAAAGGAAAAACTCGGTTGAAACATAAGGGTAGCACGCTTATTTACATCGACTTTAACATTACAGACCTGCATTTGTTTTATGCGCTCACTTGGTTCCGCGAATGTGAAATAGACATGTTTATAATCAACCAATTGTGAATTTCACCGTCAAGAATTAAAATAAAACCCAATGTTTTATATAATAAGCGGAAGTCGAAGCAATAAAACCGATGGTCGTTTTGTTTACAGTTTCTCTGTTTGACTCTCACGTATGCTGTTACGCTTGTCATCTTAAATTAAGAAATGTTTATACATAAACGATTTACAGTTGCCTTTCATATTACTAGACAGCGGATTTTTGTCGGGCTACGTCACGTTTAATCGGTACTAATTCCATAAATATAATTAACGATTTATTAATCAAACGGCTAAGTAAATGAGAACGGGAATTAACAGCAGAGTGCAACGAAAAAGCGTTATTCTAATCTCAAATAAACGAAGTGCAGTCCGCAACCGCAATGAATTCGCATCCCGTACGAGCCGTACCGAGTTTGGCCTTGCCTAGCCCGACAGAAATCCGCTCTCTAGATATTACACACCGACGCCGTATACGTGAGTAAATTGTTTCGTTATTTTATTGATTATAAGAAATCAATATTCAAAACGACCCAATTCATTTTCCCGAAAATTTGGGAATACAATAATTTTATTCTTAGTATTACACTACATCTATCCCAACTGATATACGTGTCCTTGCAAAAATGTTGATGACGTCATCACAATTTTTTTTTTAAATTCCCACTACAAAAATGTAATGAGAAAAAAACCACAATAGGCATGCACTCGTCAAGTTTCCGACAGCGAGGGAAGTACTGTCTAAACTCTTTAGACCAATTTTTTTCTGTAGGGTTATGTAAAAAATCGAGTTTTTTTTAATAAACCACAAAACATCGAAGAACTCCAAGAAAGATATTAAATGTGATTCTGATTACTGATTTCCTCCTTATATTCTAACAGATTCATTTGAAAAATTTGCGCAACATATATATTTACTATGGCCTGGAAGTAAATGGATAACATTTTGAACATTTCTTGTAAAATTGTTGTTTTTTAAATGTTAATTTGATCTTTTTTCAATAATGTAACTTTTTATTTAAATTTTTCAAAAAGCTTTCATAACAATAATGTACATATTTCTAGAATAATTTGTAAATTATTTGGAAACAGCATTTAAATCAATCTGGTACGATGGCATCTTTATTTCAGTTTATGTTCCCACAGTTCTTTCATTTTTACAATGATTGGGTACTAGTATAATTTTTGAATAAAATGTCCCACGCCAGCACTATGAAAGGTGATAGTATTATCAAGGCTAGCTACGATTTATTGATTTTCAGTATTTTTATTTTGACAATTTATTGTACCATGCTGGGAAAAAATAAAATAATGATTGCGTTGCATTTCTGAATTCAGCAAAAAATGCACTATTTACAAAAGGAACATTTGACTACTAGTGCTATTAAAAAAAATCAAGTTAGCATTGCATCTGAAAAACAAATGAAGTATAGAATTTAAAAAAATTGCAGAAAATAGAACTTGAGTATTCCTAGGAACAGCCCAAATTTCAAAAAGATTCAGCAACCCATTCTCGCGATATTCAACTGCTTTCCGTTCTTTGTAGCGACCCTGTATATACAATATACATGCTGAAAAAATGGCGAACCAACTCAACGGTACATTATTAAGTTCACAAGTCTAAGTTCAGGAAAAATCATTAAAAAGTTCCTTACGTCAACTTACCGAAACAAAATATCGATTTATACCGATAAATCAAAAAGCTCTAAAAATTACCCACACTTTTCCAATTCATCCTAAACAATTTTAAGTTTTTTGTTATATTATAAAATAAAGGAAACTGTGGATGGAAACAAGATACCTCCAAAATTATTTTGAATAATGGAAGTCTAATTGATTTCATGTATCCAACACTAATAAGTGGTGAATTAGAATATGGTGATATATTGAAATTAAAAGTTAAATTTTGAAGCGGACTATATTTTATACATTTGGTCCCACGAATTTTTTAATTATTTTTTCTTTGTTCTATAGACACTCCTGAACAACGTGTCATAGAATTGGTACGCCATTTTTTCAGCACCTTGTATATAATATTGCAATATTAATATGACCACTAGCCATGGAGGTAGAATTTTACCTTCATGCTACTATCGTATTATTATTAGTGGGAGACCACCTGTTGGAGGAAGGTTTCAAAAGTAAAAACATAATGTGAAAGAGCTAATTATTGCATGAAATATTTATTGGTTGCAGTAGTAAAGATATCTAATGTCAACACAGATGATAATTTCTACAAAATTGTTACAAGAACTCAGAAGTACACTTGATGCCGTGGTTAGGAGCACTAAACTTCCCTCTTCATCACAGAAGTTTTTAATGTTCATGCCAAAACTAGGACGTTCAAGTACCCAAAACTGGACCCACCATACCATCATCTCGTTGGACTTGAACAGCAAGTGCATTTAAGACAAAATTTTAACAAAGTCTCGCATCAATAAGTATTATTTTTATAAAACATTTTTTTCTGTAATCAGGTCGAGTATAAGTCGTTGTATAACTTTTGTTTTGTTATTCAATCTGATTATAACTTTTTTTTTCAAATGGGTTATTTGAATGACAAACTTTAAGGTGAAACACGTGTATTTATGTACTACAGCGTAACTCCAGTGAATGAACAATTCGTTTTGTATTAATTTACAATATTGCAGAAGCAAATAAAACTCATCAAAATGACAATACAAAGTGTTTTCAGTTTTCAGTCACGAACACAACAACTTGTTTCTTACAAAACGGGTCGGACAATGTGTTGTTGATCAGTGGGTCGGCCATTCATTAATTCCACTAAAAATAAATTTCAAGCACAAATTTTCCATCTTTATTACATCATTGAAAGGTGAAGGGTTTCCGTAAAAAGCACACCGAACGCAACGTGACCAGACTGTTCACGTGATGGCATGAACCAATTGCGCGACTGCAAGAACGGCGATCACGTTGTAGTTGTCGTGGAAGACAAGAGTGCCGAAGAGTTTCGCCCCGGTTTAAAATTTTACGAAATTTATTGTGAAGTGTAATCGAAAGACTCCTTTTTATTGCTGGCATAACAACAATAGATTTTCAGACAAACGATCAGGTAATGAGTAAATGCAGTTTGAGTTGACCCAGTTGTTAGCAAGTGACCTTTAGATGTAGTTATTGTAACTAGTGACAACATGTATTAGCCGCAAAAAGTAAGCAGTAAATGAAATGAAATTAATTATCAATGCATGAATAGTTGATTTTAATGACATATCAACCTGGTTTCACCGAATTTGTTAATTTTAAGTATTACTATTTAAAAAATTTAAAAAAATATATTTTCGAATTGTTCAATTGTTGATAAAACTAAACTAAATTTATTTTGTTAAATACATTTTTTATTATTACATTATTATTATTTGTATTTAAATATAGATATTTTTTAATAATTAATATTAAACGAGAGATGAAAATACCTCAAAACTAGTACCTACCTCCAAGAAATAAAAGATAGGTACATTAGATACTGTGATCATGATCATAATTCATCGTAGTAATATTGGTGCCCCAGATTTTGTCAGAATTTATTTTTTTTTATGCAACTACATATTTTTCTGATATTTGTTGGATTTAAAAAAAAGGAAAATCGTAACAATTTTTTTTTTGTAAACTGGCCGTACTTATTTTTTTTAAGATTCACGAGTTATTTACCAGTGTAAAAGCTTTAAATTGTTTAATGTAATAAAATCTAAATCAAAAAATGTATGTCTTTCAACTGGTTAACGGACAAAATAAAATACAAGACAATATTTCCAAATTAGTATCTATTAAGATATCAAAGTTGATCCAAACGTGTATAAATACGTACTTATATATCAAAATGTACACGAGTGTTAACACTGCTAACGTTTTGCAGTCTTTTTTGTCTGACATATAAATTCCTCTCTTTCATAACCGTCTCTACGTAATAACAATGGTAATACGCAGTGGTTATTAATAATGTAATAATAATATTTATAGTGTGTTGTAAGTTTAAATGCGTTCTGTGTTTTGTTGCTTTGGAAACGTCAAAATCTGTTATTTGAGTAAATTTAAACGAGACAAATAATTGGGATGTTTTGTAGCTGTGGTAAAAATTTTGTACCGCTAAAATCGCAAGATTTGAAGGTTTTCATTCAATTTGCAATTGTTGGTAATTTCGTCCACTAATTCTTATTTTAAAATTTTTTTAAAGTATTCCCTTTTTATATAGCCAAAAAAATTTGCTATTTTGATAGTCGTTGACAAATAACGTAAACAGAATGGATTCCAGGATTTAGCACTGTGATATACAGGCTAACCCAGATAAAACAAATGTAATATTGAAATTTCGTGTAAGCCGATGTTTTTTGTTAAGGAGGAAAACTTAATTTAATACACTGCAAATGTGATGCATATACAGGGTGATTTTGAAATATATGTAATAATTGTTACCACGGCATCACGTACCCTAGTAAATTGGAAATATAGAAAAAACAAATTAATAGTCGAATAAGGCAAAACCCCCATGCACCACCCTCGATGCGATGCCACTGATCCATCTTGGAAACAGTAGGTAGAAAAATCTTCGAATAAAAACGATCTAAATACTTTCAGGTTCAATTAAAGCAAAACCGACATTTTGCTGGTCTTCATTCGTTCGTTCTTTATTAGTAAAATAAAAGCAACTTAGAATGCTACTACCTTTTCACAATAAATGTTGAAACTGTTGCCTTTGACTAGCAATACAGGCTTCAGCACGTCGCAACATGTTTGCTCGGATACGTAAAAAAACACCGGGAATTCCACGAACTGTAGCTGCTGCCACTTCCACTCGTTGTTGAAACTCTTCGATAGTTTCTGGACATTGTTGATTTCTATAAACTGTTTCATCCAACCCCACAGACAAAAACACCCGGATTGAGATCGGGTGAACGCGTAGGCCAGGCTACTGGGCCGTTTCTACTGGCTCACTGGTTAGAAAAATGGTTCTTTAACCATTCAGTTACTGGCCTAGCAAAATGTGGTGGTGCCCATCATGCAAATACCACATGCGAACTCGTTCACCTAGAGCATTTCTAGAGGCAGTTCCATATTTAGCTGCTCTTCCAACACATTGTTTAAAAACTCGAGGTACTGTGCCGCATTTAGTCTGTTTGGTAAAACATAACGTCAAACTAAACGTCATTTATGATACCGGCCCGCACATTTATGGAAAATGGTCGTTGAAATCGTACTTCTTGACGAGCGTGTAGATTTTCATCGGACCAAATGTGAGTGTTGTGGCTGTTGAAAATAGCATTGCGAGTGAATCCTGCTTCTTCCGTAAACAGAATGCAATTTAAAAATTTAGGGTGTTTACTACTTTGCTGCAACAACCATCCGTAGTAAACTACACGACGTGGAAAATCAGCGGGCTCCAAAGCTTGCACTTTTTAAACGTGGTGTGGATGTAAGCCTTGTTCTTTTAATGTACGATGCACTGCAAACTGTGAAATTCCAACTTCAGCTGCAAGTCGCCGAGTGCTGATGTCGGGCTCTTCTTCGACGCGTTCCAAAATTTGTTCTTCAGCTTGCAGTATTCTTTCGGTGCTATCACGGTCACGATCGTGAGTTTGAAGCGTGAAGGTACCACGATCTCGGAGATGCTGTACCATTCATTTAAATGTTGGCGCACACGGAATCGCGTGATTTGGAGAGCGCTCAATCCACAATTCATGGGCAAACATCACCATGCCGCCACGCTTGAAACAGAAAAAGTTGTTCTGATACCTGACTGGCCCTTACCGTGTTTTCGTACGTTGCTTATCAGTGCATCGGTTGTTTGGTTCTTAATCCTAGTCGTTCTGTGCCATTCATTGAATAGTAGTTTTGGTAGGTCAAGAAACACTACCATGACGTGGCGTGTATAACAATTTATATGTATTTACTTCACACTTAGGAACGTGAACTTTACACAGTGTAATTAATTTTATTGTGAGCTATTCCATATTTTTTATTGCAAATCCTTCAAAATCACCCAGTACGGCGTCGACCGTCACGACAACAACCTATATTTTTTCAATGGATTTTAATAGATCAGTAAAGTACGATTATAACACACAAGTGTTATTTTCAATCGATAAAAAAATAAAATTTATTAAGATAAAAACAATGAAAGCTGAATGATTTAACGGTACCTACTCTATTTTAGAAGCAATTAGAAAGATCTGCTTCAAAAACAGCGTCGCCTTTCAAGCTAAAAACAGTGGCTTTTACAGAATTTCAATACTTCTGTACGTAATTTAGGCTTTAAAACGTTGCAAATTTATTAGGTACATTTTTCTTCTCTTGCAGAAACACCGTTATTCAACAGTCTAAACTAGAATAACCATGTATGTTCGTAAAAAGTAGATGAGTGGGGCTATTGGAGATGCGGGCCGGGCGTCCAAGGGTCAGGATAAGCACATGGTACATTGGTTCCGTAAAGGATTGCGCTTACATGACAACCCATCACTGCGAGAAGGATTAAAAGGAGCCAGGACATTCCGCTGTGTTTTCGTTCTTGACCCTTGGTTTGCAGGCTCTTCAAATGTTGGCATAAACAAGTGGAGGCAAGTAACCTGCTTAATCGTGGGAAAATGTACATTGTTACGCATAACAGAAATAAATTATATACATTTGGTTATCACAAAATTTAATCTCTGGATATGTTTTCTTATGATGTTAGCTTCATAATTAATACATATTAATATTTATAATCATTAAGAATATGCGAGTGCAATGAAACCGAAAACATCTTTTTTTGGTACACATACACGTATTTTTGACCCACTTCCATTTTCCAGGTTCCTTCTTCAGTGCCTAGAAGATCTAGACCGAAATCTGCGAAAACTAAACTCGCGTCTTTTCGTCATTAGAGGTCAACCAGCTGACGCTTTGCCTAAGCTTTTCAAAGAGTGGGGCACAACATTTCTCACTTTTGAAGAAGATCCCGAACCATTCGGTGGAGTACGGGATCACAACCTCACAACACTATGCCAAGAACTAGGCATTTCCGTAGTGCAAAGAGTATCTCATACGTTGTACCCCTTACAAGACATAATAGACCGAAACAGCGGAAGAGCTCCTTTGACTTACCACCAGTTCTTAGCAATTATAGCTTGCATGGGACAGCCTCCGCAACCAGAACCGCCCGTTACCTTTGGTTCTTTAAATGGAGCCCACACACCTTTAACCGAGGACCATGACGAAAAATATGGGGTGCCTACACTGGAAGAACTAGGGTTTGATACGGACGGACTCATACCACCTGTATGGCAAGGAGGGGAGAGTGAAGCACTAGCGAGGCTGGAGAGGCATCTGGAACGGAAGGCTTGGGTAGCATCCTTCGGGAGACCAAAGATGACTCCTCAGTCGTTGTTGCCATCACAAACGGGATTATCGCCATATCTTCGGTTTGGGTGTTTGTCAACTAGATTGTTTTATTATCAACTTACTGACCTCTACAAGAAGATTAAGAAAGCGTTTCCACCTTTATCGCTTCACGGACAACTATTATGGAGGGAGTTCTTTTATTGTGCTGCTACAAAGAATCCTAATTTTGATAAAATGATTGGTAATCCAATATGTGTTCAAATTCCGTGGGATAAGAATGCAGAAGCGTTAGCAAAGTGGGCAAACGTAAGTAAACTATATTATGACGCTAACAGGGTTTTGGAGTGGATTCTTCACTTATGAATATTATAAATTTTTTATGAAAGGGAAATTTAATTACACCAATTTATAAAAATTGACATTGATTTAAATGCGTTCTTATCTTCAACTATTTTTAAGCTTTTAAAGATATTTAAAAATTTACAATTATTAATTGCTTTTACCAATTTCAAACAACTTTTGTCTATTTAATTATATCATTCGAAAATATTTAAGCTTCTCTTGGACGCTTTTTTCAACGAGTTATCATTCATATTGTTCTAATTTACATTCTCTACATTCGCTCAAGTTGGCTGCTTGTTCCTGATCTTCCACCCTATTTATATGTGTCTTTAATATACAACATGCAAAGTTTTTAATCATTTATCCACCAAGACAATCACTAGTTTTTTTTTTTTTGTAAATATAGGGACAAACTGGATTTCCTTGGATAGATGCTATCATGACACAACTTCGCGAAGAAGGTTGGATACATCATGTGGCAAGGCATGCGGTTGCGTGTTTTTTGACTCGTGGGGACCTATGGTTATCTTGGGAAGAAGGAATGAAGGTAAATGGAGAATCTTTTCTGATTTGACAATAGAACAAATCCTTTTTAGGTGTTTGAGGAATTACTCCTTGATGCAGACTGGTCAGTAAACGCAGGGATGTGGATGTGGCTTTCCTGCTCCAGTTTCTTCCAACAGTTTTTCCATTGTTACTGTCCGATTAAATTTGGAAGAAAAGCAGATCCTAATGGGGATTACATAAGGTAGCAGTTGTAAAAATTAACATAACAAACAATAACGTAAGTTTTTTGCCAGGAAATATTTACCAGTGTTGAAAAATATACCAACGCAGTATATTCATGAACCTTGGACTGCTCCAGAACATATACAGCGGGCTGCAAAATGCATTGTCGGGAAAGATTATTCTCTGCCGATTGTTAATCACGCTGCGGCCAGTCGAATTAATATTCAAAGAATGAAACAAGTATATCAACAGCTTTCAAATTATCGTAATGTGGAGAACTCCCGTAAATATAAAGAAGGATACCAAGAACAACCGAATGTTGTTACCGTCGGTAATCCTAGTAGCAAATAAGATTCTTCTTTTGCCGTTAGTTTACTATTTAATATACGCATGTTACTAGTCTATAATTGTCAAATTTTTATACATTCTGTGTTTTCAGTCTGTTATACCTAAATGTGTCATAATTAAATGTTTCAAAAACATTAACAGTTTTCAAACACTGTAATCTGATATCTAATTAGGTAAGTGATTAAACTGTTTTAACACGACCGTGGTTCTGATTCATTGTTACTCCAGTAAGTTGTAGCTTACAAACAAAGCTCATCTGCAATCTTTTCCTTTGTCAGATGACACAATTAAAATTGTATTTAAGGATATTCATTCGTTATACGACTGTTTGCTATAAATTTTTGTTTCCAACACATTACGCACTGAAAAAAAGTGACCATATTTTGAAATGAATGGCCAAAGTTTCAGGCTTTATAATTTTTCGTCTGTTGCCTAGTCTAGAATCACACAATTGAATTTAATGTTTTTTATAGTTAAATTGTTGTATGAGCTTCTAGCCGAAAGATAGTTCCCGCCCTTGGACCTTTCGTCAGGCCTCAAACTTTCTTTCGTATTTTTTTTTCGGTTGTAGATGCTAATATAACTATTTCACGTCATGTTATCAAGTCCCATTTTTTAATAAGTTATTTCTTATTTCATTTGGAACGTACAAATAATTTAATAGACTAATATTGGGATGTTTAACTACTGACAGACTGCGTTAAACATCCTAGTTCAACAGTCTGCCGCATGCATTCAGTAGATCAATGGCAGTGATTGAAATAAAAATTTTCGAATTTTAAAATATTGTAAAACGCTATAGCATTAAGTATTATATATATGTACAACACCAAACATATCAAATACTGCACAACAACAGTATGTTTTCAAAGAATTACAACACTGCCAAATGGTTTTCCAATGAATAACAAATATGGCTTGAACAGTCAAACTAACTGGTGGTGAAGGTCATAAACTGATAATTCATGATTTGGGTAACAAAGGGGTTCAGAATAGGCCGCTGTACACACTTTATTAAGTTACAAATATTAAATGTCGATTGTATGTGGACTATTTTAATGCCTTTCAATTTTAACTGTGTATCTCAAGTGAAATTAGCATTACTTTTATGGTGGTTTCCAAAAGTCTTCCACTTCCCTATTAACTTTGGAACTAAACAAAAGTGTGATAGATGTGAACCACAAATGAATTGTTACATTTTCACCGTGAATTAAAAATTTTAAATGAAATACATAGGTTTTTCGAACATGATTTTAATGCTCCTTTAATTTTTATTACCTGCGTGTGCTAAGTTTGATGTGCAAAAATCCTAGGAAAATGTTAGTATTGTATTGATAATGTCAACGTAGTTGTCGAAACGTGTCAGCAATTTTCGTAATCCTGTATTTCGATGTTATATGGGTAATAAACGTAATAATGGGAAAACTGTTAATCCAAATTTATTTCAGCATATGTTCAAAGTGTTCGCCATTTTCCTCTTGGCTTTTAAACGTTTGTCTAGGATTACGTAACATTTCAGAAGTCCTCTGGGAGCACTTTTGCGGAGGTGTTTCATACACTATCGATTTTAAGTATTCCCACAGAAAGAATCTAGTGGAGCGAAATCCGGAAACTGTGCCGACCACGCTATAGGTCTGCGCCCACCAATCCAACAACCCACGTATATTTATCTATTTAGAAACCTTTTTGCACTTCGAAAATAATACGACAGCTTCCTATCTTATTGAAAAAATGAGAGTTGGGAAAATTTATTTTCATGTAGTTCCAGATTTCAGTAAATAATAAATCGATCACAGTTAATACGGACAGGTTTACATCGCTCGAGTATTTACAGTTATGGCAGCGGATTTTTGATTAAAAATGTACTTTTGTTTTCAGGAATCTAATTGCCTGTGGATTATTTTTCGTTAGTTGATCTAGATGCAGCCATATAAGTTTATAAAGATGAATCTTTTGTAAGGTTATGAAGTAGTAGCCGTGGTAATAACTGAAACAATAGTTAAAAAATATCGCCCTTTGATATATCATTAATAAAAATCAGTGACAAGATTTGTACAGCGCTTTAAGCAGCATAAACTAAAATTATTTATTCAACAACACAGTGTTTCTTTTTTGGGGCGCAACATACAATTTACTATTATTATTATTTTTTTTAATGAAACATTCATCATCCAACATCCGGATGGAACGGCGGGGGAAACGCAAAATTTTCTGAGCACTTATGTTCATAATTAATAATTCTTACCCACACGTCCTTCTTTTGCGTAACATTTGACTTTAAATCATCACTGTAACACGATTTTAATAATTAATAAATTACACATAATTCATTATCAATGTATTTCTTTAAACCAATTAAAAAAGTCTTCAAATGCAATACTTATTATATAAAAACAGTTTAAACAAGTAAGGATAACAAACGAACAAAACAAATTGCCTTTTAACTATTTGTGTTGACCTAAAAATAAATTACGTTAAAAATGGAATACTTAAACCTGAAAACAAGATACATATTATCTCTCCTAATATGTTTGGTCTAAGACGTATATGATCACATTGTCAGAGTCTCCTTGTGGTTGAACGATGGTACCATTATCCAGTATGTAGGCATTTTTATCTGATAAAATTAAGATTATTAGGAAATTTTATATCATAGTAACAATGAGCCGTTTACCCAACGTAATTTCTTGATAATTATCCGTCAAGTCAGGGATGGATAAACACACTTCTCGTGCTTGCTTTTGCTCCTTCTTTCTGTCGATATCTAATTCTTGCACCAAACTATCTACTGCGTGTTTTTGTATTGCTGAATTATTCTCAGCACTATTTAATAAATTGTTAATTTGATCATCCAATTCGCTTTGGAGATTGTTACATTCTACATTGACATTTATTTTTTTCTTGGATCTATTTTTGCTACTAACTGGATTTCTTTTATTTATTCTGATTAAATCAGAATTGCTTACTATTTTTGGTTTGATACAATTTACGTCTATACTACTGACATCTGGATGTACTTTTCTTAAATGCCTTAGAACTGAACTTTTTAATTTTATTGATTTATTACATACTGGACAATAGTAATACTCAATAGTACTACTGCCTGAGTGAAAATTTCTTACATGTTTATTTAAACTGGGACGGCTTTTAAAAGTGATATCACAAATTGAACACTTCACAGAATTAAGAGAATCGTGAGATTTCACATGATTTCTAAGTACCTTTTTGCTTTTAAATTTCTTCTGGCAGGTATTGCATTCAAACTGAAACACACATTTCATCTGAGAACAAATTACTAAATTTTTATTAGAATAAAACCTGATCAGATTCCATGTGAATTAAAACGTGCTCGTTTAAAATGTCTTGTCTGTAAAATTTTTTATTACACGTTTCGCACGAATAGGATGGTTCTTCATGTTTCTTCTTATGTAAGTAGTATGAATTTCTACTTTGAAAGTGCAACCCACACACATCACAAGTGACATTAACTGTTTTCGTAGTCTTAGTTCTTGGTCCATGCGTTTGAAGGTGTTTTTTTAAGTAACGTTCTCGATAAAAATGCTTATTACAAATAGAACACATAAATTTTTCTTTGTCGGCGACAGGTACCTTACTGCAGTTATGTTCTAGCAACTCCTTATTTGAATGATAACTTTTGTTGCACGACACACAATGAAATTTTTTGTGATGTATGGCTTGAAGATGGCGCGACAAATATTTTTTCTGTGTAAAACTCTTATCGCATAAGTTGCAACGTTGTTGTGCATTTATATTGCAAATGTGTGTTAATAAATTTTCCTTACGACAAAATATCTGAAACGTTTGTATTTTTAATAAGCAGATCAATAATACATTTTCCTACAAACCTTTGAACATTTATAGCACATGAAATCTCCAGTATGATGTCTTAAATGTATGATCAGCAGTTTAACTTTAGTAAACTGTTTAAGGCATATATCACAAACAAACTGCTTCTGACTATCATCTATTTCAAAATTAAAATGGTCCAAATCTTTAACATTTTCATTAAGTAAATTCTCCACAGTTAAGTTGTCGTTATCCAATAATAAATTTTGATTATCTATATTGAGATCAAACTGATTGAGATCAGACTGTTGCAAGTCGGAACTATCCGTAAAAATATCATTCAATAAAGGACCGCCAAGGGCAACATCTTTACACTGGGTTTTAGCAACCGCGTCGACGGTTTTTGGTGGTTTTGGAGCTGTGGTGGCAAAAACCACCTTGTGAACAAATTTCATGTGATTTTTCAGATTCTTAAAAAAAACAAACAATATTATCATTATTCTTCTTATTGTAAATAAAATGTTACTTTCTTTGAACCGAAAGCTTTCTTGCACATCTCACACATATTTTTATGTTGTGCTGTGTAATGTTTTAAGATATGTTTTGCGAATGAAACTATATTATTTTCTATGTGACTACAAAATTTGCAAGTCCAGACTTTCCGCTCCATTATTTTTTGTTGCTTCTTAATTAAAGAATTAACGTCTTAAAATATAACAATTTTAGAATAATGTTTGCAGTTTAGCTAAAAAAAGTGTCAACTATAAGTGAACATAAATTGAATCCTTGAATATTTTATGTTCTCTTATTGTCAAAGTATACATATAATGGATATAATGTATATGGTTTACGTACCAACATAATTTACAGCATCATCAACATCAGGTTTGGATTGTAAAATGGACTTATTCATTTTTAATGCATAGTATGGAGAATACCATACTTTAAGAACATCTCCTACATTAATGTCTTTAATTGTTACATAATAAATGTCTTCTTTTTCCTGCAAGGAAAGACAAAAATTCTAATTTTGGTACCTACCAAAGTAAACGAATTAAAAATATTCATTAATTTATTATTGATACAGTATGATTCACAATTTTTTTATTTAGAATAGGCTGATTAATACACGTAAGCTTATCCGGCATATTCTAACTATTTCTTTCCACAAACACTAGCTCTATCTGTCACATCCAATATGCTCTGACAGATAGTGACCTACCTTAAATAAAAATTTTGTGGGTGAATTGGTATATATATTTATATATTAAGATTTTTAATTCACTTAGGGGACATTAATTGAAAATGGTAGTAGTTATTATGCATTTGTAGTTTCTGATATACTCATAACAAAATATATTAGGAAATATTATAAAGACATCTGGACATTAATAGGCACTTCATATATAATATCAACAAAGACGAAAAAAAAAGGGGATTACAGATACTACAACAAAGTTACAGAAGAAAAAGAAAATAAGATAACTCGTTACCATTTCTGTAAATCTTATATACGAAAATGATGTCACGGTGTTGTAAGTACTTTCACTATTAAGTATACATGACAGCATACATAATTTAAAACATAAATATGATCAAAAAATTATTTTGTAAACCTCCACTGTGTAAATAAAATTGGACTTTTTTAATCGTAGGTATACAAAAAAAAGCAACAGAAATTTTAATTATTGTACGTGATTCGAGAGAAGCCGAACCTAGAGAGTAATAAGGAGGACTGCTGGAAACTCTAGCAGGATAGACACCCACCGTCAATTAAACATGAAAGAAATTTTAGAAATCACCTTTTTACCGATTCTAAGTGCTGAATATGTATAGTTTTGGAAATTTCATTCTACCCTATAAAATTTTATTGACAATAACGAGACGAACAGTAGTACAATGGTAAGAAATATTTATGATTCACCCGAATTTGTCGGAGAACATTTAGCAGGTAGTTGTACTCATAAAATAATGGTCATTTTCGTTCGTGAGTAATGATGGTCCCTGTCCGGACCTGGATTATTCTGCTTTCTAACATCTGGGGATTACCGGCACGCGACAACTTTAAATTGGTAATATCTCTTGCTATTGTACTACTGTCCGTCTCGTTATTGCCAATAAAATTTTATAGGGTAGAATGAAATTTCCAATTTTGCTATGCTGACTACCACTCTGTATGCATATATATTTTGAAAATAAAGATTCAAATCAAAACATCAGTGAGTTATAATACGTACCACAACCACAGTGAAGGTTATGTACATATGTATATGTATTATATGTTGTGTTATGAGATAAAGGTATGTAAGTTACTAACCTGATAACAGATTATGTTCTGTTCTTCCAGACATTCAGCTGCACCAACATACATCAACCAACTACATTTTTCTTCATTACTGTTGTCTAAAAAATATTCCTCATTTTCATTTTCATCCAAAGAAAAAATCTTTAAAGGAAATAAAACTGATGGTTCTAAGGTTGGTGTTTTTTCTGCTTGAAAAGGGCCAAACTGAGTTCCCTTGGCAATTGGAGCTTTAACGATTGTGGAATATGTACCATCACTTAATAATTGTACATCCAGAAAATCTGGCAAAGTAAGCTTAGCTTTAGTTGGCATTGGTTTATCAGGTACCTAAAATTAAATCGATATACATTTTTAATAATTATCAATAATTTTATGAAACATGTTACATGTTTGGATATTTTTATGTAATCACAGTTTTTGATGTTGTGATCCTTTCCACATATGACACAACAATCTGACAATATTGCTTCCTTTACTGCCTTAGCATATGAAGAGGTATTATCCATCTTGCAGCAACTTAAACATTCCAACAAATGAAAATTCGTATTAATAATTTAAAATTTTCATTTACATGTAATGACAACTAAAAGTGAGGTTAATTTGTATACAAATTTCGCGTGATTGTCAAATGAACAAATATTACCTATCCACGAATCTGAATCACAATTATAAAAAAAACACAACCGTAACTAAATTTTCAGTCCAAAATTTAAAAATGCGTCTTCATTTGAGGGTGATGCTCCTTGTTGTTTTTATGTTAAAAACAATTTATATTTTAGATCTTCGTGGAAAATGTGTGCCGCAAATTCCTTTCGAATGTAGTCATTGCTGTAAATATGGCAACATAGTAAATCAGTCGGTCAAAAGATTTTTTTTAGGAACTTTATCACTGCAATGTTGGTAGCAGTATTTGCAAAATCACGACGTGCCTGCAAAAAATAGTTCTGTACGTCAACAATCAAGATTTCCTCTCGTGTACGTTATCGCATTTTAATAGTGCATAATTGTTTGGTGTGCACAACTTTATTGTTATTTTAACAATTCGTTTCGAAAGTGAGGTATATTTTTAGAATAATTTTAATCGTTAATTTTGGGGCGCCATTTTGTGTATGCCGGTGGATTTTCCCCGTAGTTGTCAAAAATTTAAGTTATAAATAATATTTTCTGGCTTAAAGGTTTCCCAATAGCCTTTGTAGCTGACTGTTCATAAGTTTTCCGTGATCTTTTGGTCACACATATACAGGTGAGAATCATTGTTTTTTGGTTGTTGATTTAAATGTCCAAATTATTAGTTTGTCATTTCACTGTCACTCCCATTTATTTTTCTTTGGAAAATTGACGTTTGTCACTATGCAGATCCTCTACTAACTAGCCTTTGTAGCTGCAGAATTTAAATATTATTAAAACTATACCTATAACTTAGCTCTTAAGAAAGCAGATCATGCTCAACATCAATGTCAATTTGTTTTAGTTTTCTCGACAATGTTCTTATAGAATTAAAATAAATAATGACTATTGCAACAAGAGGTCAGGGAGTAACCGGAGAAAATTTGGATGTACAAGTAAGTTTGTGAAAAACCAATAGTTACTAGTTGTGGTGATTTTGATTTTTCATTTAGGGTCCTGTTGCTGGACCATCAGAAGCCAGCACTGATGAACTACCAGATGAAAATGCAGAACCTGATTTTCCCCATGATAAATTAGCATCTTTAGATGAAAAAATATCAAATATAAGATGGGTAGTGCCAGTATTACCTGATCAGGAATTAGAATGTCTGCTGAAAGTTTCTATTGATTTAGCCAGAAAAAATTTGGATACAAGATCAGAAGCTTGTCAGAGGTTCTTTCGTGAAGGGCTTACTACATCATTTACAAAAATCCTCACAGATGATGCTGTGTCTAGTTGGAAAGCAAACATCCATGCATGTATTAACAATAACTGTTTGAAGTTGGTAGAACTATGTGTAGCAAAATTGCCGCATGATTGGTTTCCACTGTTGGATTTATTGGCTATGGTGTTAAACCCAAACAACAAATTTCACACATTTAATTCTTCAAGGCAAAGTGAAACAGCAGGAACAGGTTCCAATTTATCCGAAGAAGAGTTATTTGCTAGACCTTCAAATGATTTAAGAAATCCACGGGGATGGCTAGTTGATCTCATCAATCGATTTGGGGAATTGGGGGGGTTCCAATTATTATTAGATAGGTTCCAAAGTGGTAAAAATTTAAGTGTTTCTGTAGTATTTGCACTCCTTCGACCATTCGGACTTTGTTATGAATTTTTAACTCCTCATACAATCAACAAGTATATATTACCCATTTTAGTGAGTATCTCCATTTATACAGAAGGAAAACAACAATGCACAATTTTAGGAAATGGTTCCTGGCATATTAGAAAAGTTAACAGATGATGAATTAAAACGAGAAGCGAAAAATGAAAGCAAAAGCGATATAGTTTCGGCTATAATAAAATCGTCAAAAAATTTGGCCTCTCGGGTTCCCAATCAAGAAGAGTTAATTCGGACTCTTGAAGGTTTTCGCCTCACAATGATTTTGAGACAGTTACAAATTTCCAGTTTTAATGGAAAGATGAATGCTTTAAATGAGATAAACAAAGTTATTTCTAGTGTTAGTTATTATCCAAATAGACACCATGGAATTGAAGAAGAGGAATACTTAACCCCCGAAAGAATGGCTGTATGCATTTTATTTGAAGATTTTTAATCCTGATTTTGATTTTCTTTTTTATTTTAGAAATGGATAAATGAAAACCGAGTTCTAGAAATAGTTTTAAGAGATTCGCTTCACCAACCTCAGTACGTGGAGAAATTAGAAAAAATATTACGTTTCGTAATTAAAGAAAGAGCGTTGAGTCTTAAAGACTTGGATGCCGTTTGGGCAGCTCAGGCTGGAAAACATGAAGCAATAGTAAAAAATGTTCACGATCTATTGGCAAAATTGGCTTGGGATTTCAGCGCAGATCAACTTGACCACTTGTTTGAATGCTTTCAGAACAGTTGGACATCTGCCTCGAAGCGCCAGAGGGAGCGACTTTTGGAACTAATTCGGCGACTAGCTGAAGATGATAAAGACGGCGTGATGGCTCATAAAGTATTGACATTGTTCTGGAATCTGGCACATGCTGAAGACGTTCCAACTGAAATAATGGATCAGGCTCTGTCTGCGCATGTTAAAATATTAGATTATAGTTGTTCTCAGGAAAGAGATGCGCAGAAAACCGTGTGGCTAGATAAGTGTGTTGATGAATTAAAGAATGGTGAAATGTGGGTGTTGCCTGCTTTGAAACAGATCCGTGAAATCTGTCTATTATATGAACAAAATACAAATGGTGGTCACGGTCAAAGGACTCATCATATGTATTATCGACAGGAAGTTATTGAAAGATTGCAAAGTCAACATTCGCTCGTTATTTTAGTTACAAATAGTCTTACCAGTTATATGGATCATCTACGTAACCTTTATAAGGAAGCACCTGAATTAACTAGTGAGACTTATATTCCTGATGGACGATACTGCCACGCCCTGCAAGTTCAAGAAAGACTGAATTTTCTCAGGTAAAATATTTTTTCCGTTTCGCCAGTCACAAAGTTGACCTTATTTTTCAATGTTTTTTTTAAACTATATTTGGAAGTTAATGGAGAGTGTTTATTACTTCAAATGAACGTCAGTTTTACTATGAAAAAGGTCTATATTAATTTTTTTAATTTTCTCATTTTTAATTCTTAATTATTACTAATTGTACAATAATGAAAACTTGAATGGACATTCATTTTAATTTTAATTTTCATATATTCAACATTATATACGCATTCTGTAGTGTCCAGAATACCGTCAATGATTACCTGATGCACTGACACTTGAAGACATCGCCACAACATTAATTCAGGAGATCAATTCTCGGTTTCTACAAATAATTTTTTACCGCATCTATTGATGAAATATTATAGAGATCTTTTAAGTTTTCTTTTTCACTACTTTGTTAGGGTAACGAATGAAATGTTTCAAAACTTTCTCGATTCTTCATCCATTGCTTTCTCTTGTTGAAACTAAGTCGTTCTCTGAAAACTATATCTTATTATTTTTTTCTACCGTTATTTAGATTTTTTTCTCCAATATTTCGGCTTTTGAACGTTCCAGATTTTTTTAAAATTATATATTGTAGTCGAGTCCGTCGGCCGACTTTTACGTTTTCCCGACCTTTCAAGACCCCGAGAGTACGAAGAACTAGGTCTCTCGTTTCCGTCTGTCTGTCTGTCGGTCTGTCTATCCGTCTGTCTGTCGGTCTGTCTGTCTGTCGGTCGGTCTGTCTGTCTGTCTGTCTGTCTGTCTGTCTGTCTGTCTGTCTGTCGGTCGGTCTGTCTGTCTGTCTGTCTGTCTGTCTGTCTGTCTGTCCGTCTGTCTGCCGTCTTTTATTAGACAAATAATGTCCGAAAGTACTGGGCCGATTGTTGTTAAATTTTGAATTTATATGAGGAATATCATGTATGTAGATAATAAAACGCCAACCAAAATTTGCCTAATCATCCCCACCAATAATGTGCTGATGTCACTTCAAAATTGTACATAGTAAATGAGTTTTAAATTGTATAAAATAATATAGTCTTACACATGTTGTTTGGGACTCCGTGTTGAATTTTTACCCGAAACGTCCAGATTTTTGGAAGAAAAATCAAAATTATAAAACAACATTGTCCAATTTAATTTTGAATGTGCAAAACCGATTGTTTTGAAACCTTGCAGATGTTTTAAAGTTATGATAAACATAATACATTTTTAATGAAAGTATATTTGCTTATCCCCTCCAAAAATTGATGACGTCAGCTCAAAATTTTGCCGAATAAATCCTATCTAAAATGACCAAAATATGATGAGTCTATACTTGTGAGTTATCATTCCCTTCATATTTTTTGTTATCAGTTATCATAAGCATGGTAAAATTTTGATCAAAATGTATTTACTCTTCATCCTTAAAAAATTGATGACGTCATCTCAAAATTTTGCGGAATAAATCCTATCTAAAATGTGCAAAATATGATCAGTCTATACTTGTAATTTATCTTGCATTCATATTTTTTAGATTTGCTTATACAGGTGACTCAAAAAAAATATAAATCAGTCAGTTTATTTTATTGAATAAATCAAGAATTGCAAAACTGAATGCTTTGAAGTGTTGCAGACGTTTTAAAGTCATTGTAAGCTTGGTAAATTGCTAATCAAAATAAATCTGTTTATTCCCTCCAAAAAATTGATGACATCTCAAAATTTTGCCGAATAAATTCTACCCAAAATGTGTAAAATATGATGAGTTTATACTTGTGATTCATCATTTCATTCATATTATTTTATTGATCAAATTAAGAACGAGTCACCCCATTTACCCGAAAATGTGAAAATACAAATGTCTCTATTTAATAAGAATTATAATAATGAACATTTTGTCGATTGTAGCTTACTACTTAATAGTTATGAGGGGACAAACTAATTTCTACGTGACATTTTTCCAATGTATAAACATAAAGACTTTCAAGTTGTTTTTTTTTATCGAGGATAACGTAAGGACGTACAGTAATGGAATCCATCGGGCAATTTGGTACTTTCATATTTTCTCGATATTTCATAACCCCTAGACAAGGCTGTAGCTAGGGGGACGCTAGGCGATGCTGAGCCTCCCCTACTTATAGACAAGTTATAATTAACCGAATGTGAATTACAACATCGAAAATCAAAATAAAATGTAGTGTTTTATTCAATAAGCGAAAGTCAGAGCAATAAAAAAGTCTGGACCTTCGGCATTGTGATCCCGTTATTGCAATTCGTAGAAAACATGTTTTGTTTAGTTTCTGTTTCACTGTCACGTTTACAGGTTGATAAGGGTTGTTATTTGTCTTAAATTGCGAGAACCATAAATGATTTTCAGTTCAGTCTTCAGTCGCACCTCTGTTACTACATACGGCAGACGTGATTAAATTGTTTCGTTATTTTATTGATTATAAATCACGATTCAAGAGTAACAATAATAAAGTAGTCCAAGAGCTATAAGGTTATATAACCATCATAAAAGTAGTTGACCGCAAATAAATACCCCCTTTGTGTGGTTCGCACTAAGCTTACCGGTTGGCAATAAATCATCTTGTAAACATTTCTTCTTTAGATTTAGATATTTAGTGAAACCCGCCCCTGAACGAAACGAAAACAGCCGGTCGGGCTACAGTGGACACGTTATTTACGACCCTAAAACTTTTTCTATTGTAAACAACTTCAACACAATGAGATAATTTTATGATGGTCATATAACCTTATACCTCTTGGATTACTATACAATACTTTTATTATTAGTATTACAATGCATCTATCCAAACTGATACATATGTCCTTGCAAAAATGTGGATGACATCAACACAATTTTGTAATCGAAAACCTCACTTGTAGCAAACGGTTAGCACGTTTACCTTCACTCAAACATTAGATACATATTTTTACTTTATCTTATAGTGGTCGCCATAAAAAACAATAACATTCGCAAAATCAAATCTTTTAATTTTTCGAAAGAGCTGGATTTGACAAGCTGAACTTATTGGGCGAAGGAAGTTCTGTCGAAGTAATCTTCGACAATTTTTTTTCTGGTCAAAGATCCTATTGATCATTTTCATTATGATTTTTCCCAAAGGAAATTTATAGAACGTCGATACGTCTTCAATCAACTCTCTTCTGTTGACCGAATCTTGCATTCTAAAATGTCTAAATATTTCTTACTTCTTCATTCTCGAGTAAAATTCTAGAACGTCATCGTCGGATATCCGATTTGTTACGCACAGTATCAGTCAGGGTAACTTAAAGTAGAAATAGAGAAAATGTTTTGAGAATATTTTTGGGAGCTAAACATTTTACTGCAGTTTAAGTCTTCTAGTTCTTTCCGTTTTCAATAGAATTTTCATACCTTCTTGAACTGAAAATGTTTTGCCTGTTCTTTCAAAATAGAATTCTTTTGCCTTTCCTTTAAGCAGAACGAAATCTTTCTCTACAGGGTGAACCAAATTTTCTAAAACATTAAACTTCAAATTGCCAGAATTAACTTCGTAATCTGATTTGTTTTAAAGTACAGTGTGTGTTAATACACAATTAAATATTTTGTTATTAATAATATAGTAATAATTTGCTTGATTACTATCCACGAATTCATTTTTCACCGTTGTCAGATGTCATTTGAGACAATTTTTATCGGACTTTTAGATTTTTCATTAAATTCACATTAAAACATCAGCTTCCGCTTTTGTTTGTATTAGTCATCAGCATTTATTAGTGAATCTTGCGCAACAATAATTTAAAATAAAGTGGCCGTAATTGCATTATTATTTTTATAGCAGTGTAATTAATTTGACAAATGAAATCATCTCAGAAACTATCGCATAAATTGTGATATTTGAGACATATTTTAAGAATGTTTTAAATTTATTTGTACGCTCCCACCAAAACTATAATGACATTATTTCAAAATGTTGGTAAATAAATTCTACTTAAATTACTGATTGCTTTAAGTTTTTATGCATGCTATTTAGAATTATTTGATCACGCGCAAGTGTGGCCAATATGAAATATATTCAAAGCAGATAACCAAGAGAAAGAAATATCCTCAGATTATTATTATAATTCTTTTAAAAAAAGAATGTATTCTCAGTTTCTCTGAACATTCGTAACTTCAACTGTTTATGTTTAAATTTGGAAATAATTCGACTATTAGCACGTTCAGATAAGATTCAGCGATGGCATTTGTGTTAAAAGAAAGTGAGATTTGACTGCTTTTCTCTCCCCAACACAGAGGAGAAGACTAATTAATTAATTAACTACCCTATTTCAATATTTCCTTAGTTTACGCTAGGGAAGTAAAAGTCTAAAGTATAATTTTGAAATATCGATATTTCAGTTTTTTCACATAGGACACCTGTATTTTATGAGTGCATTTTTACACTCTTTCTGTTTACTTACCAAGCGTAAGCTAAGTATTGTAATAGGGCGAGTGGCCACTTCCATGTGATTTCGACGTTTCATGACTTCTAGAGTACGAAAAAGTAGGTTCGCGTTTATGTCTGTGTCTATTGGACAGATAATCTTCGAAACTATTGGACCGATTGTTACCAAATTTTATATGTATGTTCTGAATATTATGTATTCATCCTCACCAACAATTTGATGATGTCCCCTCAAGATTTTTTGTAGTAAACGCCATTTAAATATTGTATATAATATCATACTCCTTGTGATTTTTGAATTCGCATTGATTTTAGTCATACAGATTTTCGCAATAAAATCCAAATTGCATCACCACTTTTTATACCAGTATATGAAAGAGCACTAATGTGTGGTGAAGTCGGTTGTTGATTAATTCTTGTGTGACAGTATTTTTTTATTTATCAGATGAACAACGGTTTACCCCATTTTCTTGAAAGTTTAAAGTGTTGGCGCCTATATTTAATAATAATAAAATAATAATTCTTAATAGCTACTTATGCAAATTAATATTCAGTAACCTTTAATTCATTTGTAGCTTAATTAATAATTCCTGACCCCAAGGTTACTAAAGAAAGTCGTCTTCCGTTTTCATCTGTCTGTCAGGTGTCTGTATCTATTTTTATTAGACACGTAATCTCCGAAACTGCTGGACCGATTGTTGTCAAATTTTGTATGTATATTAGAAATATCATGGAGATAGTTAAATGCTAACCAAAATTTTGCTGCTCATACCCACCAACAATGTGATAACGTTATATAAGTGTGGTGTACCAATCCGATTTGAGTTTTTCCCTAACCCTCCAAATTTTTGCAAAAACATTATAATAACAGATTACCATTAGCGTCAGGCATCCTCGTTGGGGTCTAGTGGTTACGAGTCAGGAATGCGAACCGGAGGTCGGGCGTTCGATTCCAAACTTGGACTTTCCTTTTTTTTTTCTTTTTATCTTGCATTGTGTATTATCATGTTTATGACGGCATCATAAATTTTTTATTGATGAAATTACCCCACTTTCTCGAAAAGGTGAGAATACGCCTTTTATTTAATAATGTGAAACCTTCTTGGGGCGCCAAATTTTTTTTTTTTAGAATGTGAAACCTTCTCTGGGGTCTTAACTGTCTTTTTTAAACCTTCTCGGAAGCCCCAAATGTCTTTTTTTAATGTGAAACCTTCTCGGGGGTTCCGACTGTCTTTTTTAAAAATGTAAAATCTCGGGGGCGCCAAATGTCTACGAGTAAATCTTCTCGCGGGTCCCAGCTGTCTTTTTTAAAAATGTAAAACCTTCTCAGGGGCGGCAAATGTCTTTTTTTTTATGTGAAATCTTGTCGAAGGTCCCAACACTTTTTTTTTATGTAAAACCTCTGGGGCCCAAATGTATATTTTTAAGAATGTAAAACCTTCTCGGGGGTCCCCAACTGTCTTTTTTAAAAATGTAAAATCTTCTCGGAGGCGCCAAATGTTTTTTTTAGAATGTGAAACCTCGGGGGTCCCAACTGTATTTTTTAAAAATGTAAAACCTCGGGAGCCCCAAATGGCTTTTTTTGATGTGAAACCTTCTCGGGGGTCCCAATTGTCTTTCTTAAAAATGTAAAACCTTCTCGGGAACACCAAATATTTCTTTTAAGAATGTAAACACTTTTCGGGGGTTCCAGCTGTCTTTTTTTTTATGTAAAACCTTCTCGGAGGCTTCAAATGTGTATTTTTAAGAATGTGGAACCTTCTCGGGGGTCCTAATTGTCTTTTTTAAAAATGTAAAATCTTCTCGGCGGCGCCAAATGTATTGTTTAGAATGTGAAACCTTCTCGAGGGTCTCAACTGTCTTTTGTAAAAATGTAAAACCTTCTTGGGAGCCCCAAATGTCTTTTTTTAATGTGAAACCTTCTGGGGGGTTCCAACTGTCTTTTTGTAAAATGTAAAATCTCGGGGGCGCCAGATGTCTTCTTTTAAAAGTAAAATACAAGTAAATCTATTCGCGGGTCCCAACTGTCTTTTTTAAAAATGTAAAACCGCAGGGGCGCCAAATATCTTTTTTTTATGTGAAACCTTGTCGAAGTTCCCGACACTTTTTTTTTAATGTAAAACCTTCTCTGGGGCCCAAATGTATATTTTTAAGAATGTAAAACCTTCTCGGGGGTCCCCAATTGTCTTTTTTAAAAATGTAAAATCTTTTCGGAGGCGCCATATGTTTTTTTTTTAGAATGTGAAACCTTCTCAGGGGTCCCAACTGTTTTTTTTTTAATGTAAAACCTTCTCGGGAGCCCCAAATGCCTTTTTTTGATGTGAGACCTTCTCGGGGGTCCCAATTGTCTTTCTTAAAAATGTAAAACCTTCTCGGGAAGGCCAAATATTTCTTTTAAGAATGTCAAACCTTTTTGGGGGTCCCAGCTGTCTTTTTTTTTATGTAAAATCTTCTCGGGGGCTTCAAATGTGTATTTTTAAGAATGTGCAACCTTCTCGGGGGTCTCAACTGTCTTTTAAAAATGTAAAACCTTCTCGGGACCCTCAAATATCTTTTTTTAATGTGAAATCTTCTCGGGGGTTCCAACTGTCTTTTTTAAAAATGTAAAATCTTCTCGGTGGCGCCAAATGGCTTCTTTTAAGAATGTGAGATCTTCTCGGGGTCCCAACTGTCTTTTTTTAAGAACGCGAAATCTTCTCTTGGGGCCCAAGTGTCTTTTTTTAAGTATACTGAATCTTCTCGGGGCTCCCAACTGTCTTTTTTAAGAAGATGAAACCTTCTATTTTCTGTTACACTGTGACTAGTACCTTTTATATTGTTTTTACTCCATAGAGGCAGTATTTGTTGGATTGTACTTCAGAAGCCAGGGAAGCTTTGTAGAAATAATTTTCGACCAATTTTTTTTTATTTTTCGAAGAATATTTCAGAGGCGAGGAAAGTTCAGTCTCACTATCTAAAGTTGACAGTTGCTGCAAGTTTTCATTTTTTTAAGACACTAGCGTATCAAAAGAGAGAATTACAAACAATAAAATGTAATGCATAGTAAAATACATAACACAACATAAATTACAAAATATTTGAAAAAACTGAAGTATCGATATTTGAAAATTACATTTTGATTTTTTTTTAACAACTGTATACCAATACTTAATTTTATTGATGGTATAACAAAACGCGTATTTACCTTTGTTTATTTATTCGTAAACTGTTGATATACATAGATGTTAAAATAATCCTACTGCGACTTTTTGTGAAGAAAAGTGAATTAAGACACGGAAAAACATAGGTTGTTGTATTTAAAAAAACCTAAGTTGCATATTGCGCCCCAAAAATAGAAAAAACACATTGTAGAGCTGAAAATAATTTTAATATGAATTGCTTAAAGAACTGTTAAATTTTAGTAGTTGACAATTTTTATTTCTAATAAATTACTGAAATACCGAGCGCGCGTGTGCGTTTTGTGATACAGTTGCTTTCACCTTGACAATTCAGTAGCATTAATGTTCAATCAGAACCTTACACCAGACCTAATTTGCTTTCAGATTTCTTCTAAAAGATGGACAATTATGGCTGTGCAAAGAACAAGCAAAACAAATTTGGCAATGTCTCGCAGAAAGTGCAGTTTTTCAGTCCGATCGAGAGGCTTGTTTTAAGTGGTTTTCGAAGTTGATGGGGGAGGAACCCGACTTGGATCCGGGTATTAACAAAGAATTTTTTGAGAATAACATACTTACGCTTGATCCACTTTTACTTACCGAGAGTGGTATAAAATGTTTCGAACGTTTTTTCAAAGCTGTTAACACAAAGGCTGAGAAACTTAAAGTGAAACGGCGTTCTTTACTTACCGAAGACCCAGACCTCATAGGTCTAGATTACCTGTGGAAAGTTGTAACTTTGTGTCCGGACGACATCGCTGAAAGGGCTATCGAGTTATTAAGAGAAGTTAGCACGAATTTGGGTCCTAGATTGCAGCAGTCGCAAATGGAATTCCATGAAAATTTTATCACAGAATGTCACGATAGATTACGTGCTCACTATGATACTGTCATTGTCTTGCAACGGTCAGAAAATGACAAAGATTTTAATAAGAATCAAATGCAAAATAGAATTCGAGCAGAGGCTGTGAAAATGTGTAGAGTGATGCGTGTTTTACACGAGTATATAAGTGAATGTGATATTGCTTTTATGGGAGAGCGGAAAATATTACCTTTGTATAGAGCGTGTAGAGGCAAACATTTGGCTTTCATAGTCAGATTTTCGAGTCCCAGTCGACAAGTGGAAGACATGGAGCTGTTTACACATTCTAACGACACTTTGGCGTCTTTGCGGAGGCATATTTTGAGACGAATTAAACCAGGCGTCCATTGTAAATTGGAACTTTTTATAAATGGCGAGCCTTTGGATCCAGCAGACGATAGAAAACTGTTGTCGCAAATGCCAATAAGGGATAAAATGGTTTGCATTTTTTTTTTTTTTAGAGTGAATATTTATAAGCTTTTTTTGTTTATTTTTAGCTTATTTCGGCCAAAGTATTACAAGTAAATTCAAACATGGCATCATCACAAGACAGTAGTTCAGATAGTTCCACTTCGTCTCCTCAGCATCCATACGACGGACCTAATATAGAAGCAGAAAATTTACTACCTGGAGTTCTAATGTCGACGCAACATGTCTATGCTCAGTTTTTCTGTCAATTGTCTGCTCTCGGAAGTATTTTAGAGTATTCGCCGCTGAGAGATAGCGGTTACGGACTTTTACAATTAATGCCCTGTGATACTGAAACAACGGAAAAGTTGAGAATCTTGTTCACGTCTCCTGGGGAACAAAATATTAGTATGGATAATATGTTCTTCAGCGCTACTCCCGCAGAAGTAGGTTATTTACGTAAAATGTTTATTGATTTATCACGTAATATGTTTGTAGGTATTATACAATTTGGAGGTCTTGTACGCTATGTTAATGCCAGCAATCGAGCCGTTGTCAGAAAAAACTTATGAATTTCAATACAGCTTTATGACTTCAGGTGAAGCGCACGTATTCTTAGAAATGTTAACGAAAAACAACTTCATGTCAAGTGCCGACAATGTTACCCGTAGATCAGCGTATTTAGTAGTTTTAAAGATTTGTAAACTTATTTTAACTTCTGTTGCACACGTACTTGTTAGATTGAGCGAAGATCATACGCCACCAGAAACAGAACCAAACAGTGAGAACATCACAACACCTGGAATGCATCTCAGACTGGCTTTAAGAACCGTTCCTGGGCATGCTGATCACGTAAGTGTTCAAATAGTAGTGTAGTTAGTTGTAGTAAAGTAAAAATTATTGACGTGGGGCGTGGGTTGAGTTCAAAATTAATAGCTTGTGCACGCATACTTTAGTCGTTACTCATTATAAATTAACGTACGCTGGGAAGTGATAATTAAAGTATGTTTTGGATACAATTTTATTGCAGAAAATATTAGATGGGTACAAACTTTACCCATCATTCCTCTTCAGTCGATAAATTTCAATCTCTTCAGTATGTTCAATTTCTGACGGAAAGAATTCGTCTTCATCATTGGAATCCTACCTTTTAAGGTGGCTCCGCAAGGTCCTGTTTTGTTTCATTGTTGTTAGATGGTTCTGACAACAGTCCTTCAAAGAGGAAGAATATATTGATCTCAGAGATATGGTAGAAATATTTTCATATTTGGATGGACAGATTAGGTCACCACTGCGAACGAATCGTTCATCTTCGGTCCCTACTATGACCCGGTCGTCAAATATCGTTCATTTCGTTCTCTTTGTTCTTAGTCATTCATGAATGTATTGATGAATCACGGATCCGATCACGTTATAGAGGCCATGTGACCATGAATAGTCAGAATTGTGCAATATAATGCAATGTAAGCCCAGGCCCGTTGATGTCTTATTTTGTCGAGCACAACATTGTGTAATATGTCAAATTAAATCGTTTGAAATATGCTACACTCTGATTTGAAAAATTAATGTTTAACGTTCATTTATTTTTGGCTATGTGCTTAATTTTTCTTTTAATGACACCCTATTTTTTTAGAGATTCATGTAGATTTTTTTTAATTCTTTGATATACTTTAATATTTTTAACATTAATAATTTATTATTTGCAATAAAATTTTGTATTTAATTATTAATTTCTTGTAAAAGAAATTTAATATTTAAATTTAAATACTTCTGTTCAACAAAGCTAAAAAAATCTCAATGATCTCAACCTTGATAACAAAAATTTTGGCATTAAGTAACTAGATTTGTGCACGTTAATAACTATGTTAATAATTTCACCATTAGCTGTCTTGACACAAAAATTAAGGAAGGTTATTTCAACAGTAAAACATATCTATCTTTTTCGAAAAATTATAAAATTTGATTTTGCGAATTTTATTTTATTTTTATGAGAACCTCTATAAGTTAAAATAAAGATATGTATGTAATGCGAAAGTTTCGAATGAGTTTTTCCTTTATAAAATTTTGTTAAGACTTCGTCAACATTTTTGCAAGGATATGTATATCAGTTTGGAAAAGTGCAGTGTAATATTACACTAATAATAACTACAGCAGTATTGTATTCCCAAAATTTCGGCAAAATGGAGGGTCCCGTTCTTGATTTAATCAATAAAATTAATTGAGCCATTCATCACTTTTTGAGTCACTCTGTATAGGCAATTCTAAAAAAATGAATACAGTGATAAATCACAAGTACGGACTCATCAATTTTGCATATTTTCGATAGGATTTATTTGTCAAAATTTTGAGATGACGTCATCAGTTTTTCGGGGGGATAAACAGATATATTTTGATTAAAAATTTACCACGCTTACGATAGCTTTAAAACGTCTGCATGAGTTTATTCGAATGCATATTGGATTAGGTTGATCTACAAAAATACTACCTACTTCCAAATAAATTTGCCCGTAATAAATTCATTAAATACATATTCAATTTTGTCAAAAAATCTAGTGTGTGGTTTAAATCAAAAAGTTCTCGTTTCGAATTCAAAATTTTCTGCAATCAAGGCAGGAAATGTTGGTCTTTGTCCCCTTTGGTATAAGTAGCTATGGGATTATGAAGACCCGCAGAAAGGAGACGGAGAAGTCTAATACCCCTCGCTGCAAGGTGCTGGGTACTCTGGGGATAATTCATGTACGTGGCATAGCACGTACGTTGTAAACGATTAGCTTATTGAACTGTTTTCGGACAGCGAAGTGACTCTTTTCGCTAACTTAAAATTTATAGCCTTTACTTTTCTCCCGAAGAAGTTTGTGTTAATAAAGACGAATCAAAAATAGTGCTGTTTATTTTTTATTTGTCCTAATGCGACGAAGTGGATAGAATATTAACACACGTTAATGTTTATTCGTATCGAAAATTATTGAATTCTTTTGGTTGTTTTTACTTCCCGAGCGTAAGCAAAGGAAGTATTGTAATTGAGTCCGTCGGCCGACTATCTAATGGGTTTTAAATTGTATAAAATAACATAGTCCTACACATGTAGTTTATAACTCCGAATTGAGTTTTTACCCGAAACGTCCAGATTTTTGTAAAAAAAAAATCAAAATTATAAAACAACATTTTGCAATTTAATTTTGAATCTCCTAAACCGAATGCTTTGAAACCTTGCAGATGTTTTAAGGTTATAAAGAGCATAATAAATTTTTAGTCAAAATATATTTGGTTATCCTATCTAAAATGTACAAAATATGATGAACCTGTACTTGTAATTTATCATTCCATTCATATTTTTTGGATTTGCATATACAGGGTGACCCAAAAAAATTAATGAATGCGTGAATTAATTTTATTGAGTTAATCAGGAACTGCAAAACCGAATGCTTTGATATCTTGGAGATGTTTTAAAGTTACCATAAGCATGGTAAATTTTTGATCAAAATGTATTTGCTCATCCCCCCTAAAAAACTGATGACGCCACCCCAAAATTTTTCTGAATAAATCGCATCTAAAATGTACAAGATATGATGAGTCTCTTCTTGTGATTTATCATTCCATTCATGTGTTTTGGATTTGCATATACAGGTGACCCAAAAAAATTAATGTATTTTATTGATTTCATCAGGAACTACGGAACCGAATGTTTTTAAATCTTACAGATGTTTTAAGGTTATAAAGAGCATAATAAATTGTTAGTCAAAATATATTTGCTTATCCTCTCCAAATAACTGATGACGTCAGCTCAAAAGTTTGCCGAATAAATCCTATCTAGAATATACAAAATATGATGAGTCTGTACTTGTAATTTATCATCCCATTCACATTTTTTGAATTTGCATATACCGGCTGATTAAAAAAATTGCCAAGGAAAATAAGTTTCATCCATATCGTATCTAGGACTTAAAGAGACAGATTACCCTAAAAGACTAAATCTCTGGTGTTTTATTGGGGAACAAACCATTTTAAATCAAAACTTTTTGGAAAATGTACTTTTTAGTGATGATGCATTATTTAGCAACAAAAGGGGTGTAAAGATTGTCCAGAATTATATGAATTTTATGGACTCCCAAAGTTAATTTGTTTTACAACCCTGTCCTCTATTTTATTGTACAGCTGAAGCGTTTGCTTGTATATATATATATAAAACTGCCTGTCAAGGAAAACCACCGGATGTTCGCTACGCGGTCGGTCAGGTAGCAACTTACGGGATACAAACAACAAATAATAACAAACAACGTTTTCTTCATCATCGCTCTCACAATCGCTGTCGCTTAGATTTATAATTAATTCCTTTACAAATTTAGATCTGTACGTTTCCTCAATTTTTATTACATGGTTTATACATTTATTCCACAATTTTCTCAACTTCGTGTTTAATAAGTTCGACCGTTTCTGCACTAAATTTAGGGTTTTTATTATTTTTTCTAATGTTTTTTTTTAACATTGCCCAAATTAATTCAATCGGGTTAAAACAACAATGGTATGGAGGTAACCTAATTACTTTATGTCCCATCTGTTTAGCAAATTCGTCTATAACAAATGTTTTTTCAAAAGTAAAACTTTTTAATACTTCAATTAATTGTTTTTTTGTATAAGATTCTTCGAAAAAAATGTCTTTTTCGTAAAAAAAATCCATAATTTCACGTTTATTACTGGCAGTGTTGGGAATTTTTTCACTTACAACTGAATGGTAGCTTGCGTTATCCAAGACAATTACACTATTTGGCTTGATATTTGTTAAAAAACCTTTAAACCAATTATAAAAAAGATCCCCTGACATATCCTCGTGGTAATCTAATTTCGCGTCTTTTATTGCTTTCGCTGATAAAAACAAACTATTAGGCGCCCACCCTAACTTGGATCCAGCGTGAAGAATAATAATTCTTTTGCCTTTGACCGATGGTACATCTAATGTACATTTATTAGAATTATCAACCCATCCCTTTTTGACGACATCGTGGCTGTCGTACCAGGTCTCGTCAAGAAAATAAATTGTTTTGTTTTCTTCACGACATTTGTGAATTTCTTTTAAGTAATTGTATCGCCATTCTTTAATTCCATTATAACCTGCCTTTTATTAATTCTTTTAAATAAGAAGCCAATTGATTCTAGGAATAGTCTTAGAGTCTCGACACTAAACTCTGCACCAATTTCCCTTTCAATAATAAGTTTTTGTCGCAAACTTCTTAAAGTTGGTACTATTTTTTCCTCGTACATTTCATAAATCGTTGATCTTACGATATGTGCATGTCGGTCGATTTGTAATTTTCTAGGCGTACCTCTATCTATTCTTGATTTTCTGTCTTTGATATTTTCATTCACGCGCGTCCACACAGTAGCATAAGATATATTCGTCATTATAGATGTCTTCTTAATAGGACGTTCGTCTTTGTCAACCTCTTTAATGTAGCGGTAAACATTAAGAATAATATTTTTCGCCTCCACTGGCAAATGAATACGTTGACGTGGTGTTGACGATGTTGAAGGCATTTCTTCATCATTATCGGTATCTACAAAAAAAGTAACATAAAATCCCATGACTAAATAATTTTTTTATGGTTAATAAAATACATAAAAAAATCTACTGACATCTACTATATCATATACTTAAATAAATTTATTACCTTGATCATCAATTTGTTGAACCTTATGCTCAAGTACAATAATATGTTCATTATCCATAGAATTGTCCATCGTCCACGGCTGCCACAAATGAGTCATATTGACAACTATAAAGCATATTTAAATTTTGTTTATTGCCAAAAATACATTTTGATTGTCATCTTACCTTGTTTAAACAACAAAATAAATAGCTCTGACAAGAACTGTTTTTTTATAAGTACTTAAATGAAATAAGGGAATACAAAACAAAGCAAAGCGCATACGACCTCGAAACACAGAAGCGTAAAACCAAACTGGCCCTAAAATGTTTGATATTTCAAACTTTGGAATCGCGGTTTTTCCAAGAAATTTGTAAATTTACCTACCTGCCAGACTGTCCGGTACACGGCGAATTTGGGTACCGAAAACATCGGCTGTAGCTGTACAATGAAATTGACGACAGGGCTGTAAAACAAATTAACTTTGGGAGTCCATAAAATTCATATAATTCTGGACAATCTTTAAATAAATATAATTGTGACAACTATGCCCAGACTAACCCCCGCTGGATTCGCGAAGGACACTTTCAAAGAGTTTATTCTACAAATGCTTGGTGAGGTAATATTTGGGGAACAAAATTATAGGACCATACTTTTTCGTGAAAGATTAAATGGTCAAGTGTATTTAAATTTTCTGAGAAACAATTGTGTCAATATTGCTAGGGGAGGTAGATTGACAAAGAAGACAAAACATAGGGCTTGAATGGGATGGCACACTTCAGTTATTCCTTGGCCCCCTAAAAGTCGTGATACAACTGTACTAGATTACTTTTTATGAGGAATGGTCAAAGATCATGTCTACCAAACACATATCAACAATAGAGAAGATCTAGAACATCTGTAACTGTCGCTTGTAGATCTATAGCGCCAGCGATACTTATGACTCTATGAGAGTGAGAAAATCTTTCTGTAACCGCATCTCCTTAACTGATTTGCTTCGTTTTTAAGTTGTGTTCATTATTAAAACATCTTTTCCGTTAGTATTTCACTTATTTGAGTCTTTTATGATTTTAATGTCAAAACTGACAAACTTTTAGATATGCTTGCCGTGTTTACATATTTATTAAAAACAGAATTTTGAATCTGTATAAGCTCTGCAAAGTATTGTTGGCTGCATCAAACATTATTCAGGTTCATTATTCCTTGTGAATTAACCTGTATATTAAGACAGTACACAAGCAGTAGGGTTGCCTTTGGGTATTTCGATAAGATTGTAGGGCGTGGGCGATCTTTCGGAGCTAATTCGATATATCCACTTGTTGAATTTGTACATATGAATAAAAAAGAGTGAACAATGATATGTATATGTTTATTGATAGTAGAAAAGTGATAAAAAATGAATGTTAAGTGGGTAAATATATGCATATATATATGAATTTACTTGGTGGTCCTCAATACCCTGTTTTCAAAGAGGAGGTGGCGGAACAGATATGGCCACCAGAAGCGCTAGTATAACCCCTCGCCTGGAAAACATTACATTATTTTAATAATCTAAGTAGATGAATTTGTGTTCAATTTTAAACTATACAGAATATGATAATATGATATAGTAATGATAAATAAACATACATTTACATGAACGAGATTGACATTAATATGGAAAGCGATGAAAATGAAGATATAGAATAAACCTACAAGAGAGATTTACAATAAATTATGAATGTACCAAATGGTACCAAATGAATGAATAAAACAATAATACAAATATGAATTAATATACATTATAGAATAAACCAAAAACGGAGATCAACGATAATGTATTGTTACGAAAGAAACCTATACGACGCCTAGGGGTTCCAGTATGTACAGCGATGATGACTCTCAGTCAGCGAGTCAGTCCAGTGAATGTGCACTCACGTTGCACCAGAATTATTTTGTACATAATCGCTGTGTAATCAGTCGTGTAAATTTGAGTTATTGAGAAATAAATTGTTGAGTTTTACCCCCGCCGATTTTTAATCACCGATCATTGTAACAGTGTGTATAATACACTATGGCTGAATGTAACTATATTATGTATATACAATGCTTTGTAATTTTTGAGTGAAAAGCTAACATAAACAATGAGCTATCTATATTACAATATATGTATATGAAACAAGGAATTATGTATGTATTTACACAAACCTCATTTGACATACACCTCTTAAAACTTTTATGATTTAAGCGGCTTAAGCCAAAGCACCCTTATAAGTCAAACTGGCTATTGTAAGCTTTGTGGACCCGAAGCGCAAGATTATTACTGTCCATTGTTGGCATAATGTAGCTGTGAACTGAGTTAAGTAATACAATAGCCAGTTTGACTTATAAGGGTGGTTTGGCTTAAGCCGCTTAAGTCATAAAAGTTTTAACAGGTGTATGTCAAATGAGGTTACTTTAAATGTGTCCATCAAGACTGTGTTTAAAGAAGTTTACAAATTTCTCGAGTTCAGCACCGATTCCCTCGCAGGTAAAGAAACCCTGATGTATCTGACCGTTTATCCCGTTGGTAAAAGCCCTTAAGACGATTAGAGATTAGTGAAGTCACCTTCAAATATCGGTAGCCCGGTTATACGCGTTGTTTAAATTAGATTGAGACGTGTCTTCGGAGTTGTAAAAATCATCATCAAGATGATTTTTAGCTTCATTGGGTATTGAGTTTGAAAATTTGGGACAATTGGATGTTATACTATGTGCTTGTGAACCTATGAAACCGGGAATAGATTTTTACTTCCCGACCATAAGCGAAGGAAGTATTGTAATCGAATCCGTCCGCCGACTCTCTACTTTTACGTTTTCTCGACCTTTCATGACCCTTAAAGTACGAAGAAATAGGTCTCTCGTTTCTGTCGGTCTGTCTGTCTCTTCGTCTGTCTGCCGTCCCGGATTTTTTACTGATAGTTTGCAGCTTGTGATGCAGAAACAGGCATTTTAACTAGAGCATTTCAAATTTTGTATAACCTTATGGGCTTTAGATTTTGACGTTTTTCGAGGTCAGTGGTTGGCAAGTTAGTATGTACCTTCCATGAATTCGGGAAACTAGAAGAGAAAGAAAGACGACACAATGCATCAGCTTTTGTAATGAGAGCGTTATATATATCGGATATTTGATTGATGAATATTATTTGGCACGTCTCGAAGATTATAAACGACGGGTTCACCCGATTTCTCGTCACCCACGTCATTCGAGACTAGTGTTGTTTCGGATTTATTCTGAACTATAAGGATTTGTAACTTCGAATGTACCCGCTGTACGTCTTCAAATCGATATCTTAATTCGCCTATTTTTTAGTGCTTTGCGATGTTTGACATGAAGTTAGAATGTAAATCTATTTCGCCGAAAAGAAATGAAAATATACCAACAGTTTCGTCTTGGATTACCACCATCTTGAGTACGAGAATAAATGTGTTACACCAATTAGACAGAATTAAAGCCTACCTGGATAGAATTTTCTTGACTGAATGGCACTTGGTGGATTTGTACTGCACTCGCATGTTACTCTATTTTTTTGTCTCTGTAGTTTTTCTGTCGCTGATCCGGCTCGAAGTTGAATTTGTAGATATGAATAGAAAATAGCGAACAGTAGATACAAAAATGTGTTTATTGATATATGGTAAGTCATAAAAGACGAATGTTGAGTGAATTAATGTAGAGTGAGTTCCGAAAGTTGTATGTTGAGTGAGTAGTAAGTGAATGAATATATGAATATATACAAATATACCTGGTGGTCCTAAATACCCTGCATTAAAAGAGGAGGTTTCTCTGGCCCACCCTTGCGGGTGAAGGGGGCGGAACAGGTATGGCCGCTAGAAGCGCCGACACCACTTAATTCAAGATATGAAAGCATCTATCTAATTGGCGCGCGGCATTTCATCAAGATGTGTCAGGGGAGCCCTAGTGCTTGTGTATTGTCATAATGTATTGCCTTTCCTGAAAATCTTGGCTTATCAGAAATGAACATAGTAATTTTACGTTCACCTCTCCACCTATACAATTTTTTTAGGCCAATGTTTCCAAAAGTAGCTGTAGTAGTTGATCAATTCTTCGTGAAAGATTGTTCGTACATAAATAAAATTTTAGGGCATACTCAATGGTTTCTTTAATGCATTTCTCCAAAAACACGTATCGAAATGCAGCTACTTTTTTTGTACGCATTAAAAGTACACACTAACAATATTTATTACTTTGCTGTTTATAATTTAAGCAAATTACTTGTTTTAAATACATACATACATTTTTTTTACAAGTATATGATTTTATTAGAAAGTTTACTGTCATTTTGTGTTAAAAATATATGTATCAGTGTCATTTTTTATTAAATATATATTTCGTTATTCATTTCTTTATTTAAATATTAATATAAAGTTAATAAAAGTAAATATCTACTATTAATGTCTAAAAACATTTATAATTGATTTCTTCTTTTCAGATATTGCGTCAGGTGTCGCTGAAATTATCTCAGGGTCTCTCGCAGTTGATGGTTGCTGAGACGGGAAGTACAGGCCAGGCTCAAGCCCTTTTCAGTCAGGCCTTAAACTGGGAACTTCCGGACCTAAATACCACACTGGCGTTATTAAGGCTGGTATGGGCAGCAAGCAGTGATAATTTAAACGCACTGAATGCCTCTCCTGAAGTCCTGCATTCCCTTGCCGATCCAAAGAAACGTAACGTACCTCTAGAATTACACACCAACGAAATACTTCTGTGTAAAGAAGCTCTTGAACTGCTCAGCATTGCTCTAGTCTTGAACTCTAGTAGTCTAGAACATCTTTATCATGATAAAAGGTGGCCTTACTTTATAACGGATTTAGTTTTGTTAAATCCCAGCTGTGCCGTTCGAATCGCCGCAGCAGAACAGCTGATAATTATATGTACGTGTGGTGCATCGAGTCGTTTGGCTCTTCAGTTGATTACGCCTTTGTTGTTTTCGTTGTTGGACACATTAGTGTTGGAAAACGCAAATACGTCGCACGAACTTTTCCAGTTGTTGAGTCAGTTAGTGAACGTTGCTTATTTGACGGGTTGTCCTTTACCGAATGCAGACGCTTTATTAACCAAAGAAGTTGCTTGGTTGCGAAAAGCAAGAGACAAAAACGAAGTTTTGATTGAAGGACATTTAAGTTTAACAAAAGAGTTACTTCATTTTCTCACTCCAGAACAAAAGTGTGAACTGGGAAGTGCCGATACAGGAAGTTTCATTAAAGAGCTGCTCGAGGATTTTCTTTTTCCTGCCAGCAAATTAATGTTGCAGTTGAACAAGACGGGACAATTGGGTGAAGATCCGGCGATACCCATATGCGATACTCCACAGACACAAGCTGCAGCTTTCAATCTTCTCATCTCGCTGTGTTTGAATTGTGTTCAAAACTTCAAGCAGTTGGTCAACATGCTAACAGAAATGTTTTATTCAGGTATGTCACTATCAGATTATTATTATTTTGTTCTAAATTTAAAAGAACGGGGTAAATATGTTAATTTATTATTCCATAAAACTGAAGTGTTAAATACACCCATGACACGGAATTTTAACAAAAATATTTATGCACTTCGCCAGCAATGTTGGTATGGTACAAGCAAAATACCGTAATTTCTTAATGCACACTCAAAAAATTGGTCGAACTTTATGATTTGCCCCTGAAAAACAGGCGCACAAATATGTACAGATTTTTCGAAAAATTATAAAATTAAATTTTACCGTTTTTTTATGATAAACTCTATAAGTTAAAATAAAGATATGTGTGATTGTTAAAGTATAGGTGAAGAAGCATGTTATATATTGCAAGTGAATTTTTTCATAACAAAATTGTGTGATGCTGTCATCAACATCTGAACAAAGACACGTACATCAATTTGAATCGGTGCAGTTTAATACAAATAATACAAATAATACAACTGTACTGTATACTCAAGTTTTTGAGAAAATTGGGTTAGCCTCTCGTGATTTGATCAATAAAATAGATTGCTTCATTCATTGATTTTTTGAGTCACCCTGTATAAGTAATTCTAATAAATGTAATTGCATTGATAAACCACAAGTATAGGCTGTAGAATATTTTGCAAATTTTGAGATAACGTCATCAATTTTTAGGAGAGGATAAATTTTGACTAACGATTTATCATGGTTACGATAACCTTGAAATGTTTGCAAGATTTCAGAGCATTCAGTTTTGCAGTTTCAAAATTAAATTGCAAAATGTTATACAAATTTGGTTTTTTAAAAAAATCTGGATGTTTAGGGTAAAAACTCAAAACGGATTCATAAACCACAAGTAGTACGTTATTTTATAAAATCTAAATAAAATTTACAATTGTAAATATTCGACATGACGTCGTGGAGGGGATGATAAGACAAAACTTGTTGGCGCTTTACCATCTACACAATATTCCTATCATACATATAAAATTTGACGACAAGTGTATCTATTTAGTAGACGATTAGTTTGGAAAAAAAAATACAGTGTATGTAACCACCTCGCCAAAAATTGGTTATCTTGAAATATTGTTAAGTAAACTTAGCCTTCAGGTGTACAGTATAGTAATGCCTCTTTATCCGTATTTCGAGTAATATCTGGATTATAAAGAAATAAATTTAGACCATCACGCTTGGTATTTTTTCTCATTGATTACAAAGCAGACTCCTTCGAAATTTTCCTAGAACATTGGCATTAATTGAGGAAATAAAAAAACATTAATTAAATTGCATTTGTTCATCATCACGTAAATATAAACCTCAACATATAACTTATTTTAGAAAATGGTCTCCTAATTTCTTTAATATTCTGTGAACGTTATTATAAGTGTTTTGCTGTGGATGTCAAAATTAACATGTTCGTTCCCAGAAAAAAATCATAGACACCATCTCAAAAATACAGGGATATTCACGAGAAGCTCCACTCCTAAAAAATCCAAGACGCAACCACAAATACGATGATGCCGAGTGATTATTATTAATGTTTGTGATTTTTTTTTTGTCAGTTTGGCAACATATTTTAAATTTTCCGATGGAATACCTGATATAAAATTGAAATTTTGGGCGCCAATTCAGTAGCTACTATCTCCTTATTAGTTCTTAGGCGTGCTCGTGTCAAAATAGGCAACTGTTAACTGACATGCTAATATTCCTAACATTGCTGTCAAGAATTTAGAATTGCCAACTCAAAATCTTGCTTCAATCATTAATAGCCACCCGGTATTATCAAACTTGGCATTTGCCATGAGTTAATGTTATACAAAACAATAAGCGAGCCACTTTCTTGTGAACAAAATCTGTGACAGTCAGTATTTGTAGTTCATGAAGTTACGAATATAATCAATATATAGGGTGTTCCAAAAATGACGGATAAGTCTCGATGGTATGTTATTACGAAAGCTCGATAAAATGCTTAAAAAAATCGCTGACCAAATTTTTGAAAATATTAAATTTCAAAGTTGAAGAAGTGACTTGGGATTAAAACATACTAGAATTACGTCTGATAGTTTTAATGTGAATTTCATTGACAGTCTAAAATTCCCATAAAAATTGCCACAAATGGTCTCTGTCAAAAAAAAGACTGAATCGTGGCCTAACAAATTATTATTAAATTATTTTAAACTATTTATTTAACTGTCTTATTACAAATTCAATTTATTAAAACGAAAACAAATTAGAATTACGAAGTTGATTCTTCAATTTTGACGTTCAATATTTTCAACTCTTTGGCGCAAGGATTTTTTTTTTTGAGTTTTTCAGAGCCCTCTTAACAACGTACCATCTAGCTTTTCCATCATTTTTGGAACACCAGATATATATGGTACCGACAATGTGTATAATTAGGTATTCTATATAATACCTAGGCAACTTGGCGGCCACTTTTTAATAATAATAATAATAATATAATTTATTGTCCAACAGAACAAATATTCCACTTACTGGACAATTTCCAATGAAACAAAATAAAAATAAAAGAAAACAAAAATAGTAATATATACCAAAAAATAAAAATAAAAATCACGTTTACCATACCAAATAAAAAGAAAATTAAAGTAAAGTAAATTACATTCAATAAATAAACTATCAATTATAGAGATAGTACAATAGAAAAACAAACAAAATATGTATCCCACCATTTTTTACCTTCTAATAGAAAATAAAAAATAAAACAATAGAGAAATTATAGAGCACATCTCACTATCTACATACACACTTGAAATCGACGACGCACATGTGAACGCAACTCCGACAAAGAGCTGCAGTAAATATCACACGAATCACTAGAAGTTTCAACCATATTTAAGTAATGACAAAATAAATATACTGGAGCTCTTCTGCCAATGTTTGTTCGAGGTCTAGGACAATATAGTGTTACAGCGTATCTACAGTTAACTCTCGGTACATGAAAGTTTAACTTTGACAACAGTGAACTACAGTCTATGTGATTATTAAGTAATTTATACAAAAATAAGATTTTCAATAAAAAAGTGTGAAGTTATAAGGAAAATTGGTATAAGATTAATTGATTTTCTGAAATAAATAAAACAGTAAATGTTGCCCAATTTTTGTTAGCATAAGGGCCAGTTTATACAATATTTCAACTAAGATTAAGTTAATCGTCCACTTAACGAGGCGTTCAGCGATGTCTGATTGACGTAGAGTCGGTCACGTGGACTTTAACGCCATGCTATAAATTTAATTGCAGTCGAATATTTATTTAATTGAGCTTCTGTAAACCGGGTCTAAATGAGTTAGTTTAATTTGAAACTTTAAAGTTGCATGATGCTTTATTAAAACTTCAAAGCACTGTGTCTCTACTAAAAAGTCTTCCAGATGAATGTGGAAAGAAGTTAAAAATGAAAGTACAATCTGTTTTACTAGAAATCCCGATTTAAATATTTTGCACCAATTTTGCGATTACATAACAGAGCCAAACATAAGAACAAAATATGAATGAGAATTTGCGACTTTTTTTCATTACGCTCTCATAACCAGTTGTGACGTAAAGCATTCGTTTTCTAAATTGAAAGATTTCTTAACTCCGAAAAGAATACGTTTTATCGAAGAAAATCTTGAAGCGAATACTTGTGTATGTGTATGCAAAAGCTCGACCTTGAACAGACTTCAAACAAATTTGTACGCACCTTTAAATTAAAACCGCCTCGCCGTTCACTGCTTATGAATCACAATATTAGGAGTATCATCCATAGTTAATTGCATTATAGTAACTGGTGAGCATCACTTGTTAATAGTGTTGAATTTTTGTCTCGTAAAACAGTTGGATAAACTACCTCAAAACTTACATACAACTGTAAAAAAAAATACTTTTTATTCAAAATCCCCATAGTTATATGCATGCCTTGCATAAAATTAATAAGACGTTACCACTAAATTTTAATTATTCTTCTTAACAATAAATATTAACTGTAGCCCCATTGTTTTTATTTAGACCCTGAAACAGCAATAATAGAATGGGATTATTTGCCCGCGATCGGGCCTCGTCCAGTCCAAGGTTTTGTGGGCTTGAAGAATGCCGGTGCTACGTGTTACATGAATTCAGTGTTGCAACAGTTGTACATGGTCGAGAGTATCCGAGAAGGCATTTTGGCAGCTGAAGGTGCCGCCACCGATCCGAACGAAGATTTCACCGGCGAGGAGCGTTTGGAATTGGACGCCGACTGTACCGACGACCGCAACTGTTACGATGATAATCGAAAAGACTACAACGTTGGTATTCTCAAGCAGGTACAAGCTATATTCGGTCACTTGGCCTGTTCACGCCTTCAATATTATGTGCCTAGGGGACTTTGGAGACATTTTAAACTTCAAGGTTGCTACGTCGACTTGTCGATGTCGTATCATTGGTGCATTTTACATTTCAGGTGAGCCAGTTAATCTGCGGGAACAACAGGATGCTGTAGAATTTTTCATGTCGCTTATAGAAAGTCTAGATGAAGCATTAAAAACGCTAGGTCACGAACAAATTATGTCCAAAATCTTGGGCGGCTCCTACTCAGATCAAAAAATTTGTAAGGGTTGCCCGCATCGCTATTCAAAAGAGGAACCTTTCAGTGTTATTAGTGTAGATATTCGAAATCACAGCAGCCTGCAAGATTCGATGGAGCAGTACGTCAAAGGTAGGGTCAAAATTGAAGCAATTAATACAGAACTAAGGTCTGTTGATGTTTAGGTGAATTATTGGAAGGTGCCGACGCCTATTATTGTGAGAAGTGCGCGAAAAAAGTAGTTACTGTTAAACGCTTGTGTGTTAAAAAATTACCTCCGATATTAGGAATCCAGTTGAAGAGATTTGAATATGACTTTGAAAGAGTTTGTGCCATCAAGTTTAATGACTATTTTGAGTTTCCTAGAGATCTAGATATGGAACCGTACACAGTTTCGGGGTTGGCTAAAATCGAAGGGGAAATAATAGACTGTGATTTAGATCCTAATGCAGTCGATACGTGCACTAAGTATCGCCTGTCTGGTATAGTTGTACACTCAGGCCAAGCCTCAGGTAACTCCACCGACTGTAGTTACTCTTTTTTTTTAATCAGTCGTCCTTAGGTGGTCATTATTACTCATACATTAGGCATCGTGATCCTTCTGGTGAAGTGAGGTGGTACAAATTCGACGATGGTGACGTCTCCGAGTGTCGTATGAGCGAGGATGACGAAATGAAAGTGCAATGTTTTGGTGGTGATTATATGGGTGAAGTGTTTGACCCTATGTTGAAAAGAACAACTTATAGAAGACAAAAAAGGTGGTGGAATGCATATATGCTTTTCTATACGCGACACGACGTAGAAGAAAATGATTTGTCAAAAGCTATGAATGAATTAAAAATCAGTAATGCAAACGCGAATTCTCTAGAGAATACTATGTTGGTTGTTGATTTTGTAGCTGATAGAAAGGAAACACATTTAAAAATGCCCGTTGCGATAGAAAATAGCATACGAAAGCAAAACATTAAATTTCTTCATCATAGGAGTCAATTTTCTGTAGAATATTTTTCGTTTATAAGAAAATTAGCCACTAGTTGTGCGCAGCCAAATCCTCGTCCAGGTCAATCTAACGACATGATCGAACAACAGACTCTTCTTAGCGTTCAACTAGTCAGTAATTTTCTCTTTCATACTGGGTGGCATACGAAGAAAAATCTACGAGGTCTCGCTATGGAGTGGTGAGTTTCCATTATTATTTTTTTAAACTAGTTTCGTTGACGGTGTGTTCAAACTTCGTTTCAAATCAGAATTTTAAAGGGTAGTATGTAGAAACTTTAGCAGATCCTAGCGTAATAGGTTGTTTTCTTATTCGTTATTAGTATTTCAAAACAATATAAATTCAAAAGATATAGTTGTTACTTTGGCGTTAGCCTGTATTCGTCTTCAGTAATTTAGTCTAGTAGTCTAGTTTAAAACAGCAGTTATCTTAAAAACGGTAGGTTATATACTATTTTTTGTATTTTCCAGGTGTGATGTACTATGTATGCACTTGCGATATTCGCCAGCAATTCGTTCGTGGTTTGCCCACAACATGTTATTCAACCACATGCATAGATTTTGCGATTATTTATTAAGCTGTCCTAGTAACGAAGTTAGGTCTGCTTTTATAAAAATAATCGTCTTACTAGCACACTTCTCGATCAACGACGGGCCTTGTCCTTGCCCACCCGGATTAAATAATCCAGATCCTAACGCTTCTTTAAGCGATCACGTATTGTGGGCCCTTTTGGGACTGCTTCAAAGAGAAGTCAGCGAACATGGACGCCACTTGCCGCATTATTGTACGGTTTTCCATATGTATGCCAGCCAAGGTAATGTTGATCAAACCGTAGCAAAAGTGTATTATATGTGCTTAAAATCATTTATACAGGTTTACAAGAAAAAGCTCAGCTGCTGAAGATGGGTGTTCCAGCCACATTTATGTTGGTCGCTTTGGACGAAGGTCCAGGACCCGCAATAAAATACCAATATACGGAATTAGGGAAATTAAATCAATTAGTCTCATGTCTAATACGTTGCTGTGATGTTAGCTCCAAATGCCAGTCAAGTACTGGCGGTCCTGTTTTACCTAACCCGTACGTGGATCCCTCGTGTCCAGATTATATCATGCCGATATCACCCCAGGCTGCAGATATTCTCTACAATCGTTCTAGGTGAGTGAATTTCTGTCACAACTTAGCAGTAGAAGAATTTTATCTAACACGTCTCAATAATAAAAATATTATTTTGATTTTGGTTATAGTTGATAATTAAGATTCAGATTTTTATTAAAAAAGAAAGAAATAGATTTAGGTTATTTCACGTTGTAAACCGTGTTTGGAGGATCACAGACTAACGGACTCGAATATTATTATCAACATAAATCGCAGTAAAAGAATGATCTGATGTATTTACTTAGCTACCTTTGGAAACCGTATCTTATGCGTAAAATTTCACTGTTGTGATATTATCAGTAGTTGTTTTTGCTACAGCAAAGTTGCAGAAGAAAGTCTCATACTGTATCCAGCATATGATTGAACTTTAGGTATCACCAACTAAGTAAGGGGCAAATTTTCAGTTAATTTAGCGACACCTAAATTAACTTGAAATTAGCCTCTGTATTATCTTAGACAAAGTGTTGATTCGAATGGTTGGTTAGTGGATTTTTCTATATTTTAATCATGACATGGGAAAAATTTACGGCGTGAAATATTTCTTGGTTTCAGGGGCACAGATTTTCAGTGAAGTTCAAGAATGGTTGTTAAAAATCTGATAATAATAATAATTGTCAAAATTCTTGATACATTCATCTTTGTGTTGGACGTCGAAACTTCCAAGTATCCTCCTCATCTATGATATCGTTAGTTATCAGTTTAGTTATTTCATCAGATCACAACAAGTAAATAGTTTGGTTTCATTATATAAAAAAGCTTCATTCAGAAATTTTTGTACTTTGCCTTTTTTTATGTTGCTTCATTTAAGTAGGAGACTATTATTTCATATTTTAATATGTATGTCAGTACTCATATGCTTTGAAAGTAGTTAGCATAGAATATTTCGTAGTCATCTGTCTGCACTGATTGTTGTGAAATTTTAGACGTATTTGAAGAATATCATCTAAATGGTGAAACGCTAATCAAAATTTGTTAGATCATCCCCACCAAAAATTTGATTGCGTCATCTCAATTTTTTTTTTAGTAAATCCTATTTAAAATGTGCAAAAAAAGACTTATTTACTATAATTGATTAATGCATCCCTATGTTTAATCAGTAAGGTTTTTGAAAAAAATCCAAAATTGTACAACAAAATTTTACATTTTAACTTACAAAGACTGCTACCTATGGTTTATACAAAATGATTTGTGAAAGAAGGAATTAATGTTATTGATTCAATTAAAAACAATATACTTACTTCGTTTTTCCGAAATTCCGAATGCACAGAACTGTTGTTATTAGTACTACACTATACGTGTCAAAATTGAGATATTTATCCCCAGTAAAAAAACTGATGACGTCAGCACAACATTTAATTATACACTTACCCGCACGAAAACGGGCCACCTAATTTTTTTTTTAGAAAAAGATCGAAAATGTTCAAACTAAAGTATGATTTCGCTTGCAACACTGTTATGTAAGGTCTATTATAATATTTGTGTCCAAAAAGAATCAGAAAAAATATATTTTAATAGAGAATGGTAAAAATTTAACAATCAAAGCTGAAAAAATACAAATTTTCAAAAAAAAAAAACAAAAAAAAGGGTAAAGTAGAAAATACCGACACGGTTGAAGTTAATACTTTTACGGTAATACTATGCTAGCTTAAAAAGTTAAGTCTGTGATTTTAAATTTCGTCACTACACACGCTGCTATTTTTTCTATTTTTCAAATTAATAAAAAATTTTATCATAGTTATTTTTCGATTTTTTTGGAAGTGACATGTAATCTAACGAGTTTCTTTCTTACCTCCTCGGGAAATATTTTTGTCCATTTTTTTTTTATTTCTGGAGTATAAGCCAAGGAAGTATTGTAATGGAGTCCATTGGACGACTAGCTACCTTTGTTTTCTCTACGTTTCATGACCCCTAGAGTACAAAACAATAGATCTCCCGTTCCGTCTGTCTGACTACCGGTTCTGTCGATTTTTATTAGGCAGATAATCTTTGAAACTACCGGATCGATTGGTATTGAATTTTAAATGCATGTTTGGAATATCGTGCAGATACTAAAACGCTGACTAGAATTTTTCTCATCCCTCGCACCAACAATCTGATGACGTCATGTCAACGTTTTGCTTAGCAAATAATTTTTAAATTTTATAAAATATGTAATATACTCCTATACCTATGGTTTATGATTTAGCTTTTTCATGTAACCGATATCTCGCGCACGCACGACACAAATAGGGCGTGGTTGAATGTTTTTAGGCGTAAAATTTGAGCAACTGGAGCTCTGTGCGCGTGAGTTGGAATGCTATACTCGTCAACATTTTTTTTTCTACGACATTGATTTGTTTGGATGTCTGACTTCAGGTGCGAGGGATTACTTTTTTTTATTCATTCTCCATAATAACTACACATGATTTGACTTCTGCACAAGTTTTTAATAATTAAAATTTGCTATTTTAAAGTGTTAAATTTGAAACATTTTAATTGCATTTTAAGCTGTTATTAAGAGGTGTTAGATAAAATTTTGTGTGACTCATGTGTTACTTACATAAGCTACTTGATAAAGTCGAAAGCTGATCTGACCTGATATGACATACCCTGATCTGGTCTAGTCTGACATGGGTTAACACTCTTTTGAAAGACTTATTTGGTAAATAACACATTTGTACTATAAACTACGGAGTAGCTTGCGCTTAAAGGTAAAAATAAAATGTGAGTATCAATTTTGAAACTTTAAAGTCATTAAAATTTGTCAAAAGATTACTTGCACACCTGTCATGTGTATAAAGGTTCGTTTGTATGTCGTGTGTAATCGGTATGTTGAATATACTCACATTTTAAATAGCCATCTTGGGATGTGAAAAACGTTAGTTTCTGATTATGCATAATGATAATTTTGTTATTTTGTGTTAGCTACATCAAAAAAGTAATTGAAGACACCAATTTAACCGACGATGCCATCAAATTACTTCAGTTTTGTTCCTGGGAGAACCCTCATTTCTCACGAACAGTTTTGTCGGAACTCCTGTGGCAAATAGCTTTTGCATACTGTCAAGAGCTTCGTCACCACATCGAGATACTTTTATCCGTGTTGTTGATTGAAGACTCGTGGCAGACTCACCGTATTCATAACGCGATCAAAGGTGTTCCTGACGAACGAGAGGGTCTTTTAGAGACGATAGTACGTGCCAAGAATCATTATCAAAAGAGGGCTTATCAGTGTATAAAATGTATGGTGGCCCTGTTCAGCAAATGTCAGGCCGCTAGGCTGATGTTGAATAGTCAGGCGGATCTACGGAGGACATGGACGGCCTCAGTTGCGTGGCTACAAGACGAACTGGAGAGGAAGTACCCGGCCAGTACTCAGTACGCGTATAGTACTTGGTCTCCGCCAGCTCAGAGTAACGAGAGCTCGAACGGGTACTTCTTAGAGAGATCAAATAGTGCCAGAAAGACTCTAGAGAGGGCGCTAGAGTTGATGCCCGATCTGGAAAGGGAAGAAGAAGACGTGAGCGAAGAACAGGAATCTCAGGAAGAAGTAGTTGAGTCAACGCAAAACGAAGAAAACAAGCCTGATCTACCCGACATAACACAAAGTTGCGAACACACTCCTAACACGTATTAGGTAATGTCTTATAAGGCTACACTTCACTTAGTACTATGCACGGTACAAAATTCACCGCGTTATACTTTCTCAATATTTGGATTGCCTTTTTAATGTATTTCATTGTGTAAGCCGTAACATTTTGCATAGCTTTGTGAACTTTGTACCATGCTGCTTCAAGAGCCACATGTATATTTGTCTATTTATTTAAAAGTGGGACATGTGATATGTATGTATATAAACTTGACCTGACGCATTTTCGAATTTTTATATTGACCGGAATGCATTTCTGCTTACGTTCCTTTTTCGCAAGCAGTCCCCTTTTTTATTATCAACTGAAGAAATACATGAAGCTGCTCGAAAAATTTAAATACTGTTACTGACCTCATTTCTTCTCGGTTTTGTCAGCAGTTATTCAGTTCGTGACTGCTTAATTACAAACTCCATTTGTTAATTTTAAGTATGGTACAGTAATGATGTTCATATGATTCGAGTGCTTTTGACTAGTTAGTAAACAGTTTGTCTCTAACATAAATTCAATGTAAATACCACTAGCAAAATGAAGTTTTGTGCTTTTATTATGGTGAATAATAATATAACCATTATTTTTGTGATAATTTTTTGTTTCATACTTTTTTAAAAGTCATAACTAAATTTAACTTTTTATTAATCCTAATCAAAAATTAATTTTACGCAACTATTTATTTTCATGAATAGATTATTTTTAGAAACCTATTATGTATATAATACACTAATAATAATGTTACACTTACATTTTAACGGTAGCGTCTACCAATAACGTCACAGGTATTTTATGTGTATTTATTATAAAATATGCATATAGCTTATTTGTATAGATATCTTGTATATTTATTTTTTTCTTTTTTTTTTAATATATCGATCGCTAAATGTTCGTTCAATTATTACTGCGTTAGGTTTTGTTATGACTTTGAAATGAACCAACTTGTCAACTTGTAAAAGTTAGATGTTACGTGAAGTTATTTTAATTTTATCAATAATATGAAATTAATTGTTAATTCAAGTTGTCCACAAGTTGTTTTGGCGGATATTGTAGTTCCATATAACATACCTATGTTTTTCTTGTGTTAGAAACCATCCCCTCTCCCACTTAATTTATAGGTTAGAGAGGTGAAGCAGTTTGATGGTTATTTTAGGAATTCTTTTTCAGTATCATTTTCATTTATAAGCTTCCCCAACTTACATGTTTGTTTGTATATTATAATTTATATTAATTCATTATAAATAAAATTTAAACTTTTAGACCGTAGTTATATTCACAATATAACATAACCTAAATTTGCACTCACATGGAACAACTAAAACAAAATCTGCCCCAAGGAGTTTATGAAAGTTTAATCAGTGGTAAGCATTAGAGCTTAAAAATATAGTAAACTGAAAAAAACTGCATGTTCAGCAAATTTTAAGTCACCGTCAGAAATAATAATCCGAACAAGAGCCGAATTGGCACAAATTACAAAATTAGATTTAAGTTTAATTGAAGACGTTGTTAAAGAATGCACCACAATATTGTTAACTGGAAAAATTAATACAGGTATTTTTGAAAATTACTCGTGACGAAATTAATGCAACGTCAAAATTTTAGCAAATTACTTAAAATCATGGCAACGTCTAAGCACAGGTTGTTTCACAATTGATGCAATTACAAAAGGTGGGATTCCACTTCATGGAATTACAGAAATAGTGGGATGTAGTGGAGTTGGTAAGACACAAATGTGTCTTCAGTTAGCACTAATGTCCCAGGTACCAACTGAGTTAGGGGGTTTAGAAAAAGGTGTTGTTTATATTTGTACAGAAGACGCTTTTCCAGCAAAGCGATTGAGAGAATTAGCACAGGAGTTTTCGCAAAAATTCAAAACCAGTATAAATGATTCCTTTGAAGATTGTATATTCATTCAGCATGTTGCGGACGCCGTAGGTTTTTTTTAATTCAACTTTTCAAAATGTCCCATTGGAAAAATTTGTTTTTAGGAGCAGCTAAAATTGTGTCTGTATACTCGGTTCCCGAGGCTTCTCACCGTAAAACGTGTGGGCCTAATTATCATTGATTCAATTGCTGGAGTATTTCGTAGTGAAAATTTGGACGTTAATTATTCTAATAGAAGCCAAGATTTTATTTCCACTGTTGTTCAATTACAAAAACTTTCGGAAAAATATAATTTTGCAGTTGTTTGTTCAAATCAGGTATGGGTTCAGTGTACTAATGTTTGAAACTTTTTTTTTCGTATAGGTAACTGACAACATTGCGAGTGGTATAACTGAACCATGTTTGGGATTAGCGTGGAGCAATTTGGTTACGTGCCGATTCAGTATAACTAGACATTTTGAGACCCAAATAAGAGAATTTGGAGTTATTTTTGCTCCGGATTTATCATCAAACAGTTCATGTAAATTTAAAATTTTGAAAAGTGGTTTGGTAGGAATTTAATAAATTATTTGAGGAGAAAAAATACCGACATTTTATGTTAGCACATTTCATTCCGTTCCGTTTTCCAGTTCAGTTTTTTTTTTTTATAAAATAAAATAAAATCGACGATACTGCAGTTTTCACATTTTAACAAAAGTCTGGTGACATTGTGGCGATACAGATGGTATCGTGTGTGTCAAAACTGTCAAATTACAAGTTTAGGAACTTTCTAGGTGCTTTCTAGCATTCGAAATTTGTATTCAGATCTAAAAATAATATGTGTATTTGATATATACCCCAAATAGTCTTAAAACGCAGTACATTCAAAATGGTATGAGCTTACATGCTTAAATTGTTTTAACCTAAACAAAATGTTTTCAGTCGACTGGTATAATTTTGGCAGGGTTAGGATTAGCAGCGGTAGGTTTTGCGGGACGTTATGCTTTAAGACAGCTTCCAAATGTGACGAAAACAGTCAATGAAGCAATGAAAAATTTACCAAAATTTGATGCAGAATCAGTAGCAAATTCAAGGTACTATCGTGGCGGTTTTGACCAAAAAATGAATAGACGAGAAGCGGCTTTAATATTAGGTTAGCTTAAAAGTTAATGTTAGCATTTAAACATGAAATTTATTTTAGGAATCAGTCCAACAGCAAGTAAAGTAAAAGTAAAGGACGCTTTCAAAAGGGTAATGGCTGTAAACCATCCTGATCGAGGAGGTTCTCCGTACTTGGCGTCAAAAATAAATGAAGCCAAAGAATACTTGGAGAAACATACAAGATAGCAAAAGTTTTTAATTAGGGTATGTCTTAGCAAATAAATAAATTGTACAAGTTCATACAAAAGTGTATTGGCTGTATAAATAGACAAAACGACTAGAATCATGTTGATATAAAAATAAAACAAAGCATTAATTATTTTTGATGTTTTATCCTTAACTTGTCTAAACTATTAGACGAAAAACTTCCTGGAAGCGTAAAAACATCCTACAAGGTTTTTATTAGATGTGTGCTAGGGTAAGTTAAAGTTAACACATACCTTCATAAACTGATGGCAATCAATCACACCTTCATGACTGCGCATATCCCTAAAACATGCTATAAGTTCACTTAATTCTGTAGTTTCCAAAATTTTTTGTTTGTGAAGTTTTATTAGTGTAATTGCTACTCGTAACAAGACTTTTGATCCTTCATTAAATAAACAGTCCCATATTCTCAATACCGTTTCCGTCGGTAGTACTTCTGAGTACAAACAAATAAACCATTTTGTTGTTCCTAAAGCCCAAGGCATGCCTATGTTTTGTATGTGGCGATGTAATATAGGTTCTTGTTTTTGAATAAGTGCATTCAATACATCTAAATCTGTAAGTAAGCCCGACATACTTGGAATATAATACTTTGGTAGTAGTTGCTCTACTAGAACCTTTAGCAGCCAGAACGACGCTTCTTCACTTTTTGTTGCTAACAAAAGTAAACCTGCTATATAATTTAGGCCTTGACAGTACCCTACTTCTGTATTTTGATGAGAAAAAGTCGCCAAAACATTAAATAATTGTTGAGGTAGATATTCATGACTCGTAAAATAAATATTGTCTGGAAATGTCCTGGGAAGATCAATCTGAATTGTTTCTATCAGTGCTTTGTTGTTTACTTTCTTTCTAAGATCTTGATAAGTTAAAGGGCTCTCATTTCGTAATCTGTCAGCTCCTGATGTTGCCATCCAAACTGCAACTCTTCGGTCACTTGGTATTCCCTTTCGAATAAAGCGTTTTAGTGTGTTATTTTTGGTATAATGACCTTCTTTTATGGTGTTCCATCTTAATGATCTCCTAGTTAAGACTCTTATGTATTTGGACATAAAACTGTCATACACCTCATAGTTGAAATTGTCAGGTCGTTCAAAGCCATACTCGTCAATCTTACTACAAACAAAATATAAATCCTAGGTGATTATTTATATTAAAATTACCTGTAACTGGACTTCGCCATTCTTTTTCATTTACTTTGTGCTATCTTATTGGCATGTTGTGGCTGGAAATTCCAGAAAGATTATGAGTCTAATTCCTACAATTAATGACTCACTGTAAGGTGATTTTAATTGATAAATATAGTTATTAAGGACATGACACTTCAATCTTCTCGTCAATGACCCGCAATAATCGTTACCTAAGATTATTTTGCCATGTATTGTTCATAAAAATCAATAATAACTGTAAGTTAGATTAAATAAATATAATGAGTAACGTATTAATTTCTACAAAATACTTACAACTGGTTCTTCACTTCACAATTAAATGGAAGTTGGTCGTTTCTTTTTATTTGAAAATTTTTACGCCCACATTACACGCATACCGAACCAAAATATATATTTTTGATTTTAGGAATTTTGTTTTTGTTAGTTTTACTGACGTATGACGTATGAAGTATATTTGTTTTCTGTTTGTACGTCATTCGTTACCATTCGTTACTGACGAACTGACGTTTGACATTTGTGTTTTTGGTTATGGTTGTGTTTCTTGTGTTTACACTGCACTGAATCGTTTACATTTGTGCTTTATACGTTTGAACAGTGATTTTATATTGGACAGACTTTTTTATTTACATATACACGCTGTGTCAGCACCAGCTATTAACGATGAATGGCCTGTAAACGTTTCAGAACAAATCAAGCCAAAATTGTTAAACTCAAGCTACATTACAAAACCTTTTGATTATAACACAATGTCTACCGTTACTCTAACGCGTGAGCAAGAAGCCTTTTTGCAAGAATGTGCCTTAGAATTTTCTGATCGATTTACGGATGCGGATTTGGAATACAAGAAGATATTTGAAATGGGCATTCCACAGCCACCAATTATGTGCCCATGGTATGGAAGGGCACGCTTCAATAACAGAGAACGTGGTGATGGACGTTACAATGACCGTAGAGACTACAGATCAGACCGTTCGGACAATTATAGAGATAGAAATTCGTATTATAAAGATCATAGTCGATACAGACCATATTAAGTTGTTAGGGTTTTTTACCATGTGACGTTGGTATTGTTATAATTTTAAAGAGAGTTGTTGCTGCCAAGATATGCCGAATCATGTAAGTTATTGAAATTTTATAGAATGCGTAGTCTTGTAAATAGCATTACTTCACAAACATTTTTGTAATCATAAAAATTAAAGTTCGTACCAGCGTTAGTGTTTCGTTTTAAAGTTTTCATTCCCCCAGAAATACCCCAAATCCAGTTCCGAAAACCTGGAAACAGCTGATTGTGTTGTCAAAGATCTGTCAAAATCGTATTTTCGTTTATTTCTTTTCGGTGTTTGGGAGCAGTGTAATAGGTCAAAGTAACATAAGCAGGCAACATGGGTTTACATGAATTTATAAATTATGTTGTGTATGACAATCCTATAACGCAAAGTGTTAAATCGTTTGTTTTAGTAAGTTCCTTAAGGTCCAAGTTCACAAGTTAAATTGAGTTTATATTTTTAGCCAGATAAAATGTCACCTATTCCCCCCCAAACAGTTGTCATAACAGAAACTAAACCATTGTGGAAATTGGCGGCTGAAACTGGGCCATTCGTTCGTGTGGCGGGATTGATGGGTGCTTCGGCTGTAGCTTTAGGAGCCTATGGAGCTCACAGGTCATATCCCAAAGACAAGGCAGATGAGCTTAAACCGATTTTTGAAACTGGAAACAGATATCATTTTCTACATACCTTGGCGATATTGGGAATGCCTCTATGCAGAAATCCAAAACTGGTGCACAATGTTATTAATCAATTTTGTTAACTGCTTTAATCCAATTTTTCAGAGTGGTACTTTAATAATCATGGGAACAGTATTATTCTCAGGAGCTTGTTACTACCATGCTTTTACAGGGAACAACAAGTTTGGAAAATTGGCACCTGTAGGTGGAACAATTTTAATTGTGGGTTGGTTGACAATGATTTTGTAATTTTTAAATGCATGTAAACGTATTTTAAGCCTAGCGACATAAATGTATATTAATTACTGTGGTTGTTCTTTTTCGTTTTTTGAATACAACAGATTCAGTTTTCAAAATCTGATTTTTTTAGTTTGTAAAGGATATTGTACAAATGGTAAACAGCAGCAGTTGTTGTTCTTGGTTAATTTTTTATAGGGTTTTGTTTTTTAGTTGTAGTGTTTTTGTAAAGACTCAATGTTCTAAGTGTAGAATATAATTGTCCCATATTATTGTGTTAATTCATTTGCAAATTAAACATTTTCATTTCAGTCACAAAATATAAAAAAAAATTCACATGGTTTAGTTTTAAACTAATCTCGTTTTCTTATTTTTAATATCAATTTCTGTGGTATAATATAATATCAGTTTTTAACCACAACAAAAACATTTGATTTGCTAGTATTAAAAGAATCTGGTGGTTATGTATACAAATTTATTGAAACATATCTGTAAATTAAAACTACTTTTGTTAATAACTTCACTTCAGGAGTGAGAACGGTAAACTATACATTTGGCAAATAGACCTTAAATTAGTTACGTTTTACTGTTCGTTGTGACACCTTAGAACTACACTCATGTTCATTGCACACTCAGTCGTTGCCCCCGTCGTTCCCCAAACTATTCACTTTACACTTTACCATAGGTGCCTACACAATCACTCACGAAATTCTAAACAATTTTCTAAAATTATATTAATATAACAAAAACACATCGATTATCAAAGTAAACAAATCGTTTTAATATCACGGAAATAAACAGTGATTAATATAAAGTAAAATTATGTAAATAAAGGACACCTTTCACCCGCTACTGGGGGCTGCATCTCATTGAAGATAATATCAAATATTCGAACTTTTACTGATGACTAACTCTTTTTTAATATAAAATACACTAGTTAGAGTTCACGATTTTATCAAACACCTCTTTACAATTTTATGACAAATAGAAAGAATGTTGTCCTTCAGAAGCAGCTAAACGAAGTTTCGACCGCATCACTTCAATGCTTGTATAGTCAGGTAATTTGAGGTAGTTAACACAAGTCATCACAGACGGGAGGAAATCATCAGGGTTCATGTTGGGTTCCAAAGTTTTCCGGACTACTGTCAGAGGGGGCGATAGAGCCTTGAAACCTAAAACCAAAAATTAATCCGAATTAGTAGTTGACTAAAAATTGCCTTCCAATAAAAATAATGAACATAAATTTTATTTAACAACAGCATTGTTTTTTAAGTGGGATATAACTATATAGTTATTTTTAAATTACGACCCAAGTCACTGAATTAAATTAAAGTGACTTTCATGTTAATAGCAGTATCACATGTAAATCTGTTTCTACATTTTTACCTCTACGTGGAATACACGATAAACAATATGATTCAAACTGAACCCTACCAACTGTAAAAAAAACTCACCTCCTACGGGAAGTCGTGGGCTTCCAGTCAAAAACTGGACAAACATCCTCTGCTCCTCTCTATCATACGAGCTGAGAACTTCAAACAAGAACCTGATAGCTCTCGAATCCTGCGTGTATCCGTGATCCGGTTTACAACATTCCATCAAAGTCTTGATATCCCAACCCGCGATAGAATCTCTAGGGCTTCCACAGAACACAGCTTCCAGCTCTTCAGGTTGGAACACACGTAGATTTTGTAACGGAAACACAGACTCGAAACCCTCACGTAATGCTTCCATCTGACGGTTAACACCCTCTATCAGAGTCCAGTGGGTTATCAACTTCACATAGAGATGCAAATTGTGTATTGTAACGTGAATAGTTTTTCCACTTTTCATCAGTTCTACGTTATGGCCAGGAAGAACAAAATCTATACCAAGCTCACCAATTGGACAACCGTCGAATTCCAATTTCTCCACCTGAGAGGAAACGCAATCATATAGTAGTTTAGAAGTTTTACAAACGGTAGATTTTACCTCTTCCTCCTTTTGTTCTGAGGTCAAGTTGAAATTATCTAATATGGCATCGCGTTTTCTTACAATATCGTGCATTTTCTTCAAAGTTCTATATATATCGGGTGATACATATTTGAGATCTGCGAGAATTAGACAGTGTTCTTGTCCCAACAACCATCGGTAGAAAGATATTGAAAATGGAAGATCCAACTGTAAAATACGAATCATGTGTAAACACAAAATTGTAAAACCTAAAAGTAGACTTACCATCCGCGAATCCATAACTGCCTTGGCCATAAACTTCCCCAAAAACCGGAACTTGCTCTTGACTTTCGTTATCTGTCCAACCTTTGCACCTCTCGGCAAAGGACACGGGAATAATCCAGAGGGACAGTTAACATATTCGCTACTTTCTGAATCCGGTGCATTCCATAACTCTAAATTGCTCTTTTGCAGTTCCTTAGAAACAAGAGCGTAAAACTCCAAAGTCGGTCCCAAACCTGTCCCTACTTCGTTTTCATATTGTACTTCCAAAAGTGCCTTCGACGTAGCTAAATCTTGCATGACCTGTTCAGCTTGCTTTAAAATATCTACTCGAGATATGGTGCGCTTTCGTCGATCCAATCGTGGCGTTACACGTTCTTGGGAGTCACTTGAACTTAACTCGGGCGACATATCAAGCAAGCGCTGGAGAGCTCTGTCTCTATCAAACGAGGTGGCGTAGAACAATAGCTGCCTTGTCTCGAACGGGAACAAGAAAGGGCAAACTGAAGCGATTTGTTGTAGCCAATTTGGTAAATTGCCGGTCATTATGACTAAAGGATCTTGGAGTTGTCGGTTTGCTTTGGCTGCTATTTTACTATTGAGAAATTCTGTTGGGGGGATTATGGGTCTGTATTCAATGGATGGGTATAAGGTGCTCCAATAACGATTGAGGGCGTTTAGAATTCTTAACAGGCAGAGGACTTCTAAGGAGGCATCTTGAATAGTGACTGATTCTGGAAGTTGGGTGCTCAGGAAGGGAGTCAAAGGAGAGTGAGCAAGCGGTGTTAATCCTTCTATTAGGAAAAAAAATGGTTAGAGATCATCCAAGTCATCAAGTGTCTTACTTACCGTTCCACAAATCATCTCCTTTCCGTCTCGATGTGCTTTTACTTGAGGATCCTTTCCCTTTACGACTTGAGTGACTTGAAGAAGTACCACTAGACGAACTAAGTTTACTTGAGGAAGCAGGATCTTCTTTTAGAGGGCGATAATATATTACATGTGTTTGGACCCAAATACCAACATTACCTAAAATGACTAGTCAGAAACTCCAACTACTTTAGTTGAAAAAAAGACTTACCTAACGGAGTTTCATTGTCTGTGTCTGTTTCGCTTTGGTCATTGCCATTATTACTAAACTGACGTACTGCTTGGTACACAGTCATATTATAAGGTAAAACATTGTTGCCTATTAAAAATTGTAACTTATGCCTAGCTCCTGACTGTGATATGACAACTCCTGCTAACGTATCATCAATATCATCATCGGAGTCGCCATCATCACTATCGGCACTGTCTTTATCACGTAAACGTCCATAACCGCGGACTACTAGATAACGTTCAATTGCTTGTACCAACGCCAAAGGGTCAATTTTAACCGTGCCGCCCTTCCACTGCTTCAAATTTGTACAGTCGGGATGTCTTTGTAAATTGCACTAAAATAATAATTTCTGTTAGATAACGGACACATTTTTATGAATAATAAAAATTATCAGTAATGAAAAGTATTAATTAAGACTCGGTATTTCAGTTATCGGCCAAAGGAAGAAATTACGGTAAACCAAAAAAAGTTTTGGTTATGCGTCTTTCACTGTATGCTTAAGAATATTTGGTAGTTAAGAGGAGTCATCACGTTTGGCGCTTATGGATTGTCAATACATTTTCAGAATATATCTCCGTTTTATAAGCAAGCAATATACGTATATAATATAAAAAACGGGTGGGCGGGGCCACTACTGACTTTGTTTTAAATCTTACGATTTTAGAGTGACAATCAAAACCAAATGGGCCATCATGTGGCTTGCGGAGTAAAACAATTTACGTTGGTCGAGTCTATTCATAGTTCTCGGGGGATGGAAACATAAGGCAGTAGCGCCGTAAATTTATCTTACTTTTGTACTTGTATGGTGTCAGCGTCTCGTGTCTCTTGTTTTTTTAAGTTATTATTATTTATTTTGCCACTTTGAATTTATTAACATTAAGAATTTTGTTTAATAAGGCCCTCAGAGCATTTATTATTTTAAGGACCTTTCATAATAAGTCAGTTACGGCACTGGTAAGGGATAGGCGCGCATCTGAAGCTCCGCCCATGTCACCTTCTGTTCTGCTTGCCACTCTACCATTTTTCAAAATAGAATTCATTTCTCATTTTACAGTAAATAAAATAAGCCAGTGAAATAGAGAAAATAGTTGGGGGCGGGGGCTGGGTTTTAGTTTTTTTTACACCCCTTCTTCATTCTAGTGACTACTCTTGATATTATTCAATCTTATCTTAAGCAAATACTAGCCCCACCCAGCCCCCTTCTATTTTCTTAGAGGGTATATCATTTGTCAGAATCAGTCTTATCTTAGCAAAATACAAGCCCCGCCCACCCGCCCTCTATTTTCTTAAATTTTCCGCCTTCATTTGCTAAAATCGGTCTTTACAAATCAAATATGAGAGATGAGAGAGAATAGAAGATTCTTCGACCCAAACTGCTTTCACTGTATCTCATTTCCGACAAAAAGCTGATAATGTTTTCGACGAAATTTATAAATTGAAAACAGTGGTGAAGACCGCGTTCCAAAATTTCTACTATTAATTACACAGGGGAACAAAAAAATCAAATTTTATGCGGTATTAGCTTTGATTGTACTTTCAGTTACTGCTATTGTTGTAGTAATCTGTTGTGTGATCAGAACATTTGAATTGACTCTAGTTCGCAAGATATAGCTCTTCACGAAAATTCATCCAAAAATGTTATTTTCAAACATTTCCCATCAAATCTTTCTGTTTCTTTATTATACCTTTATCCTAGCGGTCAAAAATTTGTAGGAGAATCATAAAACAATGGAGTATCGCCATTGCGTTGCCAATATCTTAGATAAATATTTGAAAAATTAGGAATTAACATCAGCATTAAAAATTCATTTGTTGCTTAGCCATTTGGATCCATTTCCTAACAGTCTTAGCGATTCCAGCTAAGCAGTGAAAATGTTTTCACCAGTACATAAGGGTGGTAGAAGAAATGTACTAAGGCCAATGGAAGCGCAAATGATGACATGACTACTGTTGAACTTCAAAAACAAATTGTCTTAATTCGAAATATTCAAGAAAATCCTACAAAAAACATGTTTTTTCTCTTTTATTTTTATTTTTAATTAATAATAATGTACACCTAACATATATTAGCAGTTTGGTTTGAAAATAACAGTCTTAAAATAAATTTCATATGTTTAGTACATATCTCAGGTCGTATAATGAAGATCCATTTATCTCAAAAACTAGAGTCAATTCGGCAAATCTAATATTTTTTTCGTATTCAGCAGACTTTAAATACCCAAAATCGACTCTCAAAGTGGTTACCGCAGATCCACTGTTCCCCGGTGTTATTACTAATCATGTCATCTTTGAAAATACTAACAAATAATAAATTATGAGTGGGACCACAATAAATGTTCAAAGTGTTCTCCGTTTACAATTTGGCAGTAATCGATCAACAAAATGACTGAATGAATTATGTATGATTTTACAATATGAGGTCCTTTTTGTGTTTTTTTTTTGTTCTATTTTTTGTATCAGTAGAAACAAACATGGTAATAATTTCTGAAAGTGGTTTTTTATTCTGCTTCAGAAATGACAATATTCCATTAAAAAAAAAGTAGGCGGCCCTGTCTGTCAAACCGAGACCCATAAAAAAAGAAAAATGTTGTAATCAAGTCGCCATGTTTAACTACGTATCCAAAGCTAATTTCAGAAAAAAACAAATCAAATAATAAAGTTATTCGACCGTTCCGGGACTTTATACTAACCCTGTATATTTAAAAGGCACAACCGATCACGTGCGACATCCACAGAATAGGTAACAAGAGTTTATTCGATGGAATGTGTGCTTCATAACTGATCAGGTCCTTAAAGCGCATGTGCTAACAAGAAAATTGTTAACCTACCTGGATGAGCTTGGTCAACTAACCATGAAATTTTTTTTTGGTTAACAATAATTTCTTGGTTTAAGCAACAACTGAAATACTGGGCCTAACTATACTTTTACCAAAACTTTAACCAAGAACCGGTGTTTCAGTAGCGTAGTTAAAAAAAAAATGTTTTTTAACTACGATTTTAACCAACAACTGAAATACCGGGCAACAGTAGGATTATAAACCATAACTATATTAATTTGGGATTTTTAGGCTGTCAACTATATATGACAACGAAATTTTAACTAAATATGAAAATTTATTTCTTTTTCGCAAAATTAACCCATTTCAAAATTTTCATTATTTCGATATTTCTCTGATGTCTTGCCATTAAAATACACAAAACACATTTCCACTTACCTTTAACTGATGCGTATTGAAAAATTTAAGAGCACTAGTTCCTCCACGTCCAGCGCCCGAACTTGCAGGCAAGTCATGAACTTTAACAGGAAACTGTTCCAACTGAGAAACACATCCATTTAGCTTAGATACAAGTGCGCTCATCCACGTCGAGTTCAACTCGTGCACAGTTGTCACACTGGTTTCAAGAGGACAACCAGCAAATACATGCAACATAATTCTCAACCTCTGGTCTCGGTCGAACGGACCATCAACTTCAGCTAGATATACCAGTAATGATTTGATAAGACCAGAATAGTTCACTTCGAAAGGTGACACATCGGATTCTATCAGGATTTCGCGCAGTTCTTTCAAAGCTTCGCCACATCTGATTGTGGAGAGTTTTTCGATGGCCATTTTTAATCGATTGATTACATTTGTTGCAGGATGATGATCCTCTTCGTTGGCCGAATAGGTTTCTATAAACTTGGAAGCCTACAACAGTAAGATATTTATGTAGAACGATGATATTTGAGCAGGTTCAAATTTGAACAACTAGGTCTACTTATTGATCAGAAGATTATAAGAACCATTATTTTTTGTACAGCGATTTTAAGAACTTTACTACGGTAGAGTATAATGATTTCTTTTATACATACCTGATCTCGTACCCAAGTTCGTGTTTTTTCCCTATTACCCGCTGTAATGTGTGAATTCGACGCTGACTTCGTCAAACTGTTTAAAGTATCTTTACTGTAACTGCGATCATGTGAAGAATTCATCGTCCGTCCCCATCTAGCTGGATTGAGACTTTGAAGGAAACTAGTTTTGGAACTCGAACCAGAATACCTTGGTCTTGACGAATTGCTCGGCGTAGAGTTACCTAAAGACGCTGCCTTTGTAAACAAGTCCTGCATCAAAGATGGCGACAGAGGCAAGTCTTCGTGGCGAGTTTTCGAGCGGCTAGATACTCCAGATCTTTTTGGTACTCGCTTACGTTTCAATACGTCACTTAAACGTACGTGTGACGGACTAGGTGATCGAGCATCCGCTTCTTGAACACGCTGGGTGTCTGGTGTCGACGTGTATATTGAAGAAGTTAAAGGTGTACTGAGGTGAGAACTAGCGGCGGAACCGTTTGCGATATGACTGGAACTACTTGAAGGCTGAGAAGTTCCCGGTTGGGTTTCATTTAAAGTCGAAGCGAACGATGTTGCACTACAACTCGATTTTGGAGGACTAACACCTAACGGAATCTAAAAACGAGGTAACAATTAACATTTGTACACGGTTTCTATGTTAACAAATTTAAAAAATGTTATTCTAGCCTATTCTACTCGATTTTATCAAGGTCTGTAATATGATACAAAAGTTTCCTCAACGTGTTTGGCGGATATAAAAACATTCTGGAAAAAAAAATCATTTCTCATATACATTGGACTGACGAAAGTGCTCAAGTCAATGGTGTTTGTTCATTAGCATTCCACCGAGTTATCTTGCAGGAAAATAACTCCCTGTAAGCCTTTGGGACACGGTAATATCTACAATATGTTATGGTACTAACACCAATATGTCGGGTATTCACTACTCAGATTATAGTAAAAATTTCCAAACTAATGAATCTATCGTCCCTATTAATTAAGCATATACTTTGTTTTCTTTTTATAATAAAATTTCCAAGTTCGTCCCTGCGTCTCATGGCAGGTAGCGAACGGCAAGCGCAATGACATTTAAATTTTATACAACCATTGCGGTCTCTTGTCAATGGAATAAGTTATTGGTTCTTAACAAAAGAGCCCACTTTATTGCTGCCATATAACCTTATAAAATATGTTCTAGTATATTTTAACACACATTCATAAGTATGCAACTCTGTGTCGTGAATTGTGTTTTTGTGAACAATAAAGAGAATTTATTTTCATTTACGTTACTAAATCGTAATAGTGTTAGTGTCCCCACTAAGTTTATTCGAATATTTTTAAATAATGTTTTGTTATATCTGTTTTTAAAATAAAAAATTAGTCTAGGGTAATAAGAATTTCCTTAGCCCCTAAGTACAGTCCAACAAAGACAGCTTCTTGAATTTTATTTTTTCATGATAGTTCCTATAAGTTAAATACGAGGATAGTCCCAGAAATACCCGACCTGACATAGAAGACACAAAAAAATTGGGAAAAGGATTCTTTATTTTTCAACGTAGTCCTCTTGTAATTCTATACACTTTTCCCAGCGTTGTTCAATGGCTTCGATATCCTCTTTATAGGAAGAATCGTCGGACACCTCAAAAATATCATTAGCCGCAGATTCCACCTCTTTATTGTTGGCAAATTTTTGACTAGCGAACCATTTTTTCAACTTTAGGAAGAGAGAATAATCCAAGGGGCCCAAATCTGGTGAATAGGATGTGTGAGGAAGCAACTGGAATTTTAATTCGTTGATTTTGGCCACTGCAATAGGGATTTGTGAACAGGTGCATTGTCTTGATGCAGCAATACTTTCTTTTTCGACAAATGCGGCCGTTTTTAATTGATTTCATCGCTCAAACGCAGCAATAACTTGACATAATACTTCCTGTTGATGGTTTTGCCTTTTTGGAGAAAATCAATAAAAATGATTTCACGGGTGCCCCAAAAAACTGACGCCGTTACCTTACCAGCAGGCGGAACTGTTTTCGCCTTCTTTGGCGTTGATTCGCCAGGTCCAGTCCATTATTTTGACTGTTGCTTCGTCTCTGGAGTGAAGTGATGGACCCATGTTATGAATCGACGCAGAACCTCAGCTTTATTGCTGCGAAACATTGCTAAACACCCGATTGAAACACCCTCACGTCGCTGTTTTTGTTCTATAGTAAACAAATGCGGCACTCATCATGCTTACAGCTTTTTCATGCCCAAATTTTCGGTCAATATGCGATGCACACCACTTTTTGAAATGCCCAACATGTCTGCTATCTCGCGCATTTTTAGTGGATGGGCATCTAATACTCTTATTGTAGATTTTCTTTAGCATTCCCGGTGTGGTCACATCATTTGGTCGATCACTACGATGTTCATTTTGGGAGCTCCTACGGCCCTGTTTAAACTCTGCCACCCAATATTTTATAGTTGTAAACGAAGGAGCAGACCCCCCTAAAGTAGAATCCAGCTCGGCTTTGATATTGGTTGGACTGAGACCTTTCAAGTGAAAGTATTGTATCAAATAACGATGACCAATTTTTTCCATATTTACAAAATCACTGAGATCAGTCACTATTAACCGCTATAAAATAAGTACTACATAACGCAGGGTCTTGAAATTTCAAACTTTAGCTTCATAGGGTTGGTATTTTCGATCTAGGTATTTTTTGTCAACAAATGAGCAGCATCTATACGTCAGGTCGGGTATTCTGGGATCATCCTCGTAAATCGTAGAGAATGAATTCGTAACCCATAGGTTTAGAATTAAGTTATTTTACAAAATTTAAATAGCAGTTACTATGCAAATTTTTTAGGTGGCGTCATCAAATTGTGGGGATAATCAGACAAATTTTGGTCATCGTTTTACCAAGTGGTAAAGATATTCCTAAGTACGAAAAAAAAAAAAATGATAACAATCAATCCAATACTTCTCGATTATCTGTCTAATAAAATTGATACAGACGACAGACAGACTGCGACGGGAGATCTATTTTTCGTATTCTGGGAGTCATGAAACGTCGAGAAAACAAAAGCTTACAGTCGGGAAGTAACAAAAATAAAAAAATCAGCGTTTTATTTTCTTGGAAATATTTTATTGTAGTCAGTGAGCGTAAGCAAAAGAAGTATACTAATCGAGCCAATCGGACGAATGGCCCCTTCTGTTTTGTCGACGTTTCATAACTCCTAGTTTACGAAAAAAGTAGTCTTTCGTTTTCATGTGTCTGTATCCATTTTTAATAAACATGTAATCTTCAAAACTACTGGACCGATTGTCATTTTTTTTTAAGAATACTATTTTAAAATGATTTAAATGTTATACAATAATAAACCCCTATACTTGTGAGGTGGTCACAAGTCCGATGCTAAACTTCTTTCCCAAATTAAAGATACCCTATTACAAAAGCTTTCCTTATATAGCAAAAGACTTAAAAGATACAAACAATCACATCTCAGAAAAATTCATAACACTAAATTTTTAAACAACGAAAAACTATTCTATCAACATTTAACTAATTCAAGCAAAACTCAATTATCCGGTGAACTGGCAAGTTCACAGGATGGTCAAAACTTTGGTCTCAAGAACTTGAATTTAACCAATCTGCCAAATGGATTCCTCATATATCCCATAAACTATCCACAATTACACCAATGAATGATCATCAGATAACACTTGCCGAATTAATAAATACCATCAATAAGACACACAACTGGAAATCACCAGGACCAGACAAAATCCATAATTTTTGGATAAAAAAATTAAATTGTGTACATATTCATTTACTACACCACTTAAATCAGTTCCTTCTTGACCCATCCTCCTTTCCAACATTCTTATGTCATGGTGTAACATATCTAAAACCTAAAGATAACGACACAAAAAATCCATCAAAATACAGACCTATCACATGTTTACCGACAATCTATAAAATATTAATCTCATGCATTACACAAAAACTCTATCAACAGTGTTTTAACTCTGACATCATTAATGAAGAACAGAAAGGATGTATTCAAGGATCCTTTGGTTGCAAAGAGCAATTAATCATAGATTCCATCATCTGTGAACAAGCTAGAAAAGAAAACCGAAACATATATATACTGCTTTTATTGATTATAAGAAAGCTTACGATTCTGTCCCTCATTCCTGGCTATGTAAAATTCTGAAATTATACAAAATTGATACTAAAATCTGCAGTTTTCTCAAATGTTCCATGGAATTTTGGAAGACCACCCTCCAAATAACCTTTAATGAACAAACAATTCAGTCAGATCCAATAATGATCCGAAGAGGAATTTTTCAAGGCGATTCTCTTAGCCCGTTATGGTTCTGCTTAGCAATAAATCCCCTCTCCGATATCCTGAATAGCTGCAATTATGGGTTCAATATGAGAATTAACAAACAAAGAGAAAACAGAATAAGTCACTTGCTATATATGGATGACATAAAAATATATGCAAGTACACAAAATCAGTTAACAAACCTATCAAATCTGACTGAATAGTTTTCCGGTGATATTGGTATGTGTTTTGGTATTGAGAAATGTAAGACCCAAGCAATCAGAAAAGGCTTCCAACACCAAGTACCACATATAACCCAGAATAACGAAATAACCGCCCAAGAACGAAATGATACATACAAATATCTGGGTTTCTGTCAATCCTCCCACATCAATCATACCAAAACGAAAACACAGTTGAAAGATCAATACCTAGCGAGATTAAAATTAATATTGAAGACACAGTTAAATGGAAAAAATTTAATGAAAGCAGTAAATACATTCTGCGTTCCACTGCTAACATATTCTTTTGGAGTCATTAAATGGTCCAAAACTGATCTTGAAAATTTAAACATCGCAACAAGGAAAATCTTCACACAGTATAGAAGGCATCATCCAAAATCGTCCATTGAAAAATTCGCATTGCCAAGACAGAATGGAGGAAGGGGTTTCCAGAACCTAGAAAACTTATATCAGAGACAAATCTCAGATCTGAAGAAGTATTTCTTGAAACGAGCAGAAAGAAATGAAATGTTTCGCACCATCACAAGGGCAGATTTGAACCACACACCCTTAAATCTGTCGAACACCGAAGAAATCCACACCCCCCCACACAATAGACAAAATAATAAGTGGGCTAAAACAAAAACAACTACATGGAAAATTCTACAAAGACTTAGAAGAAACTCATGTCAATAAGAAGATGTCATTGATTTGGTTAAAAAAATCAAGTTTGTATGCCGAAACAGAAGGATTTGTGTTTGTTATTCAAGACCAAGTAATCAATACCAATAATTACAGAAAATACATCATCAAAGTTCCGAATATAAGAAACGACTGCTGTCGCCTCTGCAAAGCAAAACCTGAAACGATCCACCACATAATCTCCTCCTGCAGCATCCTAGCACAAAGTGACTACAAAGCTAGACACGACAACGCAGCCAAAATCATTCACAAAGAATTAGCAACACTTATGAACTTAATCGAAGATACGACACCTTATTACACTTACATTCCATCTCCGTTCCTTGAAAATAACAAATACAAATTATACTGGGATGGCACAATACTTACAGATTTAAACATTACAGCTAACAGACCAGACATCATACTAATCAAAAAACACACGAACGAAGCCATTCTCATTGACACTGCTATTCCTAACACAAACAACATTATTCAAACATACCACACAAAGATTTCAAAATATCTACAATTATCGATAGAAATGAAATCCATGTTGAATCTTAAAAAAATTTCAATTCTACCCTTAGTTATTTCTAATGTAGGTGTAGTCCCAAATAGTTTAGTTGAGAATTTAAAGTCTTTGCATTTGAATGATTCAATAATTGTCAAAATTCAAAAAGCTGTTTTGTTAGGAACATGTCATATTGTTCGTAAGTTTCTCGAACAGTCTGATCATGTCAGTCAGATTAGATTAGCACCAGTAGGTCAGAGTAGTGTAGCTCACTTTCCAAGTGATGCGCGGATGAATGATCAGTGGTTACGCTAGACTTTTGGGGATGGGGTGAGATTAGAGAATAATAGCAGACTAATTTGTATGCTGTAATTCTAGAATCTCGAAAGTTGTTTTGTTAATCTAATCAATGCATATCATTACTTGGTCTTAGTACCCGTAATGATAGAAGTCTTGCCTGAATGCCGGTCATTTCCGGGTCAGTGGTGGGTCTTAATAGTAATAATATTCAGAATATTCTGTTCGACTGTGGCTTAATTAACAATTTTGGTCCTCTGTTTTGAGGCGACAAACACAGTAAAATCAAACAAATTTCTACGTGAGACTTTTTTCCGATGTATAAACAAATACATACTTGAAGCTAAAGCTTATTATTGCTGAGCGGCCATTTTTCCCGTTGGTTATCTGCTTGAAATATATTTTACGTTGTCCGTACTTGTGCAATTTGGGGGTGTTATTTATGCCGCTAGTTTTTACTTTACAGAAGTTAAAACATCGAAAAATCTAAATGTGGAAATAAACTTCGACCAATTTTTTAAATTATTTATCATGTATATTTTATACAACGCGCTTATATTTTATGTTTTGTTAGCTTATAAATGTTTTTTTGACATTCTTTTCTGTGGACTTCAATTCACTAAGGTACAACTTCTACATTTTCACAGTCACTAATTACGATATTGTACTGTTTAACCCCTCATAACCACGTATAAAAGTTTAGTGAATACAAAAATAATGTTCTGGTTTGACCGTCTGTTACGAAATGTTTAAGACTACTGAAAATGAATCAAAATGATAACTTAATCCTACGTTCCAATCTAAAATCATTATGTAGAATGCAAATTTCTTTGAATAAAGCAACACAAAATTCATTCCCTTTTATATTGCGTGTATAATGATTGTTTCATTTAAATTTGTATCGATAAACATGTACACTAGGGTGATTCAAAAAAAAAAAATTATTTTTTTTTTCGTGCAAAGAGATTCAAAAGTTTCTTTTCAACGTAAAAAAATACCAGTTAAAATTTGAGCTCTTAATATTAATATTAAGACCGTCCGCATCGCGTTTTTCTATTTCCCATAAGAATAACATGGGAAAATTTTTGTTTGCACCTTCTGATTTTTATTGCTAGCCCGTCGTGTGTCGTGAAAAAAATTCAATCACATATTTTTATAGAGAATTGAACGCTCTACAAAAAGTGTCTCCTATGATTGTGCGAGAAACCTGATAGTTGAAGAGTTATTTTAGGCTAAAGTTAAATTTATCCAAATTTTGACGTTTTTGATGCATTACAATAAATTTGATGGTCTTATTGGAATAAATCACCACAAAAATGTATACACATTTTAAATTTAGTTTTTTAAACAGTAATTGTTTATAATTTTATGCTATAATAAGGCCAGTAAAACTCTTTCCGAACATTTTCAGCATCAGTGGGTTAAAAAATCATAGTCCGGTTTCTCGCAAAATCATAGGAGACACTTTTTGTAGAGCGTTCAATTCTCTATAAAAATATGTGATTGAATTTTTTTCACGACACACGACGGGCTAGCAATAAAAATCAGAAGGTGCAAACAAAAATTTTCCCATGTTATTCTTATGGGAAATAGAAAAACGCGATGCGGACGGTCTTAATATTAATATTAAGAGCTCAACTTTTAACTGGTATTTTTTTACGTTGAAAAGAAACTTTTGAGCCTCTTTGACACGAAAAAAAAAATTTTTTTTTTTTTGAATCACCCTAATGTACACACATATAAACGTGTGCGCCACATTTAAATTTTGTGATTGTTGAATTTTGAACCTCTTGCTGGTTAAAAATCTTGCGACACAATTATGGTATGTAAACGAATTGGAAATACGTTCCACTATAGTATCTACGATCCAATTCGGTGCAAACAAAGAACAGAAATTATAATTATCATATAGCAGGTACTTCACTGTGTGATTTATCCCCACCATCTATCGTGATTTCCATTGTTTATTAATAAGTAGTGTTATATACATATTTTTATTTAATAATATTCAGTAATAATACAGTACTCTTTAGCGCATTTGTTTTGCAAGAACAGACTTCTTTTTAATTCCAAAGCGTAAGCTAAGGAAGTATATTAATCGAGTCCATTCGGCGACTTGCCAGTTTCATGTTTTCTCGACGTTTCATGACTCCTAGAATATAAAAAATGGTCTCCCGCTTACGTTTATCTGTCCCTCCGTCTGTCTGTGTCGATTTTTATTAGACAGATTGTTGTCAAATTCTGTATGCATATTAGGAATATCATGTATAGTTTTGGAAATTTCATTCTACCTTATAAAATTTTATTAGCAATAACTTGAATCAATTTTCGCCCTCACGTTGTGGGGGCTACAAGGTATTATTTATGCCGCTGGTTTTTACTTTAACACGAAACAAAAATCGCTAAATCACATTTTATAATTTTTCAAAGACGCGGGATTTGTTAAACTGTACTTCAGGCGCGAGGGAAGTTCTGTCGAAATAAACTTTGACCAATTTTAATTACTAACAATCATGATAGAAAAACGGCATCGAACCTACCTCAGGATCAGCAAGTCGATTGATCTGATGAATGACCCCTTCTCTCCTGAAATGCACACCGAATTCTTCAGGTAACTTATTCATAAGAATTTCAGCCATTTGCAAGGCACCAACAACGATTCTTAAATCACTAGAAGCCATCATACCGGCGATATGACTACTAACAACTTGATTTTTTAACACGTCTTTGAGTAGTTCAGGACTGGCATAATACACCATTCTCAATAAGGCTTTCAAACACTTACATCTAACAGCTGGTCCGGCACTAGATGAATACACTTCATATAACACCGAAAACAACGACCGTATAAACGCGGCCGCCAGCCCGCGTTCCTCTCGGAGACAAGCGACGCGCGCATCACGACTGGCCGAATTCGGACGACTACCCGAATGCGAGGGTTCGGCGGAACCCGATTGCACACTCGTAGGCGTAAAACGTCTTTGCACCGGTCTAGACGTCCCTGTGTCTTCGTTAATTTGTTGCATGGAATGGAAGTCGATTGTGTAGATCCGTCCTAGGGTGTTCAAACTCACTTCGTCGTCACCGTTAAGATGAGCTGCCTCGATTATTCGACTGCCGACCGCGTCGTAAGCGTGCCACAAGCCTCTGTCATCCCGCCATTGCCATACGGGCTGATCTTTAGCTACGTTTGAAGGACGTTCGAGCAAAGCGTCTACGGCGAATATACCATCTGTCGGCAGCTTGGGCATTAGCTCTCCGATTAAGGCGGTTATTTCGAACTGCTCTTGCGGTTGCCTAAAGAACAATATGAGTTGTTTTATTCTACTATCATCAGTTAACTGTAAATTTACCTTGGAATGAGTTCAACTTCGTCCTGATTCACTTCTGCTGAACCAGTCAACAGATAAAGCAATGTTTCGGCTATGTTCTGTTTAAGGAGAGTCAAAGCTAAATCAGGGCAATTTGCGCACATCACAGACAACATCCTTAGGACAGTGATGAAAGTTCCGGTGCTAATGACTGGTGGTGTAACAACTAGGAGCTGTTGTAAGTTGGTGAGAAGTTCAGTACTAGCAATTTCTTGAAGTCGGGCAGGCTCTAACTGGAAACTGTCCACTAATCTTGAAAAAGCTAAGCAAACACTTTCGACGCATTTCTTGTCTTGTTGTGTAAGGCGACTGGCCAGTAGTGGTAATGATTCTTGGACATACTGAAACTCTTCACTTGTGAGGTTCAGACAGCAATTGGCCGTGATGGATAAAGCGTTGCGTTGGGCGTTTATCGAGAAAAAATCCAAAAACATCAGGCAAGCCGAAACGCCGCGCTGAAAAATACGGTTTAAAATAAAAAAATTAGTTTTAACCATTTTGGCGTTTGTAGAATTGTAATTTATTACGTGAAAGCATTTCTATTCAACAAAATTGAATACAACTGCGTAATTGTTCTTTTTTGTTGACCCATAGTGATATTTGTTGTATAGCGGTAATCAAAGAGGAAATTTTTGTAACTAACAATAGTAGTAATAACTATTTAAAGTCCAGTAAACCATGAGTAAAAGTTTTCAGAATTTGGTTAAATTAGTATTTCCAACGTTTCAACGTGCTTTTAAGCCAAAATTTACGAAATAACAACTTACGTCTTAAAAATTAATTTGATCTCTCAAATCATTGCAAGTTGATAACTGCAAAAATTGCATAACACAAATCGAATGGTGTTAGGACTTTTTTTTCATACAAAGTGTTATTTGATTCAATAATTTTCACAAAATACTTCTTTTAATACTATAAAGTTATTTGAAAATGAAAAATTTAGGTTCAAGCTTAGAAAACTCGAACACAATGAGATTGAGTGTAATTTTAAATTTACAATAATGGAGTTATTTTATATTTTTAAAAATTTGTGAAAATCGATGACGTCATTTTTACTTCCCGAGCGTATGTAAGCTAAAGGAATATTGTAATCGACTCGCTACTTTTATGTTTTCTTGACCACTCATGACCTCTAGAGTACGAAAAAATAGGTCTTCCGTTGTCTGTCTGTCTGCCGCCTGTCCGGATTTTTATTAGTCAGATAATTTCAGAAACTACCGGACTGACTCAAATTTTGTATGTATGTCACGAATATCACGTACATGGTACATAAAAGGATAACCAAAATTTCTCTGCTCATCCCCAGCAACAATGGAATGACGTCACCTTCAAATTTTACAATATAAATGTTATTTAAATTTTATAATATAACGTACTCCTCTATTTGTCGTTTATGAATCCCTGTTGGGCATCCAGATTTTTGATAAAAAAAATTAAAACTATAATATTTTACAATTTAACTTGGAAACTGCAAAATCGAAAGCTTTGAAATCTTGCAAACGTTTTAAGGTTATCGGAAGCATGGTAAATCGTTAATCAAAATTTATCTGTTCGTGCCGCCCTCCCAGGAATTGATAATGTCACCTTACAATTTTGCCGAATAAATATGTTATTTAAATGTTAAAAAGTAACATTGTCCTGAACTTGTGGTTTATGAATTCGTGTTGAATTTTTAGAAAATTTTTGAAAAAAAAAAAAATCTAAATTGTAGAGATGTATACCGCCTGTCTGGAAAATGGTGGATTAACTCTTCAGTACGTTATATAGGGGAGTTTCGGGAGTCCCCAAAAAAATAATAAAAAAATTCTTTATGATGTAATATCTTTGCCATTTCTATTGAAACACCACCTGTTGATTTTGCTTAAAATTTAGCAATTAATAACAGCTTTCGATTGATTGACAACGGCTTTTAGTTACAAAATTGTCTGAATATGAAAGTTGCCAAATTCACGATTAACACGTGGTGTTTCAGTAGAAATGGCAAAGACTATAGATTGCGAATAAAACGTAATTTTATAAACGTAAAATTGGCAACACAGCACACACCTAATGCGTGAATACCTCCGGCTTACTTTTTGGTTTCTTAGTAACGATGGTGACTGAAATCCACCTTCGCTTTATATCAGGCAAACATTGTTGTCAAATGGAATTTTATCAAATTATTACAAAAACAACACAGCCATATCTTTGTGTGTTCGAACTGAAATGGTAATTAAACATAGTCATGGGCGAGAAAAATATTAACTAAAAGTTTTATTACTAGTTATTGTGATAATGAATCGAGTTGTTTAGTTGTTAAACCTAGCAAAAGAACCAATTTTAAAATCATTATAACTCCACCAAAATGTGAGAAGGATTTTTTTACTATTTTTCCCAGACTCACCAGTTGATTGTTAAGAGCGTAGCGGAGAGTTAATCCGCCATTTTCCAGACACCCGGTATAACAATTTTTCGGCTTTTCTACTTTCCATTTCTCAATTTTCCGGTATTTCAGTGTTGGGATTTTTCAAATTCTCTATGATTAAAATTTTCAATGTGTCGATTTTTCATTTTCTGATATTTCAACTTTTCGATTCTTTGATTTTCCAATTTTTCGATATTTCTATTTTTAAATTTTAGATTTCTTAGTTTTTTGATTGTTCAATTTTCCAATTTTTCGATGTTTGTATTTTAAATTTTTTAATTATGGTCTATTTCGATTTCTTAATTTTTTAATTTTTCGACTTTTCGACTCTCGATGTTTCAGTTTGTCAATTTTTCGATACTCCGATTTTTCGATTTCTTGGTTTTTCAATTTTTAAATTATAGATTTAAAAATTTCTATTTTTCGATGTTTCGATTTAAATTTGATAAAATAACGTACTCTTCGATTTGTGGTTTACGAAATCCGTGTTGAGTTTCTACCTTTAGTATTTTCGAGTTTCGATTTCTTGATAACTAAATTTTTCAATTCCTTCATATTTCAATTTTTCCAGTATTACGTGATAGTTGATGTGTTAAAGGCATTTTTTTTAACTAAAATTTGAATCGAAGTCTATTGTTTTATATAAAATTTATATGATCGTTAGTATTTGCTAGGAATTAGAATCAAGTTCAGTTGATCAATCAAATCAAAAAGTTGTAATGTAATCTAATACTGAAGAGCACATGCAATAAATATATCAACAGATAAGTAACATTTTTTTGTAATTACATAGCATCACGAGATGGTTTTTGATATGTTTGCAATCATAGTGGCATTTTACTCATGTCAGTTATAAAGAATTCTGTTGTTACTACACAAAATAGATTCAGGAAAAAAAGTATTCACATACCGCTTGTAAAATCGCCTTAGAATGACGCCGGGATAACATGTCCAAAGCTGTTAACGATTGTTCCGCAACATCCATACACTGGATAACTTGTAGTTTTTCAAGAAAAACAGGAACAGCATCTACAACAATTGCAGACGATCTTGGAAGCGCTTCCATCATATACGTAAGAGCACGACAGGCATGATTCATCTGGAAGAAATTTTCGATAAGTCAACAAAAACGTTAGTAACAGTCAATACAGAAAAAGCTTCGAAATAAAAGAAACAATTGGATTTTTTTTTCGTAAAAGTGGTTCAGTAAGTGATGAGGATTGGGAATTATTCCACCAACAACATGGAAAAGCGTTACCATGAAAATGGACCCCAATGATGCTTGCATACTTCTGTTGGAATGTAACGAAGTAAACTGCAAGTGATTCATATTATACTATTGAATAATGGCTTCTTAGTACAAAGTGTTGTGAAATTCAACTAGAGATTTCCGGTTTGTACATCACATATGGCTATTCGAGCTAATATTTTTCGCATCCCATTCATTATTTGAATTTTTTTTTTTTACAAACCTTAGCCAATCAAATTCTTTTATGTTGATATTCTAATCGAATTAACCAAAAACAATACAAAAAACATATGTTTGCTCTTGAAGCAAACAAAAAGTTTGAATTTATAGAAAAGTGTAAACTGTATACAATAGCATACACGGTCAGTTAAAACTCCAAAACTAACTGCACCTGAATTGTACACTACATATTTATATAAGGCTTGCAACTGACGTAGTATAATTATGTATACCACTAAAAATTGAAAGCCTATAAAAATAAACGATTAAATAAATCTTACAATATCGAAATTGTGTTCCATTCCTAATAGCGTAATGAGCGCTTGAACAACTGGTTTAACTGGGAAGCCTGTAAGTATTTCTTCATTACCCATAACCAGCACTTGACACATCTCAATGACGGCTTGAAGTTGTTGCCCTTCGTCCCCTGTAGCTTGTAAACCTGGTATCAGCGCTTGTGCTCTGGCAACAGCTGAAATCGCAAAATTTACAAAAAAAAAAACTTAACATTTTGCTTTACATACAACTATTAGATCCCATACTTCTATGTAATAGATGCTGCATGCGCGGACCTAAAGCTCCAAATAAATGAGGAGGAAGACCTCTTGCTTCTAACAGGGCTTGTAAGCGTCCTACTTCACTGTCGTCACTTTCTGAATCTGCTCCAGGTCCAGATGGCCCTCCACTTGATGGCATTGCCTGGGTGGCTTCTTGAGGAGAAGGTGGTTCCTCAGAAACTAAAGACAATCGCGAATATTGAAATTACCGTGGATAAATATTGGAGTACTAACACTTTTGCAAATATTAAATGTAAATACATATAATATTTATTAATAATCATAATTAGAATTTGAATTTTAATAAAAGAATGATGTTATGTATTATTGATTGTGACCTTGTTAGTAGATACGTGATAAACTTACCTGATAGGCCATTGTTAGGCAAATCTGGTTGATCGGCGGCCATGGCTGCGGCAGCGTGAGTGGCAGGGGCCGTAAGGAGAGCCGGAGCAGCCGCCCCTACCTTATGCTGCCTCGCTGCTCGTCTCGAGCTGCTGCCGCTGCCACTTGCGCCGCTCGAGCTTGCACAGGAACCCGTTGTTGAGCTGTGCGCTAAAAGTAAAAATAAAAATGAGACAATAAATAAGTTGCATGGTTCGTTTTTTGTACGTAAGGTGTCAGGTAACTGTTTTTATTTAACTGTTTCAAAACTCCATTAGCAACGTTACAACTTCTTTTAAAAGCAGGTTTTGTACAGTGCCCAAACACTTTTTAATTATACTATTCTGTAATTTATTGACAATATTTTTGATGCTACATTTTGATAGAAATCACTGAAAATCACAAATGAATTAATCTGAAAATTCCTTTTACATGGAAAGCTAATATACTCTTGCAGATTGATTGATTAACACGTTATTATTTCGTTATCAAAATTTATCAATGTTATTCCAAATATCATCCAATGTCTTTTTATTCGATATATCGACACTGCAGAACGTTATAGACCACCATGTGTTCAGAGTTTTTATGACTGTGAATATTTAAATATAATAAAAGTAATAAAATTGAGTAGTTCATTTTGTAACCTTTGATTAAACAGTTACAACAAATGTTACATATTTCTTCGAAAAAAAGAATTAGAATAAACATACCGTACGAACCAATGTAATTAACATTTCCAAAGATACGACTACTGAAATCGTAGCATTTCATAAAAAATTGAAACTTAAACAATTGGCGGCTCTCAGTTATTTTGCGGCAAATACTTTTGAAATATGTAACTGATCCAAAAAAACGTTTGAAAATCAGAAGTAAACATCTTCATTTTCACTAATTCAAGCTACCAATTACAACTACAAAAGCGATTATTTTGAAAATTGAAGGGTTAGTGAACACTTTTGAGAAAGTGGTGTAAATTCTGTCTACAACTTAAAAAAGATAGTAACGTCATTGTATATACATGAAAAGTAATGTATGTATTTGTCTCTACCAAAAAACTGATGACGGTATTTGAATAGTTTTTAGTAAACCATGTTATCCAACAAAACACTGAAATTGTAAAGTCAAGGCGAGTTTTACGTAAAGAACTTACTTTTTACTGAGAACTAAACAACATGATAACCACATATAGCATGTGATTTAAAATGATTTAATAAAACCAGGCGCGGGAGGGAGCGTAATTATGATTAGAGATATAACATTAAATTCTTATTGTTGAAATTATCTAGTAGCAACTATAATCTTGTTACACATGAATTTGATGCAATAAAATGTTTAGAATAGGTTTTTGTCAGTATATTTTTCAACCCTCCAAATTGACACCATAAAATATATCTATCACCACGCCTATTTTAAATCAAGGAAATATAGAGTTCTGCAAATAATTAAATAAGAATCATATCAAGATTACTTCATATTTTACGTTAAAAAGTTACATGAATATTTAAAAACTAACCCAACTTTGTCCTGACACAAACACACACTAAGACCCGGTAACTCGACTAAGGCAGGTCTTTAAAGCCTGAAGATGTACCAACTAATACAGAATTTCTCCCTCCATCAACTCATTCTATAGCTTTAGACGTTATTAACGCTGTAGGCGTTCAAAAATTATTAGAACTTGCCCCTTTTGAATACTTTTCGAAATCTGTTTCTGAAAAGTCGTTAACGCAGGTAAAATCTGGGTACAGTCGACACAAATGGAAACAGTAATGACACAAAGTGATTACATTTTTTAGTTCCCTCTCTATTTCTTTGTGATGAATTAATTATAAAATTTATAATATTTTAATTACTACTTACTACTTCGTACTTTTTTAGAATGATATATATGAGTTTTTTTTTTTGTGGCGGCAAATACATATATTTAATTGATTTTGAGATTTTGTAATGCACTATTAATCATTAGATTACTCAGTTCTCAAAATTTCGAGAAAACTAGAAGAGCCGAGATAAAATAAGAATGGATTAGTGCAACTCACGAAAACAAAACATATTACTGAAGCAATACGATCGGATGTCATTGTGTACTTGCAATGAAAACTTGTTTAATTGTTCGCAATGACGTGTCAACTTTTTAGAGAACATCAATAGACAAATTTTGGTTAGAGTATTGTCCTCATAATCTTAAAGCACATTTAAAATTTTGAAATAATTAAAATTGTATTTTCGGATTCTTCAAATATTTTGACTTATCATTTCGGAAGTAACAAATATATGTGATCAAAAACGTGACAATCTGTAATAATTACTCCAATATTATTCTACGTGAACGAGTATCATATATTTGATTTGAATACATACATCACACAGCAACTTTTTTACAGGTAGAGTGTTGACGCTATAAAGCTAAACTATAACAATGTAAACTTATGTTAAAAACAAAACACTATATCAATCTAAGCAACTCCCTTCAGACAGTTTGTTGTGTACTTACAAGATTCTGGTTTATTATTACAAGGTTTAATGAAATAAAGCGGTGCATTTCATCACAAGTGATTCTTTTATGTCAATGATAGAACAATAACTACTAGCTATCAAAATGGAATGAATAACAAGCATTACTTTGCGGTTAATTGAATGATCAACATTAGTTTTATCTACTCTAATTTTTAATAGTATTTATAGTATCTACTGATAAGAATTCTAACCTGTTAAGATTTTGATAAAATAATAGTTTCACATGAATCTTAGCTTTTACTGCAGGTATTCTGACAGCTATATTCGTATATACAAAATTTTGATCTACATATATATAAAAAAATGTATAAGTATGTATGCTTCCTCTTATATTGTTGTCTTTTTTTGCGTGTACACATCTATATATCCATTTATCCTGATCAGCGATAATATAGTAGAGTTTGTTAATAAAATAAATTGTGAACAAAATTTGGAAACTTATTTTCGCAAAAACTACATACATTATAATATATCACGTGCATAGCATAAACATTTGAGACATCAATGTTTGTGTGAGGTGAGGGAATGATTACATAATTCTTGGTAAGTATTTTATAATCTTATGATACGTTTGAAGAACCAAAACTTTCTACCTGATAGTCTTGGAAAGGTCTAAATAACAAATGTGCAACAGATAAATGGAAAGATGCAAATGGAAAATGTAAAATCTGTCAACACAGGAACATGGATATACGTTAAACTGATTCCTTTATTGGCTATACGGAAAGTAAAAAATTGACAGAATCAGTCCTACAAAAATAACAATGTACGGGCCGCTTGCACGATTTGTCAACCGTTTAATAAACACGTCACTTCTATTTTTCACTATTAAAACATTGTTTAAATATTATCAGGTGCACAAACCTGAACAAATAGCTAGAAATTCGGAGAACGAACAATAATAGTCACTATTTTTATTTAAGGAAAAAATAGAAATATCTTTGAAATTTGTTTAAAGGTACAGTTTGATTTAAATTAATAAACAATTATTTATTGAAATCAAGCGACAACTGTAATCGGTAGTTTGGGTTGCTGTAAAAACTCAAGTGGGTCTTTTTTGATGAAGAACCCTGTATATTACTATAAACTTCTATCAGAAACGCTGAAGACTGGCAGTTTTCGTTTTTTTTTTGTTCTCGTGTTGTCAAACTTACCGTGGAATTGTAATTAATTGGAGTAAAAAGACTGTGCCGATTTTATTTTATAATTTTTTAAGTAACTGGACATTACAGCAAAAGCAATTTTCGTAAAGTAGAGTCCGCCAAATAGTGAACATTGACTTTGCTTTCTATTCACTAGAAGCCACCAATAAATCGCTTAGGATTATGGTAATGATAATTTACAGCCCCGACCTCCTTTACAATTGTTTCCCTGAAAGGACCAAAGATTCTACGAACTGGAGGTGCATGAATACATTTTAGGTTAGAGTAAACAACGTCGTAAATCATGACCATTATAATTCTGCACAGTTTATTGGAAGTATGAACGTTCATTATTTGGCGGAGTTTCCTTTATACGGTCCTAACCAAAAATATTTTCGTAATGACGATCGATAAATTATAGCCCCACAGTATTCGCAGCAGAAAAGAGTATAGTTTTTCAAACTACCACTGGACAGTGGAGATTATAAAAATTAAGCAACAAAGACAACCCTAATCGGATTATAAAGTACCGAAAACCTCTTTTAGCCGGTCGTGGGGCGGTTTACCTAGAAAATCCGAGAAACGATACTCAGAACAAGGGAGATTTTATTTATTATTAATGATTATTATTAATATTCACCCCACAGTACAACCATTTATTGGAAGATGAATGTATTTAACATTAAAACTAACTTAAATTTATAGCTGCTTTCAAAATAAGAGAGTAAAACTACCTGAAAAACTGAGTTGACTTTTAGGATATCATACTAGGGCCATAAGCTTAATCCATTATACCTGGTACCGCTTAAGGTACGTGTCCACTTGAGAAGGCGCTTGCGAGAAATAATTGCAAAATTAGCCCGTAAAGCTATGGTCGGGCCTGCCCTCAACTGGGTAAGCGTTTCGTTTTTACCTGGTTTCTCCGACTTCCTGAGCGACTCCCACAATACGAACGCATTTCGAAGTGCGAGAGTGATCTCCGATAAGTCTGTTTTACGTGTATTTTTTTCGTAATAACTGAATTCATTGCAATAATAGATCTCTGAAATTTGAAATGACAACTTAAGGTTAAGGATGGTATAAAATTAAAATCAGAATTCTCGTGAGAGTTGCTCTCCAGTGGACACGTACCTTTAGGGTTGGAAAACCCTAAAAGTGAAGTCAGTTTTCCAGGTAGTTTTACTCTCTTATTTTGAAGGTATCTATAACATCATCATTCAGCCTGTAACAAGCATATATTTTTAATTTTTCTTGAAGTGGTATTAAAGATGTCGAATATATTCTGATTTCTGTTATAATTTTCGCAAATGGTATAAACTAGAGAAAATTTACCCACATTAGTGTGAGCTATAAAAATGTAAAATGTGTCATTTACCTTTGGAACTAACAAATTTATACATTTCAATAAATCTTGGCAATCGATATTTCCAGAGACAATTTTGTATAAGAATATGAACGAAAAATATAAACGTCTTTCACGTAAACTATTGATGGAAAAGGTATGTAAGA